TCATAGTATGCAAAGATTTTGGCCCAGTGTAGCAGTAACCCTAATTTCAGGCTGCCCTCTGTACTATTTAGTAGAGTAGAAGAATGGAAATGTGTGGCATCAGTCATCCGTTGCTAATTGAACTAAGGGGATTAGCATGGTCTGGCTACTCAAGGCTGGCCCCAGATACATACTATGTGGTTAACACAGGGAAATGAAACAGTCTATAGGCCTATAGAAACAGAAAATACAACCACATCAAAACATGAGCACAGACTAAAGACACAGCAGACAGGGAATCATAAAGGCACCAAGGCTGGAAAACGCATTAAAATGTCAGAGTAATCACTACAATATGTGGTTTTCAGAGGCATTTCGTTTAAAGCATACTTTCCACAGATGAGTAACCATTCTTGGCAGATTCTCACCAAGTGATCAGTGACAATGTACATGTTCTGCTGGCTCTACAACACAGACCTCGATCCTAGACATTATGTATTTTGTGTGAGCATGTTTATAGTTTCTCTCAGGATGAATGTTTGCTTACTTGTCTGTCATTCATTTTGTTGTAACTTTGGCACTATAGTAGTTATATCCTCTTACAGTAAGCAATTATTCTATTGAGACTCTATGTACATCATAGATAGTTAAATGGATAAATAGAAAGAAGCATTGTTTTGTCCCTCCCTTCATCTATCTGCCCACCCCTCATCGGCTTGGCAACCAAAGGGCCAGTGCTATCTTCTAAAATCAATACCAGATGCCACCATGAGGGCCTGTGCCATGCCATTCTGTAATACTGATAGTCCATTCATAAGCCTTCCTTGGCACAGAAGGAGATCTATAAAAAGTCCAGATTATATCCCATACGCAGAGAAGTGAACAATGGAAAGGTCTGGGGGTCATCCTCTCTCCTGTTGGAACAGCAGCCATGGTGTTCATCATCTGAAATGTCCTGATCAGATGCCTTCCTTCCTCACCTCTGACTTCTGAAATCATATCCCTTCACAACAATGCCGTCAACTTTATCTCCGTTTTTGGATTTTAGATTATGTGGAATCATAAATTATTGATTGCAGTGATTCGATGTTCATAATTGCCAAACAGTGGCAAAGTGCATATAATCTGCAGACACATCATAGGCTGTTGGTTTTTGTATCACTCAGAGGTTGTCAACATGTTTTAACCTCTTAAAGTTAGGTAGGTGTTCCAGCCATAGATCTTCGGTGTCATAACAGCTCTGGTCTTGTTTACCCAGCCCAGCCTTGTTGTTATGACGTAGGCTGTATTCACACTGCTTCCCATTTGTCCCTCTTTACGTGAAAGGGTCTCTCTGCATTCTTGGAAAACGTTTGTCTTATTTCGCACAGCCCCCTTTGGGCTTTGGCCAGCATTTGACTGGTGCTCACAGTAAAACAATGGAACAATAGCCCATTGAGCCATCAAACTATTTTAAGAGTCTGGCCTAATTTCGACCTCTAATATAGTCTTACTGCTCCAGTTTTAGAGGGCTCAGGGTGGCCCTCAGATCAGCAGGGTCAAGCTCCACAGCAGGCTTGGAAAAACCGAGGGCATGTAGGTGGAAGACAGGAGTCAGGCCAGGTAAGGCTAGGACACACAGAGGGAGTCCTGGGGATGACTGCTCCCCATTCTCCTTCTGTGACCTTTAACCTCTGTAAACCTTTGCTCTCTGAATGTGGGTGGGAAGGTTTGCCGACCCCCGATAGGGCATTAATTGTGAGAAGAATTACCTCAAGGCAACGGTGTCAATTCAGCATCAATAGCACTGCAGATTACTTTTTTTTACCAGAACCGTAATCTATCTCGCAAGGGGTTGAAGTATATTGTGTGCGGTCACAGCATACCTGATCTTTGGGTCGATTTCCTATCCTCAGTGCGTCTCACGGTTGAGAGCTTTGATGCATGCTCTGCTCCTGCCCTGGTAAGTGGGGCTCGCTGCTACAATGTAATAGTACAGATGTTCACAACAACTCTGAACCTGGGATGACATACTGCTCATTTATAATTGAAATGGCACTGAAACTAGCTTTTCCCACAGATGTTTATATCATTTTATATGGTTAGGGTAGGGTTGTTCATCAACATGTTCATGTCAAATAAAATCAACACATTTACGTAAAATAAATACTGTATATGCTATTTGGATTTGGTTGGACTCGGTTGTAATTTAGTTATGTCCTAGCAATAAAGAGAGAATAAAAAATAGATTGTGAGGAGAAGCAGATGCATTTTGAGCATTCCAATATGTATCTTTCAAAAATAGGGTGACCTTGTGTTGACATGCCAATATGTGTGAGCGCCATAACAATAGCAGGAAGCAATAAAATACACTGTGTGTGGGTATCGGACTCAGTGTGTGTGACCCTGGACCTCTTTACTGCCAGCACGGTGCTGGTCAGAGCTCACATATACAGTACTACTCATCCCCCTCCCTATGTGTGTGCAGTGATCTCCGGATCCAGACATGAGGCATACGTTTTTCTTTTACATGCCAGTGTCTTGTTCCTGTTTTCTTGTTTGTAGAGCACATGTCCCAACGGTAAAGGCCAGCTTTCTGCTGACAGAGCCACATGGTGATGTCATATGATGGAATTTACTCCCTGCCCCTGACCTTAAGTAGAAAAACAAACAGTGCAAATGCTCTGATATTCTCCTTGTACAGCAGGTGTTGCTTCTTTTCTGGTCTTTTATGCTGTTTCATTAGCATAGTGGTTTAGAATAGCTGATGCCAATACTGTGATTCAAGATCATACTGTTGAACTGAACATATAGTTCTTATCACATGACGTAATCACTGTGAGCACAACATCTGAACTAGTGACCTCCTCCATCTCGACACCACTTGGGAATAGGAGTCTGTCTGTAGACACCCATTCTCTGCCTGGGAAACCAACTATCTGAGCATAGTCTGTGGAGACTTCTCTCCGTCATCCATAAAGAAAGGAGGGACATTGCACCTGTAATTTTTTTACGCATATATTTTATTCAATTTTATGGAAAATGTGGCAATATCAGATTATGTGATATGTGCACTGTATGTTTGCGATATCTTGTAGTAAATGTGTATAGTAGGTGTATGCAGAGGTAAACACTAAAGCCAAATATAGCCCTATCACTGTCATTAAAGTCGTCCCTGAATAGACCAGTGTACTAAGATCAGCTAGCGAGAGGGATCTATGTTTATCAGCCAGTGGAACGGTAAGCTTAAGATACAGACCTGTGTATTATGTATTTTTAAAGGCAGGAAGGCCACTGGATCCTATTTCCTGTGACAAACATCAAGACTATAGTATCACACATATTGGTCATCACTTTGACACTAAATGGACACATTATGATGTAATGGTTAAGTTCTTACAGCACACAGTGTGGTGATGCCTGAAGAGGCAGATTTTTAAAAAGAATGTTTCAGATGTTGTATAAAGTTATATTGGAGTAGTAGTCTTTCTCTCTCTTGGCAAATAGCAGTTCTACAAATGTAGCCCACCAACTGTGATGCCCATGGGTGTAACTTAGATATAGTATGACTGATAATGTTCTTGTGTGTTATTATTCTCATGTGGTACATACCCTTGACCACTGAGAGTGTCTTGGGAGGGAGGGGTGAGAAAGTGCTTCTGAGACAAGGACAGGCCAGTGAATGAGCTACAGCCAGAAGGAGGAAAAGCCGTGCCTTTTGTACTGGGTTCCTGACGCACATTGGCCACACAGCACTCCACAGCACAGAGGCTGAATGTCGGGCTGGGTGGGGAAGGAAAGGGAAGCCCCCAGTGCCTCAGGGTATTGTTGAGGATATTGGTGTAAACCATGCCAGTCTCCTGAGCTCCACTGGTCACAAGGCTTGAACTCAGACCTCTGGCGAGAGCTCTGACAGAACACACATGCACCCACACACTCACAGACACACACACGGTAAGGAATCTGCTCCGCGGTGCTCTGCGCGTTCTCCATAAACACAGCTGGAGCCCTCAGGGCAGGACTGTTGTGTTCAGCGGTCTGGTTCGGTCCAGACAGGAAGTCCTCGCCATGGGCTCAGTTATGTGTAAGTGACTGGATTACCTACTTTAAACCTTCATGGATATTTTCTGTGTCTTTCACTCATACAGGTCTGGTTTCTATGGCTCTTTTGCCTCTGAGTGGTGTGAAACAGATGTGATGTAAGCTAGTTGTGCTACTGGAGAAGCCTGCTCAGTAGATAGCAGTAGGTAGGGGCTGGTGGTTGAGTGGAGTGGTGTTTCCTTGTGACGTCTTGAGTAAGGAGCTCTGGTGCTTAGAGGCTTAAGACGTTCAGCAATGTGACCTAACAGAGAGGCCGGTGATTACCCTGTAAACACCTTGTGGGAACTTTGGTCACAAATAGAGCTGTGGAGTTCAAAATGCCTGATCAATTCACATTGGAATGTATTATACAGTATAGTTTCCCTTTGCTTCTGTGCATACATTTACATTTTAGTCATTTAGCAGACATGTTGTGCTTCACAGTGAAATACATGGTGCATTTCACTGTTAGATTCTCCCCTGAGTGTGAAGTCACCTGAGCTTATATAGAGGTTACGTAAGAAGGGTTTGTGATTATCCTCTGTTGCATGTGCCCGGCATAGAGAGGGAAGAAACGTGGTCAGAGGCAGCAGCTCCCTGGCTCCCGGGACTGAAGAGAAATAATTGCAGTGGTAGAGGCTGGCCGGGGACCGTGTGTTTGTTAGAGATGTGCTGCGCTGAGAGACAGGACTATCAGATGGAAGGCACTGTAAGAGAAGAGCATCCAGGGGACTTGAATAGCAGACCAGGGGTGATTCAGGAGGACTGAGCCTGGGAGGAGAGTGAAGCTCTGGTAGCTGCTCTGAGCTCTCTCTGTCCCTGTCTCCCTACTGTCACCCTGGGCTGGAGTCTGGACTGACCTTGACTACGCTAGGCACTGCGTAGGAAGGAACTACACAGGCTGGTGTGCAGGAAAGCCATCTCCTGAACACAAAGACACACACTCTGACTCACTCTCAGACATGAGTAGTGCAGATATTTTGACGCTCCGCTGTGGTGGGATGATGGATGGCTCTCTGCGTTACCAGACCATCCCCTCGCGGTGTTCGGCGTGCGGGCGGCACACGCGTGGTGCCTCCTCCATGGTGCGTATCTCTGCCGGGGAGATGGAGTCCTACCACCGCTTTCTGGGGGTGTGTCAGAAGACTGAGTCAGCCACGGGGAGAAGTATGTCCTCCCTCTCTTCCCTCTCACCCTCCTTCTCAGCACCTCTCCTTCACTCCACCCCCCTGCCCTCTGTCAGGTAGTTGATTGATGGGATGCTGCTAAGGCCCTGCTATATGTAAATGCTTTGGTGAGATTTCATTAGTCTGCTGCTGCTATCTGAGGTATGCCTTTCCTTCTAATATTAGACTGATGCATTTCTGAATAGGCATGGCAGTTCTCACCTTCTCAGACATGCTTACTGTATGCCAGGTTGCTTTCCTATTTGCATGTCAAATGGCTTGCATTGTCCAGGATAGAAAGCTCCACATCACAACAACCTTTAAAATAATACTTGAGTAGAACATGTCTTATACCATGCATGCAAGCATGCACAATTTTGATTGTTTCCCTCTTTGGAGAAGTGGCAATGACAGCAGAAAAAAACAGCTCCAGGTTTTTATAAAAAAACATCTGAATCAGCGTGTCTATGGTTGGATAAAGCTGTCCTGTCTGACTGTTTTCAATATGTGGGAAAAGACTAGCTGGCAGTATGTCTCAATGCCCCAAAGTTTAATGATATCACAAAATAACCTACCCAGAAGCCGTTGATGGTCCCACAAACCCTCAATGCCTAGACATTCTCTCTTATGTGTGATTATCCCTTGCAATTGAATGTACAGCATTTGTCAAATAGTCACCTATGGTATCCAGTTAGCTGCCAAGCCTATGTCCTTATAATATAATAATATAATGTCCTTCAGGGCATCTGGTTCAAAATATGTGTATCTAAAGATTTAAATGCAATTAAATTGTTTGGGTACGTTCAAGTAAGGATATGTGTCACTTTTTGCTCTTCCTGGACTGTCTGTATCCGAAGGTGGATCTGAGATAATGTTCTTTAGTCGGAACAAAGTGACACATTCTATTGCCAGAAAGCAGTTTCCGAATCTGTCCAAGTGGAATTCCAAGAAGTATTTGATTGTAAATAGGAGAATGGGGTATCCATCTTAATGTCATGAGTGTATGACTGAAACCATAATGACCATCACATGGCTTTGACGTCTCTTCCTCAGAGATCCTTTCATCTCTTAGCACCATAATGATGTCCATTCGTTCTGTTCCTAGGACAAGTTTCCACATGAATGTTGGCCAGAATTCATGGTCAAAATCCCAATTTGTTGCCCTATTTTTTTCCCAATCGGTTGGTTGGTATTCCCTCCACCTGAAGTTGAGATTATTACACAGCTGGGGTTCGTTCAACTTCCAAAGACAGCTTGCTTAGCTTTCATTTGATATCCATCACTAGGGGAGTTTTGTTTTTGGAAGATAAATGGACCTGTCTGACACATCCTTTTATTGTTTTCTTGTAAGGCTGCCCTTTTCCTGAGTGTCAATGGGAAACGTGCTCTTTTGGATGTACACTACCAGTCAAAAGATTGGACAAACCTACTCATTCAAGTTTTATTTTTACTATTTTCTACATTGTAGAATAATAGTGAAGACATCAAAACTATGAAATTACACATATGGAATCATGTAGTAACCAAAAAAGTGTTAAACAAATCAAAATATATTTTATATTTGAGATTCTTCAAAGTAGCCACCCTTTGCGTTGATGACAGCTTTGCACACTATTGGTATTCTCTCAACCAGCTTCATGAGGTAGTCACCTGGAATGCATTTCAATTAACAGGTGTGCCTTTGTGGAATTGATTTCCTTCTTAATGCGTTTGAGCCAATCAGTTGTGTTGTGACAAGGTAGGGGGTATACAGAAGATTGCCCTATTTTGTATAAGACCAAGTCAATATTATGGCAAGAACAGCTCAAATAAGCAAAGAGAAATGACAGTCCATCATTACTTTAAGACATGAATCTCAGTCAATACGGAACATTTCAAGAACTTTGAAAGTTTCTTCAAGTGCAGTCGCAAAAACCATCAAGTGCTATGATGAAACTGGCTCTCATGAGGACCGCCACAGGAATGGAAGACCCAGAGTTACCTCTGCTGCAGAGGATAAGTTCATTAGAGTTGCCAGAAATTGCAGCCCAAATAAATGCTTCACAGAGTTCAAGTAACAGACACATCTCAACATCAACTGTTCAGAGGGGAATGTGTGAATCAGGCCTTCATGGTCAAATTGCTGCAAAGAAACCACTACTAAAGGACACCAATAAGAAGAAGAGACCTGCTTGGTCCAAGAAACACGAGCAATGGACATTAGACAGGTGGAAATGTGTTGTTTGCTCTGGAGTCCAAATTGGAGATTTTTGGTTCCAACCGCCATGTCTTTGTGAGACGCGGTGTGGATGAACGGATGATCTCCGCATGTGTAGTTACCACCGTAAAGCATGGAGGAGGAGGTGTTATGGTGTGGGGGTGCTTTGCTGGTGACACTGTCTGTGATTTATTTAGAATTCAAGGCACACTTAACCAGCATGGCTACCACAGCATTCTGCAGCGATACGCCATCACATCTGGTTTGGGCTTAGTGGGACTATCATTTGTTTTTCAACAGGACAATGACCCAACACACCTCCAGGCTGTGTAAGGGCTATTTTACCAAGAAGGAGAGTGATGGAGTGCTGCATCAGATGACCTGGCCTCCACAATCCCCCGACCTCAACCCAATTGAGATGGTTTGGGATGAGTCGGACCGCAGAGTGAAGGAAAAGCAGCCAACAAGTGCTCAGCATATTTGGGAACTCCTTCAAGACTGTTGGAAAAGCATTCCAGGTGAAGCTAAGAGTGTGCAAAGCTGTCATCAAGGCAAAGGGTGGCTACTTTGAAGAATCTCAAATATAAAATATATTTTGATTTGTTTAACACTTTTCTTGGTTACTACATAATTCCATATGTGTTATTTCATAGTTTTGATGTCTTCACTATTATTCTACAAAATAAAGAAAAACCCAAACTTTGACTGGTACTGTATGTCGATTTACGAACCAAAATATCTACTATATTCAAACTTCCTCTCCAACAATATTGAAGGAGATTACATCAGTACTGTTTGTAGATCCATGACCATGGAGATGTCCTGAGTACATATGGAATTGTATACTGTATAGATGTACTGTATGTGACACTGCTTTGTGAGAAAATTAGCAACGCTAGCACTGCGATGCAGTGCCTTAGACCACTGCGCCACTCGGGAATCTTCTTAGAGAGAGAAATATTAGCAGTCTCATATTCTCCCTGTGTGTGGATATCAGTGTGATCGTGAGGCCTTCCCCTCCCCCACAAGCACTGGTGGAGGGTGATGGTGGAGAGATGCTTGGCCTAGTTCTTCCAAAAACACTACCTCACTCTGTTTTATGGGCTCCTGCTCCGCTCAGCATGGAGTGTTGGTCACAGCTTCTCATGTCCCTTTAGTTAAATAAATATTCCACCCAAAAACTATATTTTGGTATTTGTTTCATTAGTCCATTGTTGACATAGTCCCAAAATGTTTTGCTTGTCAGCACTCAAGTATTCAAGATATGTAACTTTTAAAATACAGAATTTGCATTATATGATGCAAAACACAGCATCATGTGATGCAAAATGTATCATACAGGGATGATTTCTGTATTTTGAAAGTTACATATCTTGGAAATGTGAGTGCTGTCAAGCAAAACATTTTGGGACTATGTCAACAATGGACTAACGAAACAAATACCAAAAGATAGTTTTTGGGTGGAATAAGTGTGATTAGTGTGTGGCATTTAGGCTATATGTGGTGGATATTGTAGGCTACGCTTTTCATACAAAAAACTTGAGTGTATATGTGACGTGTTTCTTCCATTTGGAAAGAGAACAATGCAAAATGTATCAACATATTGATTTGCACTCCTTCCCAACAACTGTCTGTCTCCTTATTTTGTCCTCAATAATGGCCTTTTGTTACGTAACCCTGTAACACTAGGCTTATTGTCTGTGTGTGAGGTCCATGGTGGCTCAGGCAGGCAGGTCGACAGGGCAGAGAGGGAGTCTAGCTAACTTCCTGTCTACCTGTTCAGACACAGCTGATCTCCCTGCTGTAGACTGCTGCTGACCTGCCAAGTGATTAAACCCAGAGCTAATTATCCCATAATAGCCGATCTACTGGCTGCTTTCTCTTTCTCCCGCTCTTATTGAGGCTACATGCAGGCGCACAATTACCCGCTGTCCCTGGGTGGGTGAAGAAAGATTGTTTACAAAATCAAGGGTAGAGTTTTAAGTCTAAACCCTGACATAGATTCAAAGTACCACATGGAGTGAGGTTTTTTAAATGAAATGTGTTTATGAAATTGTATACTAAATTAAGGTCCCTTAAAACATGGTTTTCATGTTGTCGTTTGTGACGATTGTAACACATTTCATGTGGCAAACTGGACAGCACATGTTTCAGTGAATCTCACTATTTTGGAATCCAGTGTACAATGGGAAGGAAAGCTACTTATTTAACATACAATGCCTCCGTAGCTGCCACCGGTGTTTTGGAACATACTTCCTCTAGGACCATAAACACCCTTGTCTTACCATGCAGCTGCTCTGAGAAGGGGGATGGAGGGAGGGAGGGGGGTCACGTTCAGTCATCCAGAGAGAGAACAGAGGAGAGACAGAGAGTCAGATCAGAAAGGGGTGCACAGTCAGCATTTGACTTTAATGAAGAGGGATGATGCTGAAGGGAGGAGAACACCAGAGCACAACACATAATTAACTTTCTTTCTTTCTTTCTACCTACCTACCTACCTACCTACCTACCTACGGGGCTGCCCCCCCCCCCCCTCCCCAACTTAAAGAGGCAGTAAGCAGTGTGTTTCTTCTCCCTCCTCCCTGAATCCTGATAGGTTGTTTGTGTGGCTGCTGTGCACTGAGAGAGCCTTGTGAGAGATTAGAGTGGAGCTGTGAGACGCAGCTAGGGCTGGAAAAATTGTCCAAAGAAACAGATGCACTCCTTCCTTAGAAAATACTTTCCGAGCTGTGTGTGTCTGGCGTTACTTACTCGGGAAGTATGAAGAGGTGAAAGGGGATGAAAATGGTTGAAAAACGTGTTTTGAGAAACTTCCGCTGCTGGCTGTGTGATTTCGCCCCGTCGCCTGGATTAGTGTGACTTTTCTCTCTCTTCACACCCGACTATAGTGGCACTATGATTAAGAGAACCAGACCTGTCATAGGTAAGGTATTTCGACTCCCCTCGTTCGCTGCCTCTCTGTCGGGAGTTATAGGGTGTTTACATGCCAAACAGAGACACGTTTGTTCTCACTCATGTTGCTAGCCTTAGTCCTAGACTTTATTTCCATTACAACAGAATACCAAGAGGCTGATATATTCTTCAGTGTTTCTTCTGAGGAGCTCAAGGGACTCTTGCCTGTCTGTCCATAGTTAATGCTGAGGGACAAAATGCCTCCGTTTTTTTGTAGTTTTCTGTGGGGGAGTGTGCCTCAGGCTTTTATGACTTTCTGTTGGCGGCCAACTGTGTGTGAAATTAAATTGTTGCGTGATAAACGTTATGTAGGCTACAAATATATAACATTGTTGTAATTTCTTTGTGTAATTTATCCAGTCCTCTACTCATTATTTCACAACAGCTGCAATGTTGTTAATTAGTAGGCTAAGCAATTATGCTTTTTGAGCCTTTACTGAGCCTTTGTATAAATAGATTTACAGGGAATGTAGGGTAAAGTGAAGTAGGCTACTTGATTTAGGGAATTCTCGGATCTTGTACATGATCATATAACTCACCATAGCTAATGATTGAAAGGATACCTGGTTGCCCTCCATGTAGTTTGAGGTAAGCGAACGTTAAACATATATTCAATAAATTATGTACTTTCCAGGAAGAGAAAATGGTGCCCTGATCTGCAGCAAGCATACAGTACAACTCTCTCATGGGAATCATAAAAGTTTAGGGTTGTTCAATTGTTGCCAGTCAAATAGGTCCATATCTTACAATATTGCATTGCACTTTGACCCTTATGCAATCAACAATCTTTAATATCCACTGTTAATGGATAATACATTCAGACAGTATACAACACTGCTTGGTTTAGGGGAAAATACAGTATGTACTGTAAGTCCTCATATCCAGTAGATGTGTTCTTGTAGCTGAGAGTGAATGTGTATGTTTCTGCTCATTGGAGCAGATGGAGAAGGCTGAAGGCTCCCTTGCACAAGGTGAGGTGAACACTGGGATGAGGTGTGTGGAGCGCAGAGGACGGTGCCCCTCTGTGTTGCCATGGCATTAATTCATGGCGTCTCCACACGTTGCTGGCACAACCTGCCACAGAATCAACACCGTGTGGACAACACACCCACCAGACTAAAAATACAGCACATATGACTGACTAGGGCCTGGAGTTTATCCTGACCACGTGATCTGACTATAGGGAAAACTCTGGATGGCCAGGACTGGATAAAGTGCAGTGTGTGTTAATACACTCCTTTTATACCATGGCCAGACAGAGGGTGTTTTGTTCACAGTGAAAAGCTAGCTGCAGTGTGCTTCAGGCCAGGGTGACCCCAAACCATTAAGGCAGACTGATGGAGCTTCATCAACCCTCCTTCCCCTCCTCCCCTCCAAGCATCCAGAATAACTACTAAGTCTTACAGGAACAACACAATGAAAGGATGATCTGTGTGAAAGGGGGATACTGTTGCTACCACAGCTTGTAATGGAAATCTAACAAAGGCACACAAAGCTCATCTGCATTCACAGCTAAAGGTCTTGACTGCGAGGGGCAGCGTTACACATGGAGACCACTGTTTGAGAGAGAACAGACACTGTGGAAAGGTCCAGATCCGAGCCTTGGCCTTGCCCTCATTTTCCACAGATCATACTGAGCTGACTAGTCAGACATGTAGATCACAGGAGGTTGGGGGCACCTTAATTGGGGAGGAAGGGCTCGTGGTAATGGCTGGAGCGGAATGAATGGAATGGTATCAAATGCATTAAACACATGGTTTGATGCCATTCCATTTGCTCCGTTCCAGCCACCACTGATGTAGATGGATTGTCCACCGATGATGACTGGGCCAGGGTATGGCCTCGGGGCTTGATTAGTTGGGACACATTGTACGCTAGTGTTTTAATAATACTGCTCTCTCTATGATATTGTGATCTCTGACTGGAGGCGTTCTCTTGTTTCCCTCCCCAGATGAGATCATGCAGCAAGAGATCAGGCCCCTGCTGGCCGTCAACATCATAGAGCAGCTGCACCGGCAGTTTGCCCTGCTCTCAGGTATGTAGCTAGGGGCTCTGTCTCCTCTCCTTAATCCTGCTTCCCTCACACACAGACAGGCAGAGTCATCACTGTATTTCATTGTAACGTTATCAGTTAAAAGGTCATTTCCAGTGTTGACCTTAAATCATGATTGAGTTATGACCAGACTTGAACCTTTTAAGACTACTGATCGATAGGAGTTCCTCTTAATTACTTCCTGTCCCAGAGGTCACAGGAGGTTGGTGGCACCCTAATTGGGGTAGAACGGGCTTGTAGTAATGACTGGAACGGAAATAGTGGAATACATCAAACACATGGTTTCTATGTGTTTGATGCCATTCCATTTGCTCCGTTCCGGCCATTATTATGAGCAGCCTTCTGTGACAGAGGTCTGATCTGCTCCATGACAATAACGGCATTATCACATTACACCATGAACCATTTCCTGCCAGGATGTCTTCTTCTCTCTGACTATATTCACAAGCTTTGTTCTGAGTGCCTGAAATGGCCACTTTTGGGATCCGGAAGTAGTGAATGTGTACGTACATACGTACAGTGTACATGCATGCATACAGTACTGTATAGTCTTATTAACACGTATGTGAGAACATTGAGTCCCCTATATCATATCTGTATGCTCACAGATCACCCAGAAGACTCTCTCAAACATTTTCCATCTCTGCGTTATTTCCATCATAACCTTCTTGGAGCACAAATAAATGAGTCTTAATCTCCTGCCATATCCATATTTGAGTTACTGGAGACATAGAAGTGACAGAGGTGTAGAGCCTAAGCTGGGACAATAACAGAGGTAGTTGTGGGTAGTTATTGGGCGGGACGTCCACACCAAAGCCTCTGGCTCCACAGGGATTGTTTCCATTCCTTCCCACCCATGTCAAACCACCAGGGGTCGGCCTGCTGCGCTCCTGCCAAGCTGATGCCTCAGTCTAAAAACCCTGGCTTAGAAAAGCTAGCTTTCAGACTAATGTAATTTAACTGTGGAAAAAACACTGTTTTATGACCTACACCGCAAGCCGGTTTTCATTCTTAATGGGTCTGTCAGTGGTCTCCATTATTTTTCGCAAAATGGTGATGCTGATATCTGACAGGGTCACAAACAAAGTTTTCCTCCAATATTACTTTCAGGCAGTACTCCTGCCCTACTTACCTTATACCTGAAGAGGTGGTGCTGAGTGGAGTTTTCCAGGCAGCGCTGTATTTTCTAACTCTGATTATTATCTGATGTAGTGTTGATGTCAGTGAGAGAAGTAGACAACAGAAGCCCTGACATATGTAAGGATCTCATGTGCTGGCAGGTATGGATTCTTCTGCCATCAGCAGGTAATTGGATGTGTCTGGCTGGGAGGACTGATAGGTGAGGTGTCACCCTGTGGAATGGATGGCAGGCGAGATGGCACAGGAAATTAACAACATGCTGCTTTTAGCACAAAGACAGTGACAACGTTGGAGATTGGGAGGAGGGTGTTATGCTTATCTGTGTGATTGGTACATTTTTTTTAACCGAGCGAGAGAAGGGAGAGGCGGAGAAGTTAGTCAATGCGTGTTGAAAGTAAAGAGCTACCGTTACCTCACCACTAATATCAAAGGCAATGCTTCTTGACATGCTCCTCAAGAATGAGAGTAATGTATCAAAATAATGCTGGTGCCCAGACACAAGGGCCTTAAGTAGAAAATCAGACTGCCTCGGACAAATTAAGGCAGAGCACAAAGATACAATGTACAGCAGTTCCCCTCTGTCATCCTAAACTGAACTGTTTTGACGTTGAGAAGAATTCACCCTAAATAATAAGGACCACCCCTATTCCCCGATCTCCACTCATGAATGCAAGCACTGGGGGCATGATGACGAGTGAGAAGGAACACCTTGCTGCTCCACTATGCTTTGTCATAGTGATATACTTGTACTGATCAATCTCTCATTGTAGAGATATAGGATCATGGATTGTAATATGGCTGCTTCTGATTGCTTCATTTGTTTCAGGATTTAATAAGAAACATTTTCAACATTTTCACTATCAAACTTGTTAAGTTGCATGTTTCAAATAATTAAATAATGACTTAATTGTCAAAAGATTATCACATATCAAACATTGGCAAGCTAACAATGCTGACATTATTTAACCCAATGCCACCACCTTGTGGTTCGTTAGTAGAAATATAACTTTTCTATTGACGTCATCACCAATAATATCTGTAACAGCCGAATGTAGGATTGCATCCAATTAAATGTTTATTTGCCTGTAGATATCTGGTATAAATAAATGAATGAATGAATGTAACAAAATGTACACATTTATAACAACCTATTGTTTTACTTCTCTATGTGCAGGAGGAAGAGGGAAAGATGGCGCCCCAATCATCACCTTCCCTGAGTACTCAGGCTTCGGCGACCTCGTAGTGGAGGACTTCCAGAATGTTGTAACATATCTGACCAGTATCCCCAGGTATAGTAGGAGCAATGCATTTAAAGCTTTCTTTCCAACCATGCATATTCTCCCATGGTTATGCAGTTCAGATCAATACAGCACTTTTGGTGCACTTTATTTTCCCACAGTGGAGAACAGAGGCTTAGTGTAATGCTACCAGTGCTTAATTTGTAAATTGGGAGAGCGGGGTGATCTGGGGGGCTCTGAGATACCGGAACGCATACAAAAAAATCACTGTTATAATAAAGTAGTGCATGCATTATCATAGCTTTTGTGTACTGGCATAGAGCAGTAGAGTAGAAGGGCTTGCTGAAGTTGCACACATTGGTCAATTTTTTTGTAGCCTAGGGTCCGGGAATTTTTTTAACCTTTTTATAAACGTATTTCATGCAATCCTACATAATTTTAGATGACTGGAGACTTTAGCAGAATCTTTTTTAATACCTCCCAAATGATCGAAATGACATGCTACGTTAACACTGACAAACTGAGAATCTGAGATCAATAAAAACGACCTCGTCTTGAATCCATCAATAGCCTAGGCCTTGGTGTGTGGAGACACACATATTGTACAATTAGAGGAAGAAATTCTAGTCCTAAAAATGCTTTCCAGTTTCACTGACTGACCCAATGGTGCAGAGCTCACTCACCAGCGATGGCCTATGCGCTCGTGCCAAAAATGGATCTCTCTTGTTTGACTTGGTAAAACAATGCTGTTTGCTCAATAGGGCTATTTGGAAGTTGATAACCTTATTTTTTTATTTTATTTAACCTTTATTTAACTAAGCAAGTCAGTTAAGAACAAATTCTTATTTACAATGACGGCCTACACCGGCCAAACCCGGACGACGCTGGGCCAATTGTGCGCCGCCCTATGGGACTCCCAATCACGGCCGGTTGTGATACAGCCTGGAATCAAACCACGGGGTCTGTAGTGACGCCTCAAGCACTTAGATGCAGTGCCTTAGACCGCTGCGCCACTCGGGAGCCTACAGACAGATTAGAGCTCTCTTCACAGCAGGATCCATTTGCTTTACAACCTGGGTTTTACCGCGATTGTAGACATATTTTAAATATTGGGAAAGGCCTGTTTTGGTTGCATGCTGTTCACTAACAGATTTGCCTCGCATTCCTGACTGTAGGCATGCCTTGTGATTGGGCAGCACACAATCCACAGTTAGGCACTTTAAAAAAATAACATAAGCTATTGATCCTCTGTGGCTAAAGTATAGGCCTACTCCTGGTGTAGTATTCTGAATTGTTTCATTTATTTATGATCAGACAGGAGTAATTCTATAACTTTGGCAAATGTAGCCTATTTCAATTTATCACGGGTGCTGCAGCACCTCCAGCGCCCTTCCCGCAGCTATTACATTTACATTTACGTCATTTAGCAGATGCTCTTATCCAGAGCGACTTACAGTTAGTGAGTGCATACATTTTTTTTTCTTCTTCATACTGCCCCCCCCCCCCCCCCCCCCCCCCCGTGGGAATCGAACCCACAACCAACTGAGCTACATCCCTGCCAGCCATTCCCTCCCCTACCCTGGGCCAATTGTGCACCGCCCCATGGGTCTCCCGGTCACAGCCGGCTACGACAGAGCAATGCGATGCAGTGCCTTAGACCACTGCGCCACTCGGGAGTCATGATTCAATAAGAAAATAAATGATGAAGTGCAACGCTGAAGAGATGAGAGTTGCAGGCTCATGTCTATCAGAGCAGAGAGAGATCACAGCAATGGCCACGCGTTGGTCTATATAGGCTACACTGTTGCCAAACCATAAACCCAGGCTGGCACAACACAAATACATTCTTAGAATATCAGGCATGTTTTCACATTACGGTTTTTAATGGGCAGAATAATTACAGAGGAGTCAACTTGAACTAACTCAGATTGCTTTTATTATAATTTTTACATTGCAAACAGTGGAGAAAATAAATTCAAGCCACGAGAGGTACCGGATCCTGGCAAATGGGTTCTGGAACGAAACAGACCAGAAATGAGAGATGCCGGATCCTGTTCTGGCAGGATCCAGCTCAAATTAAGCACTGAATGCTACTGTATATTTGATCATGGCAGGTCAAAGAGTGATGCTTCTAGCAGCACAGTGATGCAATGCTTTTAAAGACTGTGGCTTGAAGAAAGACATTGGTTTACAGACGTAGTAATGCACTGGGCACACCACATCATTTCAACTTGGATAATTGGGTAATATTTGGTTGAGAGGTTGATCAGTGAGATTAAAACCCAGTGGTGGAAAAAGTACTCAATTGCCATACTTGAGTAAAAGTAAAGATACCTTAATAGAAAATGACTCTAGTAAAAGTGAAAGTCACCCAGTAAAATATTACTTGAGTAAAAGTCTCTAAAAGTATTTGGTTTTAAATATATTTAAGTATCAAAAGTAAAAGTATAAATCATTTCAAATTGCTTATATTAAGCAAACCAGACAGCACAACTTTCATGTTTTTTTAATGTACGGATAGCAAGGGTCACACTACATTATGCAGACATAATTTACTATCGAAGCATTTATGTTTAGTGAGTCTGCCAGATCATAAGCAGTAGGGATGACCAAGGATGTTCTCTTGATAAGTGCGTGAATTGGACCATTTTCCTGTCCTGCTAAGCATTCAAAATGTAACGAGTACTTTTGGGTGTCAGGGAAAATGCTCAGTTGAGTATGAATTATATTAGGCCAGATAACACATTAAGATGTTAGACATGAGCAACTTCATTCACCCTTTTGTCAGGGTAACATATTGAGAATGTTAATGACCCTCACTTAAAACCTCTTCCCTGTAAAAGACCCCAAACATTACACAAGTCTACACAGCTCCTCTAACACTGTTAACTATAATGGCCTGGTTCAAAGAGTGCTGAAGTGATTTTGTGTAAACTCTGTTTAAACTGTACAGAGACGGAGCACAGCAGTGTACTGTAGTGCCCTCTTGGATATGTCTTGTGACTGCATGCTTGGATAGCTTCACCTACCGCATGTGTTTATTTCCATCTTTCCTTTGTCTAGTTTGGACGCGGCCAGCATCGGTTTCGTTATAATCATCGACCGCAGGCGGGACAAATGGAGCTCAGTGAAGGCTTCGTTGACGCGGATAGCGGTATGAATATGTCCATCTTTCACTTCAAACAGGGCTTTTATCTCTTGCCTGGTTATCCAGTCTATTGAAGTCAAACTCAGAGAGGAGTTTAAGCACAAACAGAGGAGTTGGCCACACCACAGACAGAATGGGCCCAAGCAATTTTATCTCAGCATCATGTAACATTGTAAAATATAATTGCGACCAATGCTCCTATATCAGGAAGTCTTGTAAAAAGCAAATCATTTTTTGGTATAATCTACTGCAAATTCTTGAGATGTTCAATTGAAAGTAAGCGCAGAGCAAAGCTCCCTCCACACAAAGCTATGAGATGGTATGAAGCTGTGTTTTGTACCTGTGCCCACTAGGGGGCATTTCCAGGGAACCTCCAGCTGGTGTTGGTGCTAAGGCCCTCCCGCTTCTTCCAGAGGGCCATCGCTGACATTGGCATTAAGCTGCACCGGGATGACTTTAAAATGAAGGTACCGGTAAGAATGCTTCGCTACCACTCACCCTTTCCAACTCGTAGATCGTCTTAGAAAACTTTCCTCTGTGTCTGTGTGTGAGATAGTGATTGACCTGATGTCATGTGGCGTGTTGCATGGGAGTGTGATGTTCAACTGTAAACTAACTGCTAGAACAATGACTGTACTCACTGCCTGTTTTGCTGGTTTATGGAAAGCTGTAGAATGTGACAACATGGACAGTACCAGTCAAAAGTTTGGACATCTACTCATTCAAGGGTTTTTCTTTATTTTACAATTTTTTACATTGTCGAATAATAGTGAAGACATCCAAACTTCAAATAGCCACCCTTTGCCTTGATGGCAGCTTTGCACACTCTTGGCATTCTCTCAACCAGCTTCACCTGGAATACTTTTCCAACAGTCTTGAAGGAGTTCCCACATATGCTGAGCACTTGTTGGCTGCTTTTCTTTCACTCTGCCGTCTGACTTGTCCCAAACCATCTCAATTGGGTTGAGGTCAGGGGATTGTGGAGGCCAGGTCATCTGATGCAGCACTCCATCACTCTCCTTCTTGGTAAAATAGCCCTTACACAGCCTGGAGGTGTGTTGGGTCATTATCCTGTTGAAAAACAAATGATAGTCCCACTAAGCCCAAACCAGATGGGATGGCGTATCACTGCAGAATGCTGTGGTAGCCATGCTGGTTAAATGTGCCTTGAATTCTAAATAAATCACAGACAGTGTCACCAGCAAAGCACCCCCACACCATAACACATCCTCCTCCTCCAAGCTTTACGGTGGGAACTACACATGCGGAGATCATCCATTCACCCACACTGCGTCTAACAAAGACATGGCGGTTTGAACCAAAAATCTCAAATTTGGACTCCAGACCAAAGGACAAATTTCCACCTGTCTAATGTCCATTGCTCGTGTTTCTTGGCCCAAGCAGGTCTCTTCTTCTTATTGGTGTCCTTTTAGTAGTGGTTTCTTTGCAGCAATTCGACCATGAAGGCCTGATTCACACATTCCCCTATGAACAGTTGATGTTGAGATGTCTGTTACTTGAACTCTGTGAAGCATTTATTTGGGCTGCAATTTCTGAGGCTGGTAACTCTAATGAACTTATCCTCTGCAGCAGATGTAACTCTGGGTCTTCCATTCCTGTGGCGGTCCTCATGAGAGCTAGTTTCATCATAGCGCTTGATGGTTTTTGCGACTGCACATGAAGAAAAGTTATTGAAATGTTCAGTATTGACTGACCTTCATGTCTTAAAGTAATGATGGACTGTCATTTCCCTTTGCTTATTTGAGCTGTTCTTGCCATAATATGGACTTGGTCTTTTACCAAATAGGGCTATCTTCTGTATACCCCCCCCCACCTTGTCACAACACAACTGATTGGCTCAAACGTGTTAAGAAGGAAAGAAATTCCACAAATTAACTTTTAAGAAGGCACACCTGTTAATTGAAATGCATTCCAGGTGACTACCTCATGAAGCTGGTTGCGATAATGCCAAGAGTGTGCAAAGCTGTCATTTACATTTACATTTTAGTCATTTAGCAGACATCAAGGCCAAGGGTGGCAATTTGAAGAATCTCAAATATAAAATATATTTTGATTTGTTTAACACTTATTTGGTTACTACATGATTCCATATGTGTTATTTCATAGTTTTGATGTCTTCACTATTATTCTACAATGTAAAACATTGTTAAAATAAAGAATAACCCTTGAATGAGTAGGTGTGTCAACTTTTGACTGGTAGTATACATATATTTCCCTTACTTCATAATCTTTTTGGTGAAGGCCAATTCTCCTGCATTATGCCCAGACACCTACAGTATACTGTAACTGTACACATTTTCGAAGATAAAAGTTGCAAAACCTCCTCAGACTCCTCACCCACCTTGTGTGTGTGTGTGTGTGTGTGTGTGCGCGCCATCATTACTCAAGTGTTGTATAATTCAAGTCAAGACATCTGGTGATGAACTGGAAATAGAGAACTGGAATAAATCAAACACCACAGAAGCCTGTATTAACATTATGCCATGATAATTATTGTCTAACCCTGAAAATAGATGAGAAAACCCAGACTGATAATGCAGAAGATGCCCTAACGTCTATAACACACAGCAATGTATGTGCATTTGTTTCACTACAGATTGTGATGCTCAACTCCCTGTCTGACTTGCATGGCTACGTGGATAAGGGCCAGCTAACATGTGATCTTGGTGGGAACCTGGAGTACTGTCACAGCCAGTGGATCCACCGCCGGACAGTGAGTTACCATGACATTGGCCTTTGACCATACAGCAGTTATTTTCTGGATTCACTGGAAACAATACAAAGTGTGTGTTTTTGCTGTCAGGCCATTGAGAACTTTGCTGTGACTGTGAAGACCACGGCCCAAATGCTGCAGAAGTTTGGTACAGACCTGGCAGAGACGGAGCTGCCCAATGATGTGCAGTGCACCAAAGACCTACTAACTACTCACACTGAGAAGCACGACAAACTCAGGGTAGGGCTCTGCTTCAGCATCAACATAATACCACTGAACCTGGCTTCCTACAATAGTTCACTTGTACTCATGGCTAGCAATGGGTTCTATCATAGCCTGTGGCAAAGTAGTTTAACCACAAGCACCAATGACCTAGATAACAATCAGAGTATTCTATGTCCAAACCAGACTGCTGATCTGGAGCATATATTTAAGCAATAAGGCCAGAGGAGGTGAGGTATATGGCCAATATACCACAGCTAAGGGCTGTTCTTATGCAGGACACAACGCGGAATGCCTGGATACAGCCCTTAGCCGTGGTAGATTGGCCATATACCACAAACCCCTGAGGTGCCTTATTGCTATTATAAACTGGTTACCAGTAAAAATAAATGTTTTGTCATACCCATGGTATACGGTCTGATATACCACGGCGTTCAGCCAATCAGCATTCAGGGCTTGAACCACCCGGTTTATAGTGGTATTTAATTAATTCTTTCATTTTGACAGGATGAACAGAAATTAGCGATGAAACAGGGAACCACTCTATTGGGCTGTATCAAAGAGCAGGCTGCCAAGTCTGAGAACCACAAACTAAACCCAGACGAGATGGAGAACCACACCACAGTGGAAAGGTTGGTTACTGGAGATGGAAGCTCCTAATAAAATCATTTGTATGTGTTCAGTTCACAAATGATTTAAATGATAGAATTTCTCACTAAAAGTATATTCCAGAGGTGGATAAAGATGCTGCATATGATGTCATATGTCCATGTTGTATTTCAGGTTGTTGGCCCAGCTAGATGAGACAGAGAACGCTTTTGAACAGTTCTGGTCTAAACATCACCTCAAACTGGAGCAGTGCCTACAGTTACGCCATTTTGAGCATGACTTCCGAGAGGTACGTATGTTACTGTGACAGAGTCCCTGTCTGCTGACTGCTGTGGTCAGCAGGTTTAGCTTAATCACGTTAACAAAGAAAGCTGGACAGAACACAGCCTGGCTATTTGTGTTCCCCCAGAGAGAGCAATTACAAGTAGCCATTACAATGTAATACTTTGTCCAAAAATAGTTGCTTACCCTTCACTTTTCTCAGTTTTAATTACACATGCTTTTTTATGTTTGCAACTTCACGCTTACAGTATATAATGCTTCCTCTCAAGCCTATGTGTTTGGAAATACTGTACATACGTCCTTAACCTCCTGCTCTCTCTGTGTCCACTCCCCAGGTGAAAGTGTCATTGGACAGTCTGATGGTGACTCTAACAGCCCTGTCAGATATTGGGGACTGTGTCACCCGGGTAGAGATGTTACTGAAGGACCTCAAGACCTTAGAGGAGAAGGCTCAGGTCAGCCCAGTCCCATAACAAACGTTATATGAGATGTAACATCTAAACCTTACAGTACAAAGCACAGTGTATCCACTATGTCTGTCTTAGCACATGTTCATCAGCCTTTGATTGAATTGAATGTGAGTCTAACATGGATGTGGTCATGTGAGATGAATGGCTCTCTGACTGTTGTGTGCGTGTCAGGAGTCGTTAGAGAAGGCCCAGCTCCATGCCCTACACGGGGACCAGCTGATTCAGAGCAACCACTATTCTGTGGACTCCATACGGCCCAAGTGTGTGGAGCTTCGACGCATCTGTGACGACTTCACCAACGAGGCTAAGAAAAAATACGACATCCTCTCCAAATCACGGCAAATACACAAAGGCATGGACAAGGTGGGTTACATAGGAGGCTCCTCATCTCTATATTGCTGTCAGAAAAGGCAATGTCCTCTTGGAGAGATTGTTTGCATTATTATACACATCATTTACACATTATCTCATAAATTCAAATAACTTTCACAAAGTTTCCCTCTTCCGTCTAGGTCAGTGGTATTTAAACTCTTTCAGCGAAGCAATAAATACATTTACTCAATCAAATTGTATTTTTCAAATGATCTTTCTCAAAAACACTTGTACAGTATATTGTCACATACAATAATCAGTACTCGTATTTTATGGTTCCTAAACAACTATACATGCCATGTATAACGTTAGTGGTTCAAAATATACAATAGTGCCATTTAAATGAGCCAAGATATACTACTGATATGGAGCCTAGACAGTACCTACTGTAGTTGTTTATTCGTTCATGTGTTCTCTGGTGGTTGCAGGTGAACCAGTGGTGTGAGTCGGGGGTGTACCTGCTGGCCTCTCAGGCAGTGGACAAGTGCCAGTCCCAGGAAGGGGCTGAGGCAGCCCTGCAGGACATTGAGAAGTTCCTGGAGACTGCCAAGGAGAATCAACTGAGTGAACTCAAGAACATCCACAACCAGTATGAGCTAGTCCTCAACGCTGAAGTCAAGGTATGTGCAGTGCTCCCTTAATTCACTAATGGAATCCTAATTCCTGGAGTTGTCAGCCTACGGAAGAACAATGGTCCTATTTGTTGACCCCTGGTGTGTGCTTTCCATCAGGCCAATGTACAAAAGGCTCTAAAGAGGCTGGACGATGTACAGGAGATGTTTGAGAAGAGACAGGTCAGTCTGAAGAAGCTGTCAGCCAAACAGACCCGGCCCGTCCAGCCTGTGGCCCCCCGGCCTGAGTCCTCTCCTAAACGGCCTGCGCCTCCCAAAACACCCAGGACCACCGGCCCTGCCCCTGGTAAGTCTCCCCCATAGAGATAGTTAAAGGGCTCAACTTGGATGTAGCCCCCTTTATCATGGGGATTTCCATTGAGAGCTTCCACCATTTTAAAGTAGTCAACTGGGTGGGGATTCCTATGGGTTGGGAGCTATCAGCCAATGATCAGAGCATTGTCTTCTTCAAATTGGGTGCTATGGTGTGTAAATTAATTTAAGCTCTATCACTGACATCTAATGGCCACAGTAAATGAAGGACAATATTTGGTTGAGCACTTCAGCACTCCAGGTGGGGGTAAATCACCAATACTAGCTTTACACTTTTTTTCAAACACAAAATAAGAAGAAAACTGACTACTTTAAAATGGAGATAGCCTCAATGGAGCTGCTCATTCTGTCACAGACGGCATAATGGCACAAATACAAAGTTGAGACCTCTTTCCATCTGTATGGTCTCCACCCACTTGACCTAACCACAAACTTTACCTGCCTGCAATACAAGATCATAGTAGAAACATAGTCTGTACTTTACTTTCCAGGAAGCAAAGTAATTTTCTAGTTTAAGACAATGTATGTGTTTAAAACCTTACAAACTGAGGCTTGTAAAGGAAGTCTATTGTATTCACTGCGGTAATCTACCTATGACAGGAAGAGGACATAGCTTTGGGCCAGGGCCTCCTGCCGTTGTTCCACACAGAGAGAATGGCAAAACGACTGATGTTTCAACCAGGATCCCTAGATGTCTCTATGCCTTTATGTCAAACATTCCGCTTTAATTTTTTTAACTTTCTCTTTCTTCCTTTTCCCATCCCTGTTCTGCAACCATTTCTAGCGCTCAGTCGAAGGATCTCTGAGAACTCTAGTGCCACAAAGCAGCCCACGGAGGCTGAGCTCGCAAAAAGGAAGAATGTAAGCCGCAAAGTCAAAGGGAGCCTCAAGGTAAGATCTATGGACATCTCTAGACAATTGAACCTGAAATGGTTCAGCCTCATCTACAACAACAACAACAACAACAGTCTTATTTTTTGTTGGCTAGCCACTGGTCCATTTGTATGACAGTGTTCCGCCAAATCCTCTTCTATAATTCATCAGAACATAACTCTTGGTCAATGGTAGTCTGGGAGAAGTCGTCATGGGGGTGTCCAGTTTCACCATCTTCTGTTTCATGCCTTTCCCAACTGAACCCTGCGGGGATGAGAAACCCTAGTTTCAAATCAATTATACACCTTTTGCCCTGACCACATCACGTCTGTCTGATAAATAGGAATAATGTGCCATACTAGTCATGCATGATAAGCCTGTCATCTTATCTAAATGTTAGCACTATGACCATGAGGCTGACGTTTGAAAGGAAATAGGGGCCTCCAAGGAATGTGTCACCCTTTCACCTGTCCATGACTGCATCAATGTGTGTTTGTGTCCCCAGATTGAGGTAATGCATGAGGCAAGCCAGGGAGGCTCCAGCCACGTCCTGGTGACGAACGAGACCGAGGAGAGTCTTTCAAACAGACGGAGGTAAATGGCTCTTTCTGTTCTCTGCCCATAGTCTTTCACGTCATCTTTTACTCTCTTTCATGTTTCTCTCTGCTCTTTTCCAAAACAACTGCATACGCACACTGTTGCTAGTGATGTGGTTTATGACATTTACAAGGGACTACTATTTCCTCAACCATTAGCTAGTGTTAGGGGAAGAAACTTTGAAATAGGTCAAAGAAAGAGAGTGAATATTGAAAGGCGAGGTTAGGAGAGCATAGCACACACAGCACAGCCATCTGAAGAAAGGGTTTGTAGAGATGACCAAGAGAGACTTTTATTGAGGCAAAGCCTGCCGGCTGACTGTTAGCACCCAGGTGACCACGAACTGTATGACTGCTGTGTGGAATGTCTCCTGCTCTAATTTCAGCCTGCACAGTACCTGCTGATATAGAGCATACTAATAAGTTGATTAATACTAATAAGTTGATTAATCACATTATTTATCTTGTCTTTGTTATAACTGTTACGGGTTCGTAGGAGTGTACTCCCTGTTGCATGCGTACAATCTCTGACTCAACAGACAGTTTTATATTCGGTAACCACTTTTGAGGTTTGAGGTGGCTCAATCTTAAGAACAGGATGTGGCTGAAAGCCGGAAATAAAATGGGCACATGAGGGGAATTATATTTGCACTCCCCTCCTCTGCCAAGCACAGGCATTACAAGCAGTCACTGTAGGCCATGTGTATTTCCATAAGATTGAACACGAGATTTTCATAAAACACATATTGTCCCTGACAACGTCTCTTTTAGAGCATAAAGTAGCAACAGGTAAAAAACGCAATATATAAAGGAAGGACAGAGTTTGGGAAACCCCTGCTGCAGGCTAGGGCCCCTAGAGATCCATACTGAATCCACATTGTCACTGCCAGTCATTGATTTATTTATTACACATGCCAGATTTATAATTGTAGCGAATGTTAAAGACCCTTAGCAAACAGTGTCAAGTGCTTTTATGTTTGAAGGTTAGTTTGCAGTTAACTTCACTCCACCGCTAAAGGGCCCAGTGAATTCCTGTCTGCAGAGTCACTAAATGCTGTATGTTACCTTATTGGGGGCCCCAGACTGTAGGACGGGGAGAGATGGGGGAGCAGAGTTCATATGGAATGATTTAGTGAGCAGGATGTAGTTTAAAGCAAATTGTGTTTGCTCCTGGTTTGCAGCCTGACATGAAACCCGGGAATGGGGAAGAAATGGCATTGGCTCTATAGAGATAAGAGGGAAGGTAAAATTAGTATGATACAGATGGTACACTTTCAACCAGTTTAATTCAATGAGCAATAGAAAACTGAATAAAAAGCCTAATGTCTGCTAGCAACTCTGAACAGAATTTCCTCTTGAGACTGTGAGGTAATTTATTCAAATTATTCTTCCCTTACGACTTCATGCAGCCAGCCAAAATGTTCCTCAATGCAGCCAAGAACATTAACAGTCTGTTTACCATCACACAATTAATTAGCTAAAACACAAAGTACAACTGCAGTATCCATCCATCAAGCCAAGGCAGGAGTGGTGATATATGCTCAAGAACATGGCTTTGGTCTTTATTTAGAAAATGATACCAGCTGCGGACACTGAAATATAAAAAGAAAATGCCTTACAGTACACTATGAAAATGCCGCCTTGCATGGGTAGGTATTGAAATAGTAAGGTTTACAGAGAAACATTACTTTCACTGCTGTGCAGTACAGCTTTCCCACCAAGCCAGAGGAAATATAATGAATCTGTGGGTCCGTGGCTGCCTTCCACAGGTACCGGACATCTGCCACATGTCCGTGAGAGGTGATCATCTTATCATAGATGCAGGGGTGATAGGGGGCCTTCCCTTCCCCTGAAAAGTAAACATGTTCCTGGGGAGACACCCCCATGGCGTTGGCACAAATGCCCATGAACACATCGTCAATGTACAGCGAGGCATTGAGGGACAGAGTGGCCTGGTAGATTTTGGTAGCTACGTCCCCTGAGACAACGTACCCTGCCCCCGCTGTGTAGTCTGGGTAAGAGGGCCACTGGTACATCTCATAAGGCACGTAGTACTTGCTGTCCTTCCGGCGGTTAGGGGGGGCTCCCCTGTGCACGTGGCCCACCCAGAGGTCCCGGGCCCCCTGCCGGATCAGGCTCCGCAGGTAGTGCACCAGGTTGGGCATGTGGACAAAGATGTCGTCGTCGGCTGACATGAGGAATCGTGCTTGGCTGCAGTAGGTGTGGCTCCAGCGGAACTGCAGCAGCAGTTTGATGGTGAGGTTGTGAAAGGTGTCGACAAAGTCCTGCTGGACCAGGTCCCCATAGACCTGGTCTTCCCCCAGCAGCCCCCTCTGTACATGGCCCCTCTGTTGGGGGTTGGGGTGGACCCCCAGGGCAAACACCACCCTCACAGTGGCCCCCAACTCCCTCTGGGTGTAGGTCTCATTCCCCCAGGTGGCCCGGATGGCCTGCCTCCTCTCCAGGTTCTCTGGGGAAGATTTGACGAACAGCAGCAGCAGCACTTCATTGCTGTCACACTTGTCATGGTGGTTGATGAGGTACGGGAAGTTGCTCTGGCTCTCAGCCTCCTGCTGGCGGATGCCAAAGCTCTCGTTGATGAAGTCGTAGCTGTTGACCAGATAGCGGTAGGAGTAGGACTTCATGTGGCTCACCACATGGTGGTCCAGCTGCTCCCAGCACACCATCAACACGGACAGGACAAAGCACGTCGTCACCAGCTGCACACATTGACATTTTCTGATCCTTCTGAAATTCAAAAACATTCTTCAAACCTTCCTGCCCTCACCCCCTCTTTTCTATATTTTTGTCAAGTCCAATAGGTTGTTGTGTTTGACAGGCTGCTACTTTCACAATGGTTCCAAATGATTTGGGAGTGTCTGAGTTCCATCATATTTGCCCAACTGGAGACATGGGCTCCTCAGAGAAATGTTGGTCTTCAGTTCAATTTCATCTCCTCCCGACACCTCTCCCGTCTTCTCTTTACTGTGACTGTATTGTTGAGACGATCATGTCACTAGTCATCGCTGTTTTGTTATCAGTGTCCACACAGTCACAAAACATTCCACATCATAGGATCTGAAAGGAGAAAGACAAAAATCTGAACATATTGCACCAACAGGAAATGCATTTGAAATTGTGAGTCAATATTATGTTGATTCATTCTGAGGATGTGAATGAAACAGTCAGTAGATGTGTTTGATCCAGCGTGCCGTCTAAACCAGGGTTAGTACTTTTGAAGTTATTCCAACTGTGCTAGAGTGCGAATACCGCGGGGCAACATCAATCAAGCGCGCTTATTCTGTCCAACATGGAGCGAGGCATCCATCCTCACATCCCCAAGGTAGGCTACCCAAACAGCAACAACAACCGTGGGTCGAGCAATCGCATTTAGTCCACAATGGGTGGACAGTCCAAATGCAATATTGATTGTAGGACTATAAATACAGACTGGTAATGTGGCTTTTCAATCAGCCTACTCACCGGGGTGAAAGAACGACAGTAAGGCTGAAGGCGAAATTATAACTTTTCTCATATTCCAACGATTCCAAACAAAAGAAGCAAAGCTGTCAAAACGCGTATGTTCAGAGCTCCCTACAAAAGAGAAGCGTTGCAGCTCGCAATTGAATTTGTGTAACCTAGGGATGGGCAACTCCAGTCCTCTGGGCCCGAAGGCCGGACTTTTCCCCAATCCCTAGCAAACACAGCTGATTAAACTAATTGCATTCTAAACCGAATATCATTATCATTACAGCTGATTAAACTAATTGCATTCTAAACCGAATATCATTATCATTGGAGTCAGGTGTGTTAGCTGGGACTGGGGCAAAAGTGTGACACCAATCAAGCCCCCGAGGACTGGAGTTGCCTATTCCTGGTGTAGCCAGTGCTGTACTGCACCGCCGTAGCTCTACGGTGTGTGTGATTTGATTGAGACTGAAGACTTCGGAGATCAGAGTTTGTATGAAACCGTATTTGTAGAGCACAAATATGTTCTGCCAAATGTTGCTTCTCTGTCTCCTGAGTAAAAAAAATTAATAATAATAATACGTTGAAGACATTTAGCAAATCCAATCAGTTTTCCACGTTGATTCAACGTCATCACATTAAATTTTTTTGTTAAAATGACATTGAAACAACGTTGATTCAACCAGTTTTTGCCCAATGGGATATAGGCCTATTGCTGAGGAAAATTACACTCAACAAAAATATAAAAGCAACATGTAAAGTGTTGGTCCCATGTTTCATGAGCTGAAATAAAAGATACCAGAAATTTTCCATATGCACAAAAAGCGTATTTATCAAATTTTGTGCACAAATTTGTTTATATCCCTGTTAGTGAGCATTCATCCTTTGCCAAGATAATCCATCCACCTGACAGGTGTGGCATATCAGGAAGCTGATTAAACAGCATGATCATTACACAGGTGCACCTTGTGCTGAGGACAATAAAAGGCCACTAAAATGTGCAGTTTTGTCACACAACACAATACCACAGATGTCTGAAGTTTTGAGGGAGCGCGCAATTGGCATGCTGACTCCAGGATTGTCCACCAGAGCTGTTGCCAGATAATTTAATGTTAATTTCTCTACCATAACGTCGTTTCAGAGAATTTGGCAGTACATCCAACTGGCCTCACAACCGAAGACCATGTGTATGGCATCGTGTGGGCAAGCGGTTTGCTGATAACGTTGTGAATAGAGCGCCCCATGGTGTTGTAGGGGTTATGGTATGGGCAGGCATAAGCTACGGACAACAAACATAATTTTATTTTATTTATGGCAATTTGAATGCACAAAAATACAGTGATGAGGTCCTGATTTTAAATTTGTTTTAAGGTATCTGTGACCAACAGATGCATATCTGTATTCCCAGTCATGTGAACTCCATAGATTAGGGCCTAATTAATTTATTTCAATTGACTGATTTCCTCATATGAACTGTTTTATTTTATTTATTTTTTATTTCACCTTTATTTAACCAGGTAAACCAGTTGAGAACAAGTTCTCATTTACAACTGCGACCTGGCCAAGATAAAGCAAAGCAGTGCGATAAAAACAACAACACAGAGTTACATATGGGGTAAAACAAAACAAAGTCAAAAATACAACAGAAATACATATAATATACAGTGTGTGCAAATTTAGCAAGTTATGGAGGTAAGGCAATAAAATAGGCTATAGTGCAAAATAATTACAATTAGTATTAACACTGGAATGATAGATGTGCAAGAGATGATGTGCAAATAGAGATACTGGGGTACAAATGAGCAAAATAAATAACAATATAGGGATGAGGTAGTTGGGCGGGCTAATTTCAGATGGGCTGTGTACAGGTGCAGTGATCGGTAAGGTGCTCTGACAACTGATGCTTAAAGTTAGTGAGGGAGATAAGTGTCTCCAGCTTCAGAGATTTTTGCAATTTGTTCCAGTCATTGGCAGCAGAGAACTGGAAGGAATTGCGGCCAAAGGAGGTGTTGGCTTTGGGGATGACCAGTGAGATATACCCGCTGGAGCGCAGACTACGGGTGGGTGTTGCTATGGTGACCAATGAGCTAAGATAAGGCGGGGATTTGCCTAGCAGTGATTTATAGATGGCCTGGAGCCAGTGGGTTTGGCGACGAATATGTAGTGAGGACCAGCCAACAAGAGCGTACAGGTCACAGTGGTGGGTATTATATGGGGCTTTGGAGACAAAACGGATGGCACTGTGATAGACTACATCCAATTTGCTGAGTAGAGTGTTGGAGGCTATTTTGTAAATGACATCGCCGAAGTCAAGGATCGGTAGGATAGTCCGTTTTACGAGGGCATGTTTGGCAGCATGAGTGAAGGAGGCTTTGTTGCGAAATAGGAAACCGATTCTAGATTTAACTTTGGATTGGAGATTCTTAATGTGAGTCTGGAAGGAGAGTTTACAGTCTAACCAGACACCTAGATATTTGTAGTTGTCCACATACTCTAGGTCAGACCCGTCGAGAGTAGTGATTCTAGTCGGGTGGGCGGGTGCAAGCAGCGTTCGGTTGAAGAGCATGCATTTAGTTTTACTAGTGTTTAAGAGCAGTTGGAGGCTACTGAAGGAGTGTTGTATGGAATTGAAGCTCGTTTGGAGGTTTGTTAACACAGTGTCCAATGAAGGGCCAGATGTATACAAAATGGTGTCGTCTGCGTAGAGGTGGATCTGAGAGTCACCAGCAGCAAGAGCGACGTCATTGATATACACAGAGAAAAGAGTCGGCCCAAGAATTGAACCCTGTGGCACCCCCATAGAGACTGCCATAGGTCCAGACAACAGGCCCTCCGATTTGACACATTGAACTCTATCTGAGAAGTAGTTGGTGAACCAGGCGAGGCAGTCATTTGAGAAACCAAGGCTATTTAGTCTGCCAATAAGAATGCGGTGGTTGACAGTCGAAAGCCTTGGCCAGGTCAATGAAAACGGCTGCACAGTACTGTCTATTATCGATCGCGGTTATAATATCGTTTAGGACCTTGAGCGTGGCTGAAGTGCACCCATGACCAGCTCGGAAACCGGATTGCATAGCGGAGAAGGTACGGTGGGATTCGAAATGGTCGGTGATCTGTTTGTTGACTTGGCTTTCAAAAACTTTTGAAAGGCAGGGCAGGATGGATATGGGTCTGTAACAGTTTGGATCTAGAGTGTCACCCCCTTTGAAGAGGGGGATGACCGCGGCAGTTTTCCAATCTCTGGGGATCTCAGACGTTACGAAAGAGAGGTTGAACAGGCTAGTAATAGGGGTTGCGACAATTTCGGCGGCTAGTTTTAGAAAGAAAGGGTCCAGATTGTCTAGCCCAGATGATTTGTAGGGGTCCAGATTTTGCAGCTCTTTTAGAACATCAGCTGTCTGGATTTGTGTGAAGGAGAAGCGGGGGGGGGGCATGGGCAAGTTGCAGCGGAGGGTGCAGAGCTGGTGGCCGGGGTAGTGGAAAGCATGGCCAGCCGTAGCAAAATGCTTGTTGAAATTCTCGATTATTGTAGATTTATCGGTGGTGATAGTGTTTCCTAGCCTCAGTGCAGTGGGCAGCTGGGAGGAAGTGCTCTTATTTTCCATGGACTTTACAGTGTTACATTGTTGCATGTTGCGTTTATATTTTTGTTCAGTATATTATATTTCCTCCTTGCCTTTTATTCATTTTCTGACTGTTGTTTTGCAACATACAACTGTTTCAGTAGAAGCAGATGATATGAAATACCTTGAAGTACTGTAGTAGGCAGTCTATTTGCTGCATACAATACAAGTATTACCTACAAGTGTTTCAGCATACAGGAAATGTCTGACCAATTTATGATAAGATCTGAAATGCTCTCTTCTCATGACACTTGTCAACTGTGACAGACTAATTTCAGACTTGGTAAATATGAACGTAGCAAAGTACAGAGAGTTCCTTGATGAAAACCTAATCCAGAGCGCTCAGGACCTCAGACTGGGGAGAAAGTTCACCTTCCAACAGGACAACGACCCTAAGCACACAGCCAAGACAACGCAGGAGTGGCTTCGGGATAAGTCTCTGAATGTCCTTGAGTGTCCCAGCCAGAGCCCGGACTTGAACCCGATCGAACATCTCTGGAGAGACCTGAAAATAGCTGTGCAGCAACGCTCCCCATCCAACCTGACAGAGCTTGAGCGGATCTGCAGAGAAGAATGGGAGAAACTCCCCAAATACAGGTGTGCCAAGCTTGTAGCGTCATACCCAAGAAGACTCGAGGCTGTAATCGCTGCCAAAGGTGCTTCAACAAAGTGCTGAGTAAAGGGTCTGAATACTTATGTAAATGTGATATTTAAGTTTTATTTTATCTGTATACATTTGCAAAAATTTCTAAAAACCTGTTTGTACTTTGTTATTATGGGGTATTATGTGTAGATTGATGAGGAAAATACAATTTAATCAATTTTAGAATAAGGCTGTAACGTGGAAAAAGTCTAGGGGTCTGAATACTTTCCGAATGCACTGTATCTGTTATTTATCCGTGCTTATAGTGCCTTAAGTATTCACACTCCTTGACATTTTCCACATTTTGTTGTTACAGCCTGGTTTTAAAATGTTTAGTCACTGACCTACACGCAATACCCCATAATGTCAAAGTGGAAGTATGTATTTTGACATTTTTACACATTAATTAAAAAGAAAATGCTGAAATGTCTTGAGTCAATAAGTATTCAACCCCTTTGTTATGGCAAGCCTAAATAAGTCACATAATAAGTTACAAGGACTCAGGATAAAAAAGAAACAGAATGGAGCTAAGCACAGGCAAAATCCTTGAGTAAAACCTGGTTCAGTCTGCTTTCCACCAGACACTGGGAGATAAATTCACCTTTCAGCAGGACAATAACCTAAAACAAATCTACACTGGAGTTGCTTACCAAGAAAAACTGTTAATGTTCCTCAGTGGCCGAGTTACAGTTTTGACTTAAATCTACTTGAAAATCTATGGCAAAACCTAAAAATGGTTGTCTAGCAATGATCAACAACCAATTTGACAGAGCTTGAAGAATTTTGAAAAGAATAATTGGCAAATGTTGCACAATTCAGGTGTGGAAAGCTCTTACCCAGAAAGACTAACAGCTGTAATCGCTGCCAAAGATGCTTCTATAAACTATTGAGTCAGTGGTGTGAATGCTTATGTAAATGAGATATTTCTGTATTTAATTTAATACATTTCTAAAAACATGTTTTCACTTTGTCATTATGGGGTGTTGTGTGTAGATGGGTGAGAAATCAATGTTATCCATTTTGAATTCAGGCTGTAACACAACAAAATGTGGAATAAGTCCAGTGGTATGAATACTTTCTGAAGGCACTCCATCCCGTTGTACTCTATCTACGAAAGGATGATGGCCTATTCAGTGTTTATCTGTCAGTCCATCCTCTGTAGGTGCTTGTTCACAGTGTGAAGTATCTTAACCCTCTCAATCGTGTAGCTGTAGTTGCCAAATCTTTTGTGAATGAACGCATAAGCCAACCCAGCGCAAGTTCAATAATGGAGGGGCTTTAAACTAACAGAGTGCATGGAATTGCTGATGTCTGTAAGAAACAGTCACCATGACAAAAAATATAATTACAGCAGCAGATTTAGGCAAACCAGTGGCTCACAACAATGAGCGGCCCTGACAGCATGCATCATTTAACCTTGTGTCAATACCACGATGGCTATCTATTCAACAATCCCAATGCAAATAACATTCAACTCCCAGTTAGAATTTCCTCCCATGTCTGGGTGTCACATATGAGTGTCAATAAGAGGTAGAAATACGATTGTTGTTTACTTTCTAGGTTATTGTAATCACACAAGGTTGCATTTGTTTGGTTGACATTTTAGGAATTGTGTATATTCCTGACCAAAACAACAAGAATATACACTATATATACAAAAGTATGTGGACACCCCGTCAAAGTAATGGATGTGGCTATTTCAGCCACACCTGTTGCTGACAGGTTTATAAAATCGAGCACACCGCCATGCAATCTCCATAGACAAACATTGGCTGTAGAATGGCCTTACTGAAGAGCTCAGTGACTTTCAACGTGGCACCGTCATATAGGATGCTACCTTTCCAACAAGTCAAATTTCTGCCCTGCTTGAGCTTTGCCGGTCAACTATAAGTGATGTTATCGTGAAGGGGAAATTACTAGGAGCAACAACGGCTCAGCCGCGAAGTGGTAGGCCACACAAGCTCACAGAATGGGACCGCCGAGTGCTGAAGTGCATAGCGTGTAAAAATCTCCTGTCCTCGGTTGCAACACTCGCTACCGTGTTCCAAACTGCCTCGGTAAGCAACATCAGCACAATAACTGTTTGTCGGGAGCTTTGTGAAATGGGTTTCCATGGCCGAGCAGCCGCACACAAGCCTAAGATCACCATGCTCAATGCCAAGCGTCGGCTGGAGTGGTGTAAAGCTCGCCACCATTGGACTCTGGAGCAGTAGAAACGTGTTCTCTGGAGTGATGAATCACGCTTCACCATCTGGTAGTCCGACTGACGAATCTGGGTTTGGCGGATGCCAAGAGAACGCTATGCATAGCACCAACTGTAAAGTTTGGTGGAGGAGGAATAATGGTCTTGGGCTGTTTTTCATGGTTTGGGCTAGGCCCCTTAGTTCCAGTGAAGGGAAATCTTAACGCTACAGCATACAATGACATTCTAGATGATTCTGTGCTTCCAACTTTGTGGCAACAATTTGAGGAAGGCCCATTCCTGTTTCAGCATGACAATGCCCCCGTGCACAAAGCGAGGTCCATACAGAAATGGTTTGTCGAGATTGGTGTGGAAGAACTTGACTGGCCTGCACAGAGCCCTGACCTCAACCCCATCAAACGCCTTTGGGATGAATTGGAACGCCTATTGTGAAGCCAAGCCTAATCGCCCAACATCAGTGCCCGACCTCACTAATGTTCTTGTGGCTGAATGGAAGCATGTCCCCGCAGCAATGTTCCAACATCTAGTGGAAAGCCTTCCCAGAAGAGTAGAGGCTGTTATAACAGCAAAGGGGGGACCAACGCCATACTAATGCCCATGATTTTGGAATGAGATGTTCGACGAGCAGGTGTCCACATACTTTTGGTCATGTAGTGTATTTTCTCTCTCTCAAAACTAGTTTCAACAGAAGTTCACCATAGCGTTATTATAGGCTACAAAGTGTAATATATTTTAAATTATAGGGCAGGGGTTGGCAACATACGGCCGGCGGGCTGGATACGGCCCGAGAGCCCATTCAATCCGGACCGGGGGAGGATTTGAATTATTATTGTGTTCATTGCGGGGAGGGGGGAAATTATTATTTTGAAAAAAAGAAAAGAAAACTCCAGGCCAATCTTGAACATCTAAAACTATAACTTATTGCCCACCCCTACACTAGTGAAACATTCATCCCTACCAATGCAAACCTTTTCACTGATCAATGCCCTGGAAAGCCAACTGTCCCCATGCAGTTACTTTTGAAAGGGGGAAAAATCTTTGAGCAAACCTCCCAGAATAGAAGTCCAATAATGTAAACACGAATGTGGTTTATTAATCATCAGCTCAACAGCACTGGTTTAGAGAATGCAGCAGACATAAAATAAAATATGCCATTTAGCAGACGCTTTTATCCAAAGCGACTTACAGTCATGCGTGCATACATTTTTGTGTATGGGTGGTCCCGGGGATCGAACCCACTACCTTGGCGTTACAAGCGCCGTGCTCTACCAGCTGAGCTACAGAGGACCACATCTATTGAGAAGTATAAAGCTACAGTTTTGTGGTAACTTTAGTTTTAAGTAAGTTCAGATAGTCATTAAAACACTTTTCTTGTGTAGTGAAAAGCCTCCACCCAAGAAATGTTTTTAGCTACAAACCCACCACAATAGAATATTTAGATAAGAACACCTAAACAGAGTTCATTTTTTGTGTAAGCAGATGTTATCTCCAATGATTTTTTGAAATGACTTAAATTCCATATTGTTGAGTCGAAAGAAAATATTACATTCTGTTAGATTTCCTGTGTCTATTGTTTTAAAACCTACCAAGAGGGTTAGGTTCCAATTCCATAAAAGGGTGTTGGCCTTTCGCCCGTCATCCCAGCGCCGATTCCACCGTTAGCTGTTATCTCCCCACAGGCTATGCAGTGTGAATTCAGGAGTGTGACATGAGCATAGATTTGTTTTTAGCTTTCCACAGTCTGACTTTTCTTTCTCAAACCCTCTACTGAAAGTCGACACCTTTTTGCTTTGAGCAGCTTAAGTTACTATAAACAGTCTTTCAGCTAGAGCATACGATCCCCCCCCCCTCTCCTCTCCCGGATCACTTACCAGCCTGTGAGTTCCATCCACGTGTTGCTGGGAAAAGTACAGAAAACTACTCTCCCCTGCCTCCTCTTTTTCAGTAGATGAGCTCTCTCCTTCTCTCCTTCCCCCTCTCTCTTTCCCCTCTGTGTGTAAGGAGTGGCAGCAGCAGCTTCCAGCCGCCTGCCTGCCTGCCAGTGGTTTCCTGCTGCCTGAGCTGCTCTGTCTGTGCGTCTCTCCGCTGTGTGACTGTGAGAGACTGAGAGAGCAGAATGGGAGTGGGGGAGGAAACCGCTGGGCTAGAGGGGGAAAGCTCAGCCCCTGGACCTTCCCTCTCCCTGCCTGCCTCAGATGAGTCAGTCTATGATCCTCTCTGAGTTATGATCATATCCGTGAGGCCAATCAGCAGGAGTGAAGCTGGATCATATGCCAGAGTGCCAGAGCTTGGAATTTGTGTCATCTGAGTCGCATCAGCTACTACAAATTCTGCACAATAAAGGTAATTCAGTGTTCCCGAGGGTCACATTACCAAATAGTTTGCACAGGGGCAAACTCTGGCGCTGTCTTCTAGTACATGATATGTATACATTATTTGTTTTATATTGTTATATCATTGTTTTTCTGTTGGAGGAGGTTATCTTTGCTCCCTGACTTAATTCTTGGCACACAGAGGGCTGTAGAGATCGAAGCTATTTTATGCACTAATACCTTAGCTAGTGTTGCTGTAAGCAACATGAGGGAGGACGGCCAAGTATGTATCATTAAAATAAACACTCCACTAGGATGCTCAATGAAAATAATCTTTCTTAGGAGCACAAATAACAGGCTAGGCACATGACGTCATGGAACATTCCCCCCCCAGGGGATCAATGAAGGCATCTGTCCATAATATTTATTCACATGATGCTGCCCTGTCTTCCAAAATCGATATGCACATATCTTATTGTGTTGGGACTTATGACGCAGTCACCTATGATATGACAGATGCTTGCCTCTGTGAGAGTGGCGGGTGCTTTTGGAGGAGCTTTATTGACCTATAAAATGTGGCCATACATCAAACACTACTCAGTGTCTCGATGGGCTCGTGATGGCACATAAAAATCAAGACCTCAGAACTCATACAAATGTGCACATTAAAGGGGCCATTAAAGTCTGGAAATGTTAGCTTTGCTGAAGATCGTTGGTTTTATGACAACCTCCTCGGTTAATTCTCCAAAGGTCTTGTTTTTCCCCCTTGTACCTCCTGTCTGGGGTGCTGTGCTGCTGTTTCTAGCAGAGCCTCTTTTGGGTTTGGACAATAACCTGATGATGATGATCATTTAGAACTTTGACAAAGCACTTGGTATATGAGTGGTAGTTGATGTCTTCATTATGGGTTTTATTAATCTATCTGCGCTGACAAATATGACTAAAGGGCTTCTCTGTAATTGGTGTGTATTGACGGATCCTGTATTTTTCCTCCCCAGACACATCATGAACGAGCTGATTGAAACTGAGAGGCTGTACGTCGAGGAGCTGCAGAGCATCATGGAAGTACGTTTGTTACTTTAATTGTCTCTCTCGTGACTGAAATGCTGTCAGTTAGTGGCAATAATGTCAAGGAGACAGTAGAGAAAGCGCTCCTTTCTCTGCTAACTGCACCTAGGGAACATAAAACCCTGTTCTAAAAATCGAATTGACTGCCAGTGTAAATGTTGCATTAGATCTGCCCATTTCAGAATACTGTGTGAACTTTTGTTGAACTTAAAATGTGCTGGCTTTGTTGATTAGATGAGACATTAGGCTACTCAAACTGTCAGTGATTGATTGATTCATGTTCATGTAATGTTCATTCAAGTGTTACAGTGGGGAAAAAAAGTATTTAGTCAGCCACCAATTGTGCAAGTTCTCCCACTTAAAAAGATGAGAGAGGCCTGTAATTTTCATCATAGGTACACGTCAACTATGACAGACAAATTGAGGAAAAAAATCCAGAAAATCACATTGTAGGATCTTTTATGAATTTATTTGCAAATTGAGGTGGAAAATAAGCAATTGGTCACCTACAAACAAGCAAGATTTCTGGCTCTCACAGACCTGTAACTTCTTCTTTAAGAGGCTCCTCTGTCCTCCACTCATTACCTGTATTAATGGCACCTGTTTGAACTTGTTATCAGTATAAAAGACACCTGTCCACAACCTCAGTCACACTCCAAACTCCACTATGGCCAAGACCAAAGAGCTGTCAAAGGACACCAGAAACAAAATTGTAGACCTGCACCAGGCTGGGAAGACTGAATCTGCAATAGGTAAGCAGCTTGGTTTGAAGAAATCAACTGTGGGAGCAATTATTAGGAAATGGAAGACATACAAGACCACTGATAATCTCCCTCGATCTGGGGCTCCACGCAAGATCTCACCCCGTGGGGTCAAAATGATCACAAGAACGGTGAGCAAAAATCCCAGAACCACACGGGGGGACCTAGTGAATGACCTGCAGAGAGCTGGGACCAAAGTAACAAAGCCTACCATCAGTATCACACTACGCCGCCAGGGACTCAAATCCTGCAGTGCCAGACGTGTCCCCCTGCTTAAGCCAGTACATGTCCAGGCCCGTCTGAAGTTTGCTAGAGTGCATTTGGATGATCCAGAAGAGGATTGGGAGAATGTCATATGGTCAGATGAAACCAAAATAGAACTTTTTGGTAAAAACTCAACTCATCGTGTTTGGAGGACAAAGAATGCTGAGTTGCATCCAAAGAACACCATACCTACTGTGAAGCATGGGGGTGGAAACATCATGCTTTGGGGCTGTTTTTCTGCAAAGGGACCAGGACGACTGATCCGTGTAAAGGAAAGAATGAATGGGGCCATGTATCGTGAGATTTTGAGTGAAAACCTCCTTCCATCAGCAAGGGCATTGAAGATGAAACGTGGCTGGGTCTTTCAGTATGACAATGATCCCAAACACACCGCCCGGGCAACGAAGGAGTGGCTTCGTAAGAAGCATTTCAAGGTCCTGGAGTGGCCTAGCCAGTCTCCAGATCTCAACCCCATAGAAAATCTTTGGAGGGAGTTGAAAGTCTGTGTTGCCCAGCGACAGCCCCAAAACATCACTGCTCTAGAGGAGATCTGCATGGAGGAATGGGCCAAAATACCAGCAACAGTGTGTGAAAACCTTGTGAAGACTTACAGAAAACGTTTGACCTGTGTCATTTCCAACAAAGGGTATATAACAAAGTATTGAGAAACTTTTGTTATTGACCAAATACTTATTTTCCACCATAATTTGCAAATAAATTCATAACAAATCCTACAATGTGATATTCTAGAAAAAAAAATTCTCATTTTGTCTGTCATAGTTGACGTGTACCTATGATGAAAATTACAGGCCTCTCTCATCTTTTTAAGTGGGAGAACTTGCACAATTGGTGGCTGACTAAATACTTTTTTTCCCCACTGTATGTGTAAAGCCATGTGGAGCCATGTGGAGGACTGGGTTTTATTGGGTTCAGATTATCACAGAGGCGTTGACATTATCATAGTTTTCACTGAGCCATTACTCATTGGCTTTGAATGTGATTTTCTTCTCCAGGGGTACGCTGCCGAGCTGGACAACACAGAGCTTTCCCCCCTCATCCCCGCAGCTCTGGAGAACAAGAAAGATGTGCTGTTTGGCAATCTCCCAGAAATATATGAATTTCACAACAGGTGACCTAATTTCCTCCATCTCTTTCTGAATTGCATTTCCATATTCAGTGAGTGGACAAATGTACCTGTGACATCAAACGAAAAAAGGATTGGCATGGTCCCCATCCCCCCTGCCACATGATGACAATCCTGAGAGATAGCGTTTTTCCTCTCACCTGTCTCCCACGGCTAACAACTGCTCTGAACCTTACCTGTTTTTAACACATTCCTGCCATGCATTCATTGGCTGCAGGCACTCACATGGAACAACTGGTTATTTGTTTATTTTCTCCCACTGTTTGGGAAGTTTATTCCCCCATTTTTCACTTGAAGCTCTATATAGAACACATTGTACCGCTATGTCAACTATGAAGGCTCCAAATAACATGCCTTATCACCGGAGGGGTATGCTACAAAGCAGAATCAATAAGTTAAGGCGTCCGCATGCTTCCCATCCGAAACAGTTTGGAACAGTTTGTGCATATATTATGATGACATTTTGTGATGTTTTGGTCTTTGGGCAATTTTATTTTTTGGCTGTTCGTGCCCATAAACATGTTTATCGAGGCAAGCCGAAGTTCTACGCCCCTTCGTCGGTAATTGGTCAACAGTAGGGAATCTTCTATTAAGTGTTTGTTGTCATTCAACGAGAGACGACTCATTTTCATGCACATTTTTTTCACTTGAGAAATACTGCACCAAACATCCTAGTTAGATGTAAAACTGCACGACTAAGATCTCTTTGGCAAAAACATCCACATTTAATGACATATTTCTTGAGTTCTCTTAGATTAATTCGGACTACGGCGTCTCAACATGGACAAACAGTACTATTGCTACTTTTTTCTCATTTTTCAAGCGAAGGTCTTTTCAAGCGAAGGTCAAAGGTATGTGAGCACACTCATTCGGTTCGCCTAGCCGAGTTCGCCAGCCGAACTGAAGCATGCAGAAGCATTTAGCCAGCTAACTTTGATGAACAAACAGATATCTACTGATTTTCTGGTTTATTAGGAAAGCTAAACTAAGATATGTACTTTTGGTTGTTGTGTCAATCAGACCATGCCTATTTCAAGCTTATCTTTCTAAAAATGAATACGTTATGTCAGAATATTTAGGTAAGTTAACTGGCAGAGTCGTTGATCTTGCTTTGTAGTATACCCCTCTGAGCAAGAAGTAAAAATAAACAAACAAATCCTGCGTTGTGATTGGCTGAGAGAGCTCAATTGACAGTGGGCCCTGTATTGTCTTGGGGTTTTTGTGTTCTAGGCGTGACATCCCATGTGATGGACACCCATTGTTCTGCAAGGCCCTGTGATCACTCCCTCTCAGGTGGGGTTAGGTTACAGTGAGAGGGACAAACAAAAGGTTCCACAGGGACCCATAGAGCTCCACACCACATGGGCATTCATTATTATACTACACCTGTTCTAGCAGACACATTCACGTGAACATATCCCTTCACCCCCTCTTTCTGACACTGCTGCTATTTCCAGTTTGTCCATATTTCTAATACAATGACAATATCCATAACACATAGATATCAGATATATCAACATTTCAGTACCAGGGTTTTAGCTCTTAACACTATCATTTGATTATCAGTGGATCATTTCTGTTGTGTAATGTTTTATCTCTACTCAGCTAAATACTGTCCAGTGTCCATAGCTGAAGGACTTACTGTATTAACTCCTTGGTGTGGAAATGCTTATGGAGTTAAAACCCAGGACAAACCCCCAAGCAGGATACTAATGGGACACTCATTGGGAAGTCTCAGGGTTCAGTAGGTTAATTCAATCTCAACTGTAGGGCCTCACAAAAATTTCCAACCTTGTTCAGACAGGCATCCACGGCTTCCATAACTTTACACATCACAGACGTTCCAAACAGAAGTGCACAGACTCTGTCCATCAGCTATAATTTCCCAACCTAATCTTTACTCTTCACTTCCCAGCATAGGAAATGGCAATCTAATTAATGTGCAATTGTATCCAATGTTATACAGTACTTTATGTGCCTTGTAAGGGCAAACAGGAAATGTGTTGAACTTTTTAATTGAGTTGACTTCATCCTTCTTGTTCGCAGGACATTTTTCAAAGAGCTTGAAAATTGCATGGAGAGGCCAGAATTGGTGGGGACCTGCTTTTTGAAAAGGGTGAGTTCCTTGTGATGTCATTTGGAAGCTGAAGACTGTTACTGTGCTGTTATAGTGTGTTGTATTGCTAAATCTCTGTGTCTGTCTCTCTCCAGAAAGAAGAGCTGCAGATCTATGAGAAGTACTGTCAGAACAAGCCCCGCTCAGAGGCACTGTGGAGACAGTGTGGAGACAGCCTGTTCTTCCAGGTGACTCCCATTCCTTGGGTGTCTCAGTGTTGTGTAAATGATTGCAACTGGAAACATTCTGTGTTTGTTACTGCAGGAATGTCAGAAGAAGCTGGACCACAAACTCTCCCTGGATGCCTATTTACTCAAGCCTGTGCAGAGGATCACCAAGTACCAGCTGATGGTCAAGGCAAGTTTATCACTGAGATTAATCTTTCAACTCAGCACTATACAATCACAGGCTTATTGACATTCTAGAGCAACACACAGATAACAGATATGATGCAAATGTCTTCATTGCTCAAACATGCTCCTTCACTGCCCAAGGGCTAACATGCTAAGCACTTCCTTCAGACTGATCTGATTGGAAGACCTTAACTCTCAAGCAGAGGAAGCTGGTGGGAGGAGCTATATGAGGACGGGCTCATTGTAATGGCTGGAATGGAATTAAGGAACGGCGTCAAACATGAGGTTTCCATATGTTTGATACTGTTACATTTTTCCATTCCAGCAATTACAACAAGCCAGTCCTCATATAGCTCCTCCCACCAGCTTCCTCTGTTCTCAAGTATATGCATTTCTCATGCCTAGTGTACCTTATCTTGCTGTATAATCACCCACACGGAGAGGTCAAAACCTGTGGCCATGTGTCTGAATAGACACAGATGAATGGATATTGAATAGTAGAAGTGTCTGTTGCTCTCAGAGTAGTTTATTTGCAGTAGCCTGTGTGGTTTGAAAGACTTCATTCTTAGCCTAGGTCTGTTGTTTGTGTAGGGGTAAGCCAAAAACTGAAAGATAAATTATTTATCCCACTTGGCTTTGTCCTGACGTGCTCTGTTCCCACTCTAGGAGATGCTGAAATGCAGTAAGAACCAGGAGGGTACTGCTGAGTTGGAGGAGGCCCTGGCCACCATGCTGGACATCATCAAGTCTGTCAATGACTCCATGCATCAGATTGCCATAACGGGATTCGAGGTCAGTAGTTTCAAGTTGTATTAGTCGTATAATGGACAGGATACACATCGTATACACACCGTCCAACGAAATGCATACTTGCAGGTTCCTTCTCGACAATGCAAAAACCATAAGAAATAATAAAAGATAAGAATATGAACATATAATAGATGGCTCAGTAGAATAGAACAAACATTTTAACATAAGTAAGGAAGGCACAATTTATAGTCCAATATTTACACGTGAAGGGGGGATTGGGGGGCAAGTGTTTGAATTGTGCAGAATGTGTTTTACATTCTGCTACCAATTGCGCAGTATGGTTGCAGCAGTTGTGATTGTTTTGTGTGTGGATAAGTGTATATCTGTGTGTGTGTGAGTGCATGTGTGCTACAGTGCAGGTAGCCAGTCCAGTTCAAGTGTTCAGCAGTCTGATGGCTTGTAGATAGAAGCTGTCTCTGAGCATGTTGGTATCAGACCTCATACTCCAATACCGTCTGCCTGACGCCAAGGGAGTGAACAGCTCATGGCAGGGGTGTATGACTTGGCTGGAGTGAAGGGTTTGAAGAATCAGTTCGATTTAGATCCTTACTGTTCCTATCTTAGAGTGGATCTGCTGGGCTGTGACAGGAAGTCCTGCTGTTAATGAGTTTGACTAATCGGGTGGAGAGAGACTGTCATGGCTAGGTGTACTGTATGTGTGAGGGTGTGGGACTGATGTCCTCTGTGTGCCTCTCCCACCCCCAGGGGAACCTTAGTGAGCTGGGCAAACTCCTAATGCAGGGCTCGTTCAACGTGTGGACGGACCACAAGAAGGGCCACAGCAAGGTGAAGGACCTGGCCCGCTTCAAGCCCATGCAGAGGCACTTGTTCCTCTACAATAAGATGCTGCTTTTCTGTAAGAAGCGGGAGGAGACCACAGACGGACACGAGAAGCCGTCCGCCTCCTATAGCTTCAAACACTCTCTAAAGGTGAGGTTGGCTTGTGCGGTTAGTTCCTTGTTGGACAAACATAACAACCGCTCAACTGAAATTTGAATGGTTTTAACTGTCCGTGGGGGTATAATTCTCACCATCCTCCACTTACTTATATGGAAACTTTACAGTGGCTCTCTCAGATCCCCTGAGAACCTTGGTATTCACTGTCATGACACATATTTAAATTCAAGCTTATCTAGATGCAGCCAGGGCAGGAAACCGGGCCCTGAGATGACAGGACCTCCTTTCATCAATGGGACACTGGGACAACCCTTTGTTTTCTAAAGGAAACCTTTGATGAACTTGTTTTCTTCTCCCACTCGCTGATATAAAGTACTGTGCATGTAATAAACTTTGACTGTCAATGAGTAATGGTGTTCATCACTTAATAGGAAAAGACAGGTTTCAGCCCAGGGCTGCTTCAGGATAGTGCCATTCAATTTGAATTAAAGCTGAACTAAAAAGCTGTAGCAGTTCACATTCATTGGAAGAATACAAGGGCCTCTGAGCAGGATTCAATCTTTAAATTCTTCTCTTTACGTGTGTTTGTGTGAAGCTGCAGGGTAAATCTGAAATATAAAGCTGTCACTGTTGTTAATCGCAGCCTTGCCCCTGTTTCAGATGAGTGCTGTGGGAATCACCGAAAATGTCAAAGGAGACATTAAGAAGTTTGAGGTCTGGTATAACGGCAGAGAGGAAGTTTATATCATTCAGGTACATGTCCATATAGTTTCTCTGTTTAAAAAGCTTCCGAAAAGCGTTCTAATAAGAGGGGGGTTGTGATTCAGCAACATCCTTTTTCTAAGAAGCATACCTCTCACTCCTGAGACATTTGTCATAATGACATCAAATGCCTGTTCTGTATGATATTCTCCTTTTGACCACTTGGTGGCAGTGTTGTCCTACTGAGAGTAGCCCCTCAGATGTCACTACCACTGAAACATCCACTGTCTGGTGTGAGGGAGGCTGTACAGTTAAACCTCAGAGGGTGTATATATATGTATGAGTGTGTGTTTGTGTGTCTCCCCAGGCTCCCTCCATGGATGTGAAGAACATGTGGGTGTCAGAGATCCGGAAAGTTCTGACAGGCCAGCTCGAAGCTTGCAGAGGTATAGAGTGTGTGGGGATTCTGTGTCTAGGCATATTTATACCACCCTCTCAGCTCCCACACCTGACACCTGAACACAGCCCTGAAGCCTCTCAGAATGGTGATGTGAATGTTAAGCGGGGGGGGGGGGGGGGGTCGGGGTTGGACCAGTGTTTGAGAACACATACCTGACCAGATGGTACAGTCCACACATTCCTCTCCTCCTGTCCTCTCCCTCCGCCCCCCTGGTAGTTTGCATCAATCGGCCCATGTTCCGCTCCGAAGCTCCTGACAGTCAGGAAAACGACCCTCTCTGCACTGTATACTCTCAGCTTAACTGACAAGCTGTGTGTGTGAGAAGGAGAGAGAGAGAGAGAGAGAGAGAGAGAGGGTGTATGTGTGAGGGGACTGAGTAATGACACAGCTGCCCTCATATGAAGCAGAGAGAGTGGAAGAGGCTCTGGCCTGATGGAGGGCTGGATGTGATTTACGCCTGTCTCTGCTGGCAAGTGGTGGGAGGGGAGCATGTACAGCAGCATAGAGCAGCACACAAGATAAGCCAGTGTTAAAAATCCCAGCGACATGGGGTTTGTGTAATAGCAGGACAAGGCACTGGCTTGTACTGCAGCTGTTTTGATTTGATTCCTCCCCTGGGCCTTGGCAGTCAACTGTCCTGTCCCTCCTGTTAAAGACACAGATTAGTGGCTTCTATTCTGTCTGCACCATTGTTTTGGCCCACGGCTTCTAGTCTAACTACACTGTTTTGGCCCACGGCTTCTGGTCTAACTACACTGTTTTGGTCCACAGACCCTCCTGTGGCTTATGTAACTCCTGGGATTTCTCCTGTGTTATCGCCTGGCATTGAAACATAGTTTTATCAACCTGCTTTTGACTGCAGGTTTCTCACACAGTCCTTGTGTGATGTACACAAGCATGCAAACACCAAACAACAAACACACACACTTGCATACCTAAGATCTCACCCAATGAATTCACCTCACTGACCTTTTTATGTAACCTAAACTAATATCCTGTCATTCCATTGAAAATCTGTTCTATTCCAATAAATAACAATTCTCCTCCATTCACAGAGGCTAGTCAACTCCATCAGAAGATCACTGAGAATGTGTGTCATGCTCCTATGAGGTAGAGTACTTGGTCTCACAACGTTTTCATCGTGTGTGATTGAATGGCGGCAGCGCACAGATAATCTCAAGCATAGGGAATGTAATACTTCTATAGTGGCTGTGTGATTGACTGTCCCATATCGCTCCTCTCCTCCGCTCAGAAACATGCGCAAAATGGCCCTGAGGCAGTCAGACTCGTCTAGCCCGGAGACGGGCTTCAGAAGGAGCAACCCCAGCCCCAACATGAGACAGAAACGAGGTGAGCGATCACACAGCTGCTGACGGCCCCCGCCAACTAGGGCTGTGGCGGTCATGACATTTTGTCAGCCGGTTATTGTCATGTAAAAGACTGCCGGTCTCACGGTAATTGACCGTTAATTAACATGAACATGTTTAGCATCTCCAGGCCTCCACGCATACAAGCCGCTGATGCGGGCCTTTGGAACATCTACAGTCCATTCGGAAAGTATTCAGACCCCTTGACTTTACAGCCTTATTCTAAAATTGATTAAAATGCTTTTTTTCCTAATCAATCTACACACAATACCCCATAATGACAAAGCAAAAACTGGTTTTTAGACATTTTGGCAAGTTTATTAAAAAGAAAAAACTGAAATATCACATTTACATAAGTATTCAGACCCTTTACTCAGTACTTTGTTGAACCACTTTTGGCAGTTATTACAGCCTTGAGTCTTCTTGGGTATGACGCTACAGGCTTGGCACACCTGTATTTGGGGAGTTTCTCCCATTCTTCTCTGCAGATCCTCTCAAGCTCTGTCAGGTTGGATGGGGAGCGTCGCTGCACAGCTATTTTCAGGCCACTCCAGAGATGTTCAATTGGGTTAAAGTCCAGGCTCTGGCTGGGCCACTCAAGGACATTCAGAGACTTACCCCGAAGCCACTCCTGCGTTGTCTAGCTGTGTGCTAAGGGTCGTTGTCCTGTTGGAAGGTGAACCTCCGCCCCAGTCTGAGGTCCTGAGCGCTCTGGAGCAGGTTTTCATCAAGGATCTCTCTGTACTTTGCTCCGTACATCTTTCCCTCGATCCTGACTAGTCTCCAAGTCCCTGCCACTGAAAAACATCCCTACAGCATGATGCTGCCACCACCATGCTTCACCGTAGGGATGGTACCAGGTTTCCTCCAGACGTGACGCTTGGCATTCAGGCCAAAGAGTTCAATCTTGGTTTCATCAGACCAGAGAATCTTGTTTCTCATGGTCTGAGAGTCCTTTAGGTGCCTTTTGGCAAACTCCAAGCGGGCTGTCATGTGCCTTTTGCTGAGGAGTGGCTTCCATCTGGCCACTCTACCATAAAGGCCTGATTGGTGGAGTGCTTCAGAGATTAATGTCCTTCTGAAAGGTTCTCCCATCTCCACAGAGGAACTCTGGAGCACTCCCTGACCAAGGCCCTTCTCCCCCGATTGCTCAGTTTGGCCGGGCGGCCAGCTCTAGGAAGGGTCTTGGTGGTTCCAAACTTCTTCTATTTAAGAAGGATGGAGGCCACTGTGTTCTTGGGGATCTTAAATGCTGCAGAAATGTTTTGGTACCCTTCCCCAGATCTGTGCCTCGACACAATCCTGTCTCGGAGCTCTACGGACAATTCCTTTGACATCATGGAATGGTTTTTGCTCTGACATGCACTGTCAACTGTGGGACCATATATAGACAGGTGTGTGCCTTTCCAAATCATGTCCAATCGATTGAACTTACCACAGGTGGACTCTAATCAAGTTGTAGAAACATCTCCAGGATGATCAATGGAAACAGGATGCACCTGAGCTCAATTTCGAGTCTCACAGCAAAGGGTCTGAATACTTATGTAAATAAGGTATTTCTGATTTAGAAAACCCTGTTTTCGCTTTGTCGTTATGGGGTATTGTGTGTAGATTGATGAGGACATTTTTAATTTAATTTAAGGCTGTAACGTAAAAATGTGGAAAAAGTCAAGGGGTCTGAATACTTTCCGAATGCACTGTACATTTAAAAAAAGTATAATAAATCAATTTAATATACACCATCACAATAAATCCATTATTTATTTTAGTCAGTTAAAAAAAAAATATATATGTATTTCAGAAAAACAGAATATGAGTTGGCCTACTGTAGGCCTATGTTATCTGGCTATGCCCAATGACATAGGCTGTAGGCTTGTTCATTTAGCTGACAAGATATGCTTGTAAGTCTTGTGCCATTATTTTATATGATTTTATAGTAAGAAGAATATAATTGAACAGCTGAATAAAATAGAAAGGATATTTTTCCCATTAGGGATCCACTGCGCGTATGAAGTGGCTATGTTGAGTGTAAAAGAGATGATCTGAAACAGGTCTTATATGCTAGATTTATAGTTATTTGGCAACTTTAGTTGTAAATGATACAAACCTCAGAATGTCTTAGAAATCAAATACATGGGCTGCATGGTGCGAATGGAGGCAGCGCGCTTTCCCACCGGTCCGTTTTGTAGACTACTTCGGTTTTATAGTGGAGCATGTGTTTAATATGAGCAGCTGAGAAATAAATATAAGATCACTTACACTACATGACCAGAAGTATGTGGACATCTGCTCGTTGAACATCTCATTCCAAAATCATGGAGTTGGTCCCCCTTTTGCTGCTATAACAGCCTCCACTCTTCTGGGAAGGCTTTTGACTAGATATTGGAACATTGCTGCAGGGACTTGCTTCCATTCAGCCACAAGAGCATTAGTGAGGTTGGGCACTGATCTTGGGCGATTAGGCCTGGCTCGCAGTCAGCGTTTCAATTAATCCCAAAGGTGTTCGATGGGGTTGAGGTCAGGGCTCTGTGCAGGCCAGTCAAGTTCTTCCACACCGATCTCGACAAAGAATTTCTGTATGGACCTTACTTTGTGCACAGGGCCATTGTCATGCTGAAACAGGAAAGGGCCTTCCCAAACTGTTGTAGCGTTAAGATTTCCCTTCACTGGAACTATGGGGCATAGCCCGAACCATGAAAAACAATCCCAGAACATTATTCTTCCTCCACCAAACTTTACAGTTGGCACTATGCATTCGGGCAGGTAGCGTTCTCCTGGCATCTGCCAAACCCAGATTCATCCACCGGACTGCCAGATGGTGAAGCGTGATTCATCACTCCAGAGAACGCGTTTCCACTGCTCCACAGTCCAATGGTGGCGAGCTTTACACCACTCCAGCCGACACTTGGCATTGCGCATGGTGATCTTAGGCTTGTGTGTGGCTGCTCGGCCATGGAAACCCATTTCATGAAGCTCGACGAACAGTCATTTTGCTGACGTTGCTTCCAGAGGCAGTTAGGAACTCGGTAGTGAGTGTTGCAACCGAGTACAGATGATTGATACATGCTACGCGCTTCAGCACTTGGCAGTCCCGTTATGTGAGCTTGTGTGGCCTACCACTTCGTGGCTGAGCCGTTGTTGCTCCTTGACGTTTCCACTTCACAATAACATCACTTACAGTTGACTGGGGCAGCTCTAGCAGGGCAGAAATTTGACAAATTGACTTGTTGGAAAAATGGCATCCTATGACGGTGCCATGTTGAAAGTCACTGATCTCTTCAGTAAGGCCATTCTACTGCCAATGTTTATCGATGGCGATTGCATGACTGTGTGCTTGATTTTATACACCTGTCAGCAACGGGTGTGGCTGAAATAGCCGAATCCACTAATTTGAAGGGGTGTCCACATACTTTTGTATATATAGTGTATTTCACGTCACGCATCAACCACTGTTTGAGGAGCATGCACTCGCTGGTGATATTCCGCCCAAACTCTATATGCCATGGGCTCTCCAACCTTGTTCCTGCAGCTACTCAGTGCTTAATTTGGAAAACCAAGTGAAATCTGTTCGGGAACATCGATAGTAACATGTTTTCACAACGAAACATATTTCACTAAACTGTTGACAGCCCGTCTGCGCGCTCGAGAAAGGAATAAAGGAGAGAGAGGAGATGGAAACGCATGGTGGGTGAGATATTCTATATAGCTGTGTCACCCAATTAATTATGAAAATATAAAAAAATGCTCAATTACTAGGCTATTCAAAATACTAATTCACTAATTGTAGGCTAACTGTAAGCCGCACTGCACAATCAATGAATCAACAGCATCGCCTAGGGCTATACGTTCTCTCCCAGACTCATGGATATACATTTTGGAGTGTAGCATAAGGTAACCAGTCCATCCAGTATGCATAATAATACAGTCCACACTCAAAAGGCGATTACTCAAATTTGTTTAATTTTGGTCTATAGGCTTGACCAATCATGTACCAAATACATCTTAAATCAGTTTAGTTTTATGTTTTTCTGCCATGTGTAATATGCGGTAGGCTATGTATTGTATAATAACACAATCATAATTTTACTGTGGTCATGATTTATGAGTGGCGGTAATACGGTCACCGCAACAGCCCTACCGCCAACCAACGAGCCCTGCCAAACCAGCATCCACTCAGCTGCGCTCACTGGAAACAAGAGGCAGCATCTGCCATCTACAAATTATCCCATAATGGCATTATGAAAGACACAAGACTGATGGCACAATTAGCTGGGATGTTTTATCTGGGCTTTAACTCTGACAGTGATAGTGAGAGATGAGAGGATGGATGTATTACTGGCTCCGTCTGTCTGTCTCAGCATCAGCCCCAGCCAACCCCTCACCACCACTCCACTCTGATTGTTCACTACACTGGCTCAATATACTGGCAGATGAGGTAACAGGTACGATTTCACGCTGTGTAGAGCCCGGCGGCAGGGTGCTGGTGCATCACAGTGAGAGGGACCTGGGCTAACGGTAGTCTGTCTGCCAGGGAGCGGGTGGTGGTGGTTAGGAGAGGAGAGTTGCTCTTTGACTCTGGATGTGGTCGGTGGCTGGACTTCACTGGCTCGAGGAGTAAGTGTATCTGACAGGTGCTTAGTCTTGGGTGCATGGGGGCCTTTATTACCCCCACCACGGACTCAGAGAAAATATTTCCCCTTCTCCTCTATGGGAAAGGAATATGATAGAAGCTGTTGTAGTGTTGAGCTTTACCACAAACAAAAATAATTATGTTCCAACCTTACGCTAAAGTCATACAGTTACGCAGGCGTAGTACAGTACGGGTTTTGACTCCGATGAGATTTGAACTGTGGTCTGGTGGGATTTTTTGCTTTGACCCATATGTAGCTGATGCCAACCATTTCCCTGATTTGGGTCTGTTTCCTTTTTGGGTCAGGAAACATGACCCCAAATACTGTCGTTTCACTAGTACATCTCACTATACCTCCCAAGCAATGTTCCCTCAATTATTTTGGGGTATTGAGCCTATCTTAGGTCTTGTGAGCGGAAACTTTAATACCCTTACAGTTTTAGACAGCCACAATAACCTATTGGCTACTGTCTGAGCATAATGTAGGCTTACCAACAAAACCAATGGAGCAAATCCCATAACATTTTCACATAGAAATAGCTTTTGATTTCTATGATATATCCTACAGTAGCCTATATGTTGTGTTCAATGCAGGCCTACATTGCATGAGACTTTTAAAAACGTTTTTACATTATGAAGGGCTTGATATTAATTATTTTTTATTTGGTTTGTAACACCATGACTGTAAATTGCATTGTATTGTGTTGTATGATGCAAGAAACCACTTTACAAAATAAAATGTATTATTATTACCATACAGAGATTTAGACAATGTAGACTACCCCACTGCCTATTGACTTATTTGCATATTCAAGCCTGTCTCAAAATACAACACTGCCCCTTTAATTAAGACGTAAGTTTTTTACTTGACTGGCTTTTCAAAGACCTACAAGTTTTGTGCTCTTGTAAGAAGCAGTAACTCACCATTGAAGACCTATACTTATCTAACTAGCAAAAAACTAACTAGCAAAGAATATCAACAAATGTGCACACCCGCGGCTCTGCGCTGTGATCTGAACAGCGCATTCACTCGCGGGTGAAAGATCGCTCCTGGGCTAGCTACCCCTACCAATAGAATTCTACTCGGTTGCGCTCTGGCTATGCCTACAACAAAACCACAGACTCAATCTTGCAAAGTTAGATTGTTGATTCGATCACAGAAAAACGTTAATATATATAGTGCAAACTAATGGGGTGAACTCAGTGAAGTTCAATCTTGTGTCCGCGCGGCATGGCATTTCTTCTGCGCGGCAGTCCTGGAGGAGGTGCGTGCGCCGGGCACGTGCGCAGCTTAGAGGGAACATTGCTCCCAAGTCTTCTGGGGTTAGTCTGACCAGCTGTTAGATTCTGCCAACCAGTGGAGGCTGCTGAGGGGAGAATGGCTCATAATAATGGTCGGGACTGAGCAAATGGAATGGCACCAAACACCTGGAAACCATGTGTTTGATACCATTCCACTGATTCCTCTCCAGCCATTACCACGAGCATGTTCTCCCTAATTAAGGTGCCACCAACCTCCTGTGCTGCCAAGGTTACGGTATATACCACGCTCACATTCTCAGTCAGTCTACTGGATTCTCTCTCATAGTTATCCAAATGCGCCGATTTATTTTCTCATCTCAACATCTCCCGAAGGCCAGAGTAACCTCTGAGGAAAGAAGAAGCAGCTGCGTTGACCTCTCTCTGTTTGGCACTTTTTTCAGAGGTGTGATGTTGATGAGGTGAACCTGGAAGTTGTGATTATTTTGTGTTCTCACAATCAGAAGGTGATAATTATGTACAAGATAATATGGACATTTTGAACGCCCTCCAGGGCATGTGGTTAAAGTGTCCTTGAAATCACACACACAAGTCCGCTTTGAAAATATACATATTTATTGTGTGAAAGTGTCTTCTAGGGTTGGCATTGGCAGGTGTCTAAATCCTTATACCGATGCAGTTACAGCATTATTGAGGAGGACTCTTCTCTTCCTAATGCAGGTTGTGTTGTTGATGGAGCATAGAGGGGTCAATCATGGGTCAGGTTTAGTCCATATGGTGAAAGGCTATAGGGAATTCCATGCCAAGCTTATTATGCATCTCAGAGCTCTGTCAGTGTCGTGTTTAGAACAGAGAGAGAAACCCTTTTGGTGGGGATGAGCAACGACCTTCTGTCTCCAGCATGATCTTATAAACATGCTTTTTTACAACCTTGTCAGCACTCTTCAAACTTGTGAACATATGCATCTATTTTCAGAAATAGGTTAAGGTTGGTCTACCTGTGATCTTTGAATCAGTTTTCATGCAGACTAAAGTGTGGGTGATTGAATAGGGGTCAATGTCTCCAAAATGTCCAGGGTTGTCATGGTATCCATATTACTCTTACAAAGTCGTCCCTCAGGCTTTCTCTCTACCCCCTGCTTCTGCCTCCTCATTCACCGTTGTCCTCTCCCTTTCCCTCCCTAGCTGATGCTTCTGCCACTAATAACCCTGACCACAATGGTGCTCTTGCTAGAAAGCGTTTCACCTTGCAGGGCCTCTCCAACAGAAGGTCTCTTCCCTCAGGTAAAGAAGCCATGACATCTCCACTGACCTGCTCACCCTGTCCTTACCACCACTCCATCCTAACTATTGACCTTGGCTTCATCCCCTCTTTTGAAGAGGTCCCACTCATTGTGATGTGAACAACTTCACCTGCTCTCATTCATTGTCATTGTTGGTCATCTCATCCCTAGCCTGCTACTCTGCGTGTCGTGGTGCAGCAGGCAGTGCTGCTAATACATACAGGCACTTTCGCTCAGAGCAGAGAGCTATTGTACTCCCCTCTGTATTTATTTGAAAAGGGAAGCTAAAACTTTTAATTTTGCTCTATACTCCAGCATTTTGGATTTGAGATCAAATGTTTTATATGAGGCGACCGTACAGAATGTCACCTTTTATTTGAGGGTATTTTCATACATATCTGTTATACCGTTTAGAAATGAAAGCACTTTATGTATCTAGTCCCCCCATTTGAAGGTGTCATAAGTATTTGGACACATTCACCTATAGTGTATTAAAATAGTACAAAGTTTAGTGTTTGGTCCCATATTCATAGCATGCAATGACTACATCAAGCTTGTGACTTTACAAACTTTTTGGATGCATATGCAGTTTGTTTTGGTTGTGTTTCGGATTATGTTGTACCCAATAGAAATGAATGGTAAATAATGTATGGTGTCATTTTGGAGTCACTTTTATTGTAAATAAGAATATGTCTCTGAACACTTTTACATGAATGTGGATGCTACCATGATTACGGATAATCATGAATTAATCGTGACTAATGATGAGTGAAAAAGTTAGAGGCACAAACAGGGCCGGTTCCAGGCATAAGCGGTCGCTTAGGGCCCCCTGCTGCTAGGGATGTCAGCTGGAAATGTGTGGATTGGTAGTTAGTCTAGGATTTCACATTTTCAGGAGTTTAGTTACTAAATGAGAAGGTCAGGCTACAACGAGCAACCGACAGGTAGGCTGTTATTTAATTTGGCTGGCTAGCTAACATGGATTTGATGCAGTAAAGACGGGCACTGCCAGATGGGATGATGGATAACCTATGGCATTTACAAGTTTGTGTAACTAGCGCGAGTCTGTGTCTACTTTTTCGCTCTCTCCCTCCCCGGGGCACCATCTCTCCCGAGTCGCGCAATCTGCGCAGCAGACAAGTGTCCATTTTAAACAAAGTTACAGAAAAATGTCATGAAATCATTTCAAATGCCCATCCCTAGTCTAGAACAACCTTGGCGTCTAGGCAATGAAAACACATGAAGGCTACATTCTCAGCCTTAGTAAATGTCAGCCTGTAATGCTCTATGCTCTTGACATTTAAACACATATTAAATAGTTTTTTTGAAGAGGATGGTTTGATTCAAGGTTTTTCTGTTTTTAGTGGTTAGGGTTCACTTCAAGGCACACAAAAGCATAATGAACGAAGGCAGAGAACTCTCTCCACAGAATACATCCTTAACCACAATACTGATAGCTTGGAGCTACATCAGATGTTTAACAGCATACTGCTTTTAGTTAAACAAACAAATTGAATAGGGAGATGGGTTTATTTCATTATTGTTTTATTACCACTTTGGCACTATTGCAGAGGTATTGTGGTTTGTAAGTGGGCAATAACATTACAGTGTATACTACAGTGCCTTGCAAAAGTATTCATCCCCCTTGGCGTTTTTCCTATTTTGTTGCATTACAACCTGTAATTTAAATTGATTATTATTTGGATTTCATGTAATGGACATACACAAAATAGTCCAAATTGGTGAAGTGAAATGAAGATTATTTTTTTCTCCAAATAATTCTAAAAAATAAATAACGGAAAAGTGGAGCGTTTATGGCACCACAACAAAATATGGCACCACAACAAACCTGCCAAGAGAGGGCCGCCCACCAAAACTCACGGACCAGGCAAGGAGGGCATTAATCAGAGAGACAACAAAGAGACCAAAGATAACCCTGAAGGAGATGCAAAGCTCCACAGCGGAGATTGGAGTATCTATCCATAGGACCACTTTAAGCCGTACACTCCACAGAGCTGGACTTTACAGAAGAGTGGCCAGAAAAAAGCCATTGCTTAAAGAAAAAAATAAGCAAACACGTTTGGTGTTCGTCAAAAGGCATGTGGGAGACTCCCCAAACATATGGAAGGTGGTACTGTGGTTAGATGAGACTAAAATTGAGCTTTTTGGCCATCAAGGAAAACTCTATGTCTGGCGCAAACCCAACACCTCTCATCACCCCGAGAACACCATCATGCTGTGGGGATGTTTTTCATCGGCAGGGACTGGGAAACTGGTCAGAATTGAAGGAATGATGGATGGCACTAAATACAGGGAAATTCTTGAGGGAAACCTGTTTCAGTCTTCCAGAGATTTGAGACTGGGACGGAGATTCACCTTCCAGCAGGACAATGACCCTAAGCATACTGATAAAGCAACACTCAAGTGGTTTAAGGGGAAACATTTAAATGTCTTGGAATGGCCTAGTCAAAACCCAGACCTCAATCCAATTAAATCTGTGGTATGACTTAAAGATTGCTGTACACCAGCGGAACCCATCCAACTTGAAGGAGCTGGAGCAGTTTTGCCTTGAAGAATGGGCAAAAATCCCAGTGGCTAGATGTGCCAGGCTTATAGAGACATACCCCAAGAGACTTGCAGCTGTAATTGCTGCAAAAGGTGGCTCTAGGGGGGGGGGGGGGTGAATAGTTATGCACGCTCAAGTTCTCTGTTTTTAGTCTTATTTCTTGTTTGTTTCACAATCAAAAATACACTGCTCAAAAAAATAAAGGGAACACTAAAATAACACATCCTAGATCTGAATGAATGAAATAATCTTATTAAATACTTTTTTTCTTTACATAGTTGAATGTGCTGACAACAAAATCACACAAAAATGATTAATGGAAATCAAATGTATCAACCCATGGAGGTCTGGATAAGGAGTCACCCTCAAAATTAAAGTGGAAAACCACACTACAGGCTGATCCAACTTTGATGTAATGTCCTTAAAACGAGTCAAAATGAGGCTCAGTAGTGTGTGTGGCTTCCATGTGCCTGTATGACCTCCCTACAACGCCTGGGCATGCTCCTGATGAGGTGGCGGATGGTCTCCTGAGGGATCTCCTCCCAGACCTGGACTAAAGCATCCGCCAACTCCTGGACAGTCTGTGGTGCAACGTGGCGTTGGTGGATGGAGCGAGACATGATGTCCCAGATGTGCTCAATTGGATTCAGGTCTGAGGAACGGGCGGGCCAGTCCATAGCATCAATGCTTCCTCTTGCAGGAACTGCTGACACACTCCAGCCACATGAGGTCTAGCATTGTCTTGCATTAGGAGGAACCCAGGGCCAACCGCACCAGCATATGGTCTCACAAGGGGTCTGAGGATCTCATCTCGGTACCTAATGGCAGTCAGGCTACCTCTGGCGAGCACATGGAGGGCTGTGCGGCCCCCCAAAGAAATGCCACCCCACACCATGACTGACCCACCGCCAAACCGGTCATGCTGGAGGATGTTGCATGCAGCAGAACAGTCTCCACGGCGTCTCCAGACTCTGTCACTTCTGTTACATGTGCTCAGTGTGAACCTGCTTTCATCTGTGAAGAGCACAGGGCGCCAGTGGCGAATTTGCCAATCTTGGTGTTCTCTGGCAAATGCCAAATGTCCTGCACGGTGTTGGGCTGTAAGCACAACCCCCACCTGTGGACGTCGGGCCCTCATACCACCCTAATGGAGTCTGTTTCTGACCGTTTGATTAGACACATGCACATTTGTGGCCTGCTGGAGGTCATTTTGCAGGGCTCTGGCAGTGCTCCCCCTGCTCCTCCTTGCACAAAGGCGGAGGTAGCGGTCCTGCTGCTGGGTTGTTGCCCTCCTACGGCCTCCTCCACGTCTCCTGATGTACTGGCCTGTCTCCTGGTAGCGCCTCCATGCTCTGGACACTACGCTGACAGACACAGCAAACCTTCTTACCACAGCTCGCATTGATGTGCCATCCTGGATGAGCTACACTACCTGAGCCACTTGTGTGGGTTGTAGACTCCGTCTCATGCTACCACTAGAGTGAAAGCACCGCCAGCATTCAAAAGTGACCAAAACATCAGCCAGGAAGCATAGGAACTGAGAAGTGGTCTGTGGTCACCACCTGCAGAACCACTTCTTTATTGGGGATGTCTTGCTAATTGCCTATAATTTCCACCTGTTGTCTATTCCATTTGCACAACAGCATGTGAAATGTATTGTCAATCAGTGTTGCTTCCTAAGTGGACAGTTTGATTTCACAGAAGTGTGATTGACTTGGATTTACATTGTGTTGTTTAAGTGTTCCCTTTATTTTTTTGAGCAGTGTATTTTGCATCTTCAAAGTGGTAGGCATGTTGTGTAAATCAAATGATACAAACCCACCAAAAATCCATTTTAATTCCAGGTTGTAAGGCAGCAAAATAGGAAAAATGCCAAGGGGGGTGAATACTTTCGCAAGCCACTGTATGTCATCATTTGTATGGTGATAATCTAATACTGTATGGTTGGCTCCATCCCTGATGGAGAGCAGAGCAGGCTAGCTAAAGCTGAAGAGAAATAGACACTGAGGGGGTGATGTTATTGCACTTATTGGCCTGCCGAGGTAACTCCTCGCTGTGAACTTGTTGTTGATAGATTTAATCTTGTTAGCATATCCCACCCATGGATTTCTCATCTGCGCCTGTGAGGATGCCGCCACCCACTAGCAATGCCATGCACTTCCTCATGTCTCGTCCATTCATTGCACGTTTCTCAGTTCAACAGACCAGGGTTTCCCAAACTCGGTCCTGGGGCCCCCCCTAGGTGAACGTTTTGGTGGGGGTGGACAGAGTTTGGGATACACTGTCACAGACAATTTCCTGCCTGTTTGAACTCACTAATTTGATACAACTAAGAGAAATTAATAAACTTAAAAGGGATAGTGCAACATTTTGGCAATTTACCTTTTTCTACTTACCCATAGTCAGATGAACTCATGGATACCATTTTGATGTCTGCATACAGTTTGAAGGAAGATAAAGGTAGTTTGTGGAGCCATTGCTAACTAGTGTTAGTGCAATGTCTGGAAGTCTACAGGAACATATAGCATGCTTAAACTTTCTTCAAACTGCACGCAGATACATAAAAAAGGTATCCATCCAATCTGTAAGTCGCTCTGGATAAGAGCGTCTGCTAAATGACGTAAATGTAAACGTAAAAAATGTGTTTATCTGACTCTGTGTAAGTGGAAAAAATTGCTTAATTGCCAAAATGCCACACTATCTCTTTAAGCTGGACAGCATGTAGTGAGGAATCAACAGTGACCGTTATCACCAAGTCTTGTATAAGATCAGGAATCAATCCAGAGAAAAGGTAGGACTCCTCAAAGCAATATGCTCCTTTAGCCTTGCCATTGCCTTGCCCTCTCTCCCGCCCTCCCTCCTCTTCTTCTGTGCCCAGCTAATTGCTAACCCTTGCCTTTCACAGCCGAGCCTTCATCTAAGGAGACGGATGTCGCACGCCGCTTCTCTGTAGCCTCCTCTATCAGTGTCTCTGCCACCAGCCGCACAAAAGGTACCTGATTGCCTGCGGTCTCTTTCTTTTTCTCTCTCCACCCGTCGCCATCAAACTTTTGAAAGTGTCTGAGAGCAGGCACCGACAGGTTAGTGAGGGAGCTCTTTGAGAGAGAGAGGGAAGGGAGAGAGAGCTAGAAAGGTAGAGGGGAGTAGTCAGCTAAAGTAATGAGGGAAAAAAAGTCATTTTCTCAACAAGTTCTACCCATTTATGACTCATGAAATGTATGAGGTGCATGAATAAAATCAGTCTTTCTCAGAAATGAAACAAAATGGAAAAGCGAAAACACTGAATAGTCTTTTTTTGAGAAACCATAGTAATAAAATGTACATTTTGAAAAGCTGACATTTGGAATGTGGGGTGACATTCAGAGCTGCTAAGCAAGTGCAATTGTTGTTGGAATTTAGATAAGAACTTAATTTCCCCATGAAAAATATTCTTATGAAATTCTCCTTGAACTATATTCCCCTCTTAACAATCAAGCATTTCAATAACTTATAATAATAATTTATTCAAATTTTATAGTGCTATTCATTACATAATGAAATCTCAAAGTGCTGTAAAGCAACAAAAAACAAGCAATCTAAAAGCATCATTCATCATCAAAAGTAGATCGACTTATGAGCAATGGAAACTGAGGATGTACATTAAAATAGATTTTGGTTCACTGTCTCAATAGATCTAATTTTCCACTAATGCTTCGACCTTGCATTCATTGTCCCTGACAGGTCCTCCTTCATCTAATGTTAGAAAGACCAAAAGACATGAGATAAAAAGTGATCCAACACCATTCGGTTATGAAGGTAGCTATAGCGTCACAGTATGCACTGGGTCTGTGCATGTACAGCCTTGTCTTTGTTAATGCGGACTGCTTTGTATTTTGGTTGTGTGTACACGTGTTTGACTTTGTACGTGTCTGTGTACGTGACTGTGTATTGCCTGCTCCGTTGTGATTCAATGTGATGCATGGTATGTATTAGTTATTCGTGTGGCACAACAAGTGCTGAACAAGAATACTTCATATTAACAGGCCTCTGCTTGCCTTGTTGCTGGTAATGAGTCAGTGTGGCTGTGGAGCGATGATGACTCCTTTATGGATTTCTGCATGCATATATCAATTCCCTGAATGGCATCCCAGTGGTCTGTAAAGAGCTCATTTCCTCCCAGATACATTACGCGGTGCTATCCCTGCTGTGAGCAGACACAAAGGCACTACAAGCACTGATTCAGCCGTGCCTAGGTCCACTTCTCAACCAGGTAATGGAAAAGTGACTGTGTATATTCTTCTTTTCCCATTTTTACAGTTTGGGTTTCAAGTTTGTGTGGGTCTTTTTTCACATTGAATGTCTTGTGGTATGTGGTACCCTTTTCAGTTGGTTTGTTGCATTGTGTGTGTCCTTGACATATTTTCAACTTCTTCACACCTTTGACTGTCAGTATCCATTTTCAGAATGTTCAATGCTTCTGTTTAATGGGTGGATTTCCAAAGCAGTGAATGTGTAATGCCATGTCTTAAGACGAACATGTTCACTTCTTCTCGTCAACTGAAGGGTTAACAAGACCTTGTCTTCTTTCTGTGTGCTCTATTTCTCTAGGCTGGACTCAACGGTGTTTGCCTTCAATGGACACAGAGGACTTTGAAACCATCCACTCGAGTGCAGAGGAGCTCTCCAACTCTTCGGATGGCGAGGAGGAGTCCAGTAATAAAAATGTAAGTTGGGTTAAATAAATCCTGAAAGGTAACTTCATCCCCCTACATCGTGTTGCTCTTCTTAAATCCTTCCAAACCCCGGGAAAGAAATCCTCTCCGCTTAATTATTTCCCACCATCACACATCTCGTTAACGCAGGCTGACGACTTGACATTTAAAAGACCAAAAGGACCTGGGATTAGCCTAGTGCGGTTCTCCCCAGCGCCTCCGGATTTTCTCCTTCCATTACAATCTGTCTGATGTATGAGAGACGGAGATCTGTTTTAATGGAGGGCCTCATCATAACTCCACCACCCTGAGACGGATGCTAACAACTCCCCCACCCTGAGACGGATGCTAACAACTCCCCCACCCTGAGACGGATGCTCACAACTCTGCCACCCTGAGACGGATGCTAACAACTCCCCCACCCTGAGACGGATGCTCACAACTCCGCCACCCTGAAACGGATGCTCACAACTCCGCCACCCTGAGACGGATGCTAACAACTCTGCCACCCTGAGACGGATGCTCACAACTCTGCCACCCTGAGACGGATGCTCTCAACTCCCCCACCCTGAGACGGATGCTCACAACTCCGCCACCCTGAAACGGATGCTCACAACTCCGCCACCCTGAGACGGATGCTCACAACTCCGCCACCCTGAGACGGATGCTCACAACTCTGCCACCCTGAGACGGATGCTCTCAACTCCGCCACCCTGAGACGGATGCTCACAACTCCGCCACCCTGAGACGGATGCTCACAGCTCCGCCACCCTGAGACTGATGCTCACAACTCCGCCACCCTGAGACTGATGCTCACAACTCCGCCACCCTGAGACTGATGCTCACAACTCCGCCACCCTGAGACTGATGCTCACAACTCCGCCACCCTGAGACTGATGGATGGACCTGCTGTGTACACACACACACACACACACACACACACACACACACACTAAAGTAACACACCATCACGTACAAAGACAAACTACAACTACAAGGATAGGGTATCTCTTCTAAATCACCTCTCCTTCTCCGTTCTCTCCCCACTCTCTGCTCAAAGGACCATGATCGCTTCCGTGTCCAGTTGACATACGAGTCGAGGACGGCGCAGGACCTGTCTCTGGAGTCAGGAGATTTAGTACAATTCCTGGAGGAGGCAGAGGATGGCCACTGGTGAGTGATGGTAGCACACACTCTCTCTATCCTTTGTACACTCCATGAGAGTCCCAGAGAGAAACCATTTCTCCTGCTGTAGTGAGAGGGACCCAACTCAACAGTATAAAACAGCCATATTTGTCCTTGTTCCTGTACTGTTTTCACACAGACACACTGCCCATCCCAATCTCTTCACTGATTGAAACCCTGTTGAAAAAATGTATAACTAATAATAACAATGTTGTTCAGAGTTCCCTTAGGACTAAAAGTAGGTGCTATGTAGTTTTAGATTAAAAGTTAGGTTTATGATTAGTTATTTCGATGAGGCATTCAGGATATTAAAGCATAAATGTTGAGTAGATCTGTACATCCCAGTGGCAATGAAAACACAATGCCTAAATGAATAATAGATCTGTCTGTTCGATTCATCCCACGACTATGAGGAGTGGTTGTCTTCTCACAGAAACAGCCTGCAGAATCCATTGCAAGCCAGGGTGGATGAGAGAGGGATTGTGATTTCACACAAGCTTTCGCAGTGCATTTTGGGGTGACTATATACCCATTAGATTAAAGCTGCACTTAAAAATGCTTTGAATATGCTCATATTTCATCACCTCATACATATTTCATATTTTCTTCAATCTCATCTTTTCTTTAAAACCGTCTTCAATCATTTGCGTCTTTGGTTTCTGGCACTAAAACGTCTCACACAACCCTCTCTCCTCTCCTCTTCAGCAGTCAGTGATCTGAAGTATTTATCCGTTTTTCATGGAAGGGAGTCTGTACTGTACAGAAGTTTCCACAGGACCGCAGGTAGCCTAGCAGTTAAGTGCGTTGGGCCAGTAACCGAAAGGTCACTGGTTCGAATCCCCAGAGCCGACTATGTGAAAAATGTGTCTGTGCCCTTGAGCAAGGCACTTAACCCTAATTCGCTATCTGGATAAGAACGTCTGCTAAATGTCTCAAATCTAATGTAAATAGATGCTCAGGTTGACTTTTCCATGGAACCATCCATTAGCATGTGGATGATTCGCAGCAGGCCAAGGCCAGAGAGTGGTTGTTTCAAGTTTTAAGTTGCATTAGTCGTATGTACGGTATACACATGGTATACACCGTCCAACGAAATGCTTAATTCTGCTAGGCAGAGCTCCAGCTGCAGAGCCTTTAGAGTGCACAGACAGAACGCTGGGAGTATGAAATACCTATATGAAGCAGTACAGAGGCTCTGGACAGAATCAACTGTCGGAAGCAGCACCAAGCAGCAGCACAACCAATGAATACACAAGCTTTCCATCACACGAAGCAGGGTGTAAAAAACGGAAACTTTGGACTTGACAGTTCATAGACAAGATCACAGAGAGAACTCCTGATCAAATACTAAGTAAATATGTTAGATTTTACACTCCCAGGGCCCCTCCAGCTCTCCCTAGTGGCAGTAATCCAACTCCCAGTCCCTCTCTGATCATTTCTATTGCAGCGCGAGGCCCTGCACCAGCCTTTCCATTAAAGCCTACATTCTCTTTCATGTTTTAGGCCAGTCAAGAATCTTATTACTCAGAAGACAGGTCTGGTACCGCCCAGTATACTTCAGACAGCAGCAGGAGGTGGTCACTCATACAGTAACACTACTGGTATTTCTGACTAACCAACATCCACTGTAAAATGCTGAGGCATTCCTGGCATTGCAAGAAAACATACCCTATAGCTCAAAGCGGTAGTTTGATTCGGTGCTTAGGGATTTGGCGGGGTGCATGCTTGGGAGGACGGTAATGGTAAACTAAGCTTTTGGCTGTGTGGTGAACAAGCAGAGCATGATGTTATCCATTTCAGCATGCTCTCTCTCTCCCCTCCCTCCCTCCCTCACTTCAGCCATCCCTTAAAGTGTTCAGTTCACGGCCTTGCTTGTCTTGGAGCTCTTTCCTCTTAAAACAAGTGCTCTCTCAGGCTATTGTCTGCACTGAGAGGAATGCCATCTTAAGTTCTTTGAGAACAGAGTTCCATGCTTGGGCAGTTATTATATTTTTGCGCAGAGCTTTCTCACTCGAAACCACTTATAAACAGCATTCCAGCAGCATACTGGTTTGTACTACTATAAAGTTTAATAGAAGCACTCTTCACTGATATTGATCTTAATCGATATTGTGTGTTTCACCATCATGTCCTTTTTTTACACGGCTATTAAAACTGCATTGTTTGGTCAGTCATTGTAACCAGGCTATGCAACCCCTCGCTAAAAAGACTGATGGTGTTTAAATCCTACAAATCACCATTCCCTTCACACCTGTTGCTTGGCCTCCATAACATTAGATTCTAATGTATGTGACTTTACGTCTTTAACTCTGATTTTCCTTACATTCCAGATATCTTCAGTGACATGTGCACAGCAGCTCTGTCCGACTCTGAGGAAAATGAAAACCCTACGTGTGGAGATGTATCTCAGGACAGCAGATAGGCATGATGGACCATTTGGCCATGAACTTCTGGAACATGCTGGTAGCCCAACTTGGTCAAGCTTCACAGTGGGGCATCAATTTCAGCTGCTGTGCTCAGACAGAGATGTACAAGTCTGAAGTCAAGTCGATAGTGGTGTAGGTGCCATCTGTTCCTGCTATGCTACACTGAAAATAAGACTAAATGACAAACTGTTTTGCCCTGCTTCAGCTGCTGAGGTTAAAGAAAGTTACTTTTACCACCATTTTGCCATGTCTCAAAACCTGAACTTGATCTGCTAGTCAGTGCTCTCAAAGAAACTGCTGTGCCTTTGCTGCACACCACACTCCCTCCTGTGGCTTAATCATGTAACCGCTGTGAGGAGGGTCATCCTGGACACATAGTGGACAAAGAAGTGCCACCATGGAAACTGGACCTCTCTCCATCAAGGGGAATATGCTTGACCCATAGACTCAATTGGAGACAGGCTTGATTTGTATTCTTGCGTTAAAATACCTTAACTTCCTGAAACTTTGTTGTTTTCTCCTGCTGAATTGTCTGCCAGTTCAGTTGTTTTATAAATAACTGAGGGAATTCTCATTTTGCAAGAGATATACTATTCCCTGAACAACAACATACAGTACATATTTACTTCATCTTATGTACATACATAATATATTTCTTTTTTTCACTATTGTAAAATATGTGTATAGCTATTCTATAAATATAAATTCCCATCTGATCATTGTAAAAGTATTCATGCCAACTGCTTTCAGATTTTGGCTTGTGCCTCCCTAGTGGATTCATCTCAAATGTATGTCCTGGTTGGATGGTAGTGAATTCACTCATGAAATACCATCTTATGGTCAATTGTGATTACAAGCATTCCACATAGCACTGAACATATTTTATTAATCTACATTCTAAAAATGTGGTATCATTGTACAGAAAATATTACAATAGTACTGTACTGCCTATTTGGAAGTTGTATTGCTATACACTATAGCCCCAATATAGAATGTTTTAATATTATGTATATTTAAGAACTAGATTTGACCATCACTGATATGACTCATATGATCCTTCAACTGTTCATCTGACTTTTGTATAAATATCATTGTTTCTAAGCCATAGAATGGCATTAAATGCCCCAGATATTGTATAACAGCATACATGAGATTGTATCGGGCCACAGTATAGCAATCTTGTAATATAAAGAGCCTCAAAAGGCTGTATTGCTACTGCAAACATTTTTGTTTATTTATTTGACAATTATATCCGGGTAAGTCATTGAGAACAAATAATTGTTCACAATAACATATTATTCAATGAACGTGTCGCATAATCTCAATGTGATTCATTGTCTTCTGAATGCCCGTCAAGGAGTTCTAACAATTTGGGGTGTTTAAGAATTGTAAGACATTGAAAGGTATAAGCTCATGCACAAAGGGACTGAAGACAGAGGAAACTCTAGATTCAGTGTTTTAAATCTTCCTGATGGAATGTAAAGAAGAGGTCTGGATTTGTTTTTCATAACCAAAAATGTTGTGTTCCTAATCTCTGACACAGGACCTCTGCAAAAAATATTACATTTACATTTACGTCATTTAGCAGACGCTCTTAAATATCGAAGACGTTATGAAATTCAGCCAAAAGGCAATGAATTCCCACGAAGCACAAAGCGACTTTCTTTTTAGACAGAGGTGTTGGACTCATTTACGATGATTTAAGGCTGTGTTACAATGAAATGTCATTCAATCTGAGTGAAATCAGAATGCATCTCTGACCGTTTTCTATGGATAAGTGTAAATTACCTTTCTGTAATTTTAAGTATATGATGAAATGCATGTATCTTGAAAGCCAATATTAATGTATGCTCTTTTGTCAGTGATCATTGGTGTTTCAGGTATAGCAGAACACAGCCATTATAATTCCTGCCTACCCATTGCTACTCCCTCAAGGGAAGGAAGAAAGACATTAATGTTAGACTTAAAGCATAATGTATTCCCTCAGTTGGTGACTGGTACTAACTTTTTATCTGCTTTCTACCAATATTAAATCATATTTTAAAGACAAGCATATAACATTTGAAATGCTCAAGAGATCTAGACTCTGGCACCAGTGATATGTAGGAAATTCTCTTAATAGCATGATTCAGGGCACATGAAAATGACTAATTTATTATATTCCCTCAGACTCATTCACCCTCAACCAAAACATGAACCCAAACCTGCCATTTAAGTGCATCAACAGATATCTTTACATTACTGTTATGCAACACAATTTTAGATGCAAAGTTTGAAAGATATGAACTTCTCTTTTGGCCATATTTCCTTGCTGGTGAGTATCATACAGATGTAAAGGCAATAAACATTTAACATTTGATAATTTTCACTATCTTTATAGTTTCCATTGGCATATAATACACTATGGCATTCCTTAGCTTCACTTCAATAAAGTCTTCCAAAAAATCTGAATTGTACAGTGACATTCTGGACCTTGTAAAAAAGGTGTTCATAACTGCAATGTGAACATTTAGTCCATCACAGTCGATCACTATGGTAGAAATTGATAGTGTGATGGAGGGCAAGGCTTCATTGAGCTTTGTTCTAAGGTGTGTCTTTCAAGCTCCAGAGGGGAATACCGGTGTAGAAAAGAGCTGGTACAAAGAGCTGGAGATGTAACAGCCATACAGAAGCTGGGACTCAAGTAAAAAATGAAAGGGACTTGCTTGAGTTCATCACTTTGTCCTTCAGGCTTGGTGCAGGTTTCCACTCTGCACCACAGCCAGAAGGGCTTAGGAGGAATTCATCATGAGCATCTGCCCCTGGAACAAACCAAAGACAGTACAGTATGAAGATAGGCTAAAACCACAGACAGAAGGGTTTATAAATATTTTTGCTAAAACTGCTTCTCGACCACATGTGTAGGCGATGTCATGGCAACGTTGGATAGCTAAACTCGTGTTAGAAACACATCATCGGGTCTAACAGTCGTCTCGCGCCGAACTGCGCAGGCGTCAACTCAAAGGCACTCTTGACATTTTTGGTAATTTAGCAGACGCTCTTATCCAGAGCGACTTACAGGAGCAATTAGGGTTAAGTGCCTTGCTCAAGGGCACATCAACAGATTTTTCACCTGGTCGGCTCCAGGATTAGAACCAGCGACCTTTCGGTTACTGGCACAACGCTCTTAACCACTAAGCTACCTGCCACCCCAAAGTTGTTTTTGAAGAAAATGAAAATGTGTCAGTTTGTCACTCATGAGGTTGGAGTAAAAACATGTTATCTAGGTTGTTCCTTTAGAGTTAGAGAAAATTAACAACTAAGGAAGAATCTTTCACTTCTCTCATCGACTTCTCAAACCCTAAACCACAGATAGAACAATGAGACTGATATTTCACCGGATGTATAAATGTGAAGCATCCGCTTGGCGTTTCCACTCACTACCAAATATGGGCAGTGGGAGAAGATGGCAGGAGATGGATTTTGGCCAACATTCTGCTAAATTTCTCATCGATGAAACATTTGATCTCAAAACAGTTTTCTGTCCCAAAACTAGAATCTGTTATGAACAGAGTGGGCTAAGTTTAGTAGACTTTACCCTTTGCCAAAGTTTCAGAAAATCGCATTATTTAGGAGCGCACTTCACAGAGGCGTACCCTAACGGAAATATGCAGATGATGCTACAACGGGCCAATAGGATCTCGCTAGCTCGTGCTTGGCTCTGCCCACCCTCCTTGCTTGTTCTGCCCATTATGACTTATTTGTTCACATTGGAAACGATAGGCTGTGGGCTATCTTGGTTTAGTTATTCAAATCTTTGCCTAAACATCGGGCCTGGTCTGCTTAGTCTGTTCGCAAGCATTCCCGGAAGACTCGCGATGTTGCGCCTCTGGATTTAGAAACTCTGTGAACAAACGCTCAGTGACGGCACCAGCGAAGGGCAGTTGAGGTAGACCTGTACTGCAGATATTCTGTCTTGAAGCCTTGCCTGTGTGCAAATCTTAGAAAGTTGATTTCACGTTAAACTTCGTACAAAGTTGATTTATCTAAATTAACTTGCCCAGGTTTAATGAGGGCAGTCTATAACAGAAGCGGACCATACATTTGAAGAATCTCTGATAAAAAGGTGTGTATAACTTTCTAGCCAACCCTGTGCCCACCGAGCGCCTATGGCCTGGTGCGCATCGTAGTTTGAATCCACGAGCCAATCAGAAGCCGCGCAGTGCTGATTCAGCAGGCTTTTCCATTCTTGTCCAATCAGATTACAGCCACCTTGTTTGCCTTGCTTTTTGAATTCGGATTGAGCGAGATGACAGATTTATCCACGCGCAAATAGATGTATTTACTTTTTTAGAGACGCGAATAACCTACAGATAGATAGCAGTGTCAATTCAGTTAGCCAGCCGCTAGCTAGCTAGCTGAACTGGTCAACTAGCCAGTTTACCACTGTCACTTGCAATTATTTGTTGTTATTTCCAAAGGTTTTGGTAAGTGTTTTGACATTTCTGTTTATTTTCCAGCATGTTTATTAAGTAGTTAACTATTTTGCACGCTAACCAATTTAGCTAGCTAGTTAGTAACGTTAGCTACAACACGTTGTTGTGTTAATGTACGGTAGCTAACGTTAGCCAGCCTGGTTCGTTTTTGTCAAACAGTCAGTCAGCTAGTCTGACGAAGGTTTTCACTACGTTAATGCACTCATAAATACACTTTAACTTTTGTTGTTTGTTGTTTTGCTAGATAACGTTACATAGTTAATCAGATGTTGCTAACTGGGGTCGGGACGTCTGTTACGTTAATGTTGTACAGTACTGTATGCCAAGGTACCAAATGCTTGAAACACCCAGCCTGAATAGTTAAATTGGCGATCTAGCTAATTTATAATATTAGATATACAATTGGAGATAGGAATCTTGGCTAACTAACTTTATCCAGCTAGCTACTTCCTACGTGTTCAGCTAGCTAGCTAGCTAGCTACCAACACTCAAATATATTTTAGAAAACAAATCATGTAATTTAGCTGGTATTATGAATCTAACGTTATCATTCAGATCAACAACATCCAAGTTAGCTGGCTTTGTAGCAACAAAAAGGCTAGCATACAGAGCTCACCGTCACTCATGTACACTAAGTGTACAAAACATTAAGAACACTTGCTCTTTCCACGACATAGACTGACCAGGTGAATCCAGGTGAAAGCTATGATCCCTTATTGATGTCACTTGTTAAATCTACTTCAAGTGAACCTCCCGAGTTGCACAGTGTTCTAAGGCACTGCATCGCAGTGCTAGCTGTGCCACTAGAGATCCTGGTTCGAATCCAGGCTTTGTCGTAGCCGGCCGCGACTGGGAGACCCATGGGGCGGTGTACAATTGGCCCAGGGTAGGGGAGGGAATGGCCAGCAGGGATGTAGTTCAGTTGGTAGAGCATGGCGTTTGCAACGCCAGGGTTGTGGTTTCGATTCCCACGGGGGGCCAGTATGAAAAAAATAAAATAATAATGTATGCACTCACTAACTGTAAGTCGCTCTGGATAAGAGCGTCTGCTAAATGACTAAAATGTAACTGTAAGATGAAGGGGAGGAGACCGGTAGAAAAAGGTTTTAAAGCCTTGAGACATGGATTGTGTATATGTGCCATTCAGAGGGTGAATTGTCAAGACAAAATATTGAAGTGTCTTTGAACGGAGTATGGTAGTAGGTGCCAGGCACTGCAACGCTGCTGGGTTTTTCATGCTCAACAATTTCCCGTGTGTATCAAGAATGGTCCATCACCCAAAGGTCATCCAGCCAACTTGACACAATTGTGGGATGCATTGGAGTCAACATGGGCCAGCGTCCCTGTGGAACGCGTTTGACACCTTGTAGAGTCCATGCCCCGACAAATTGAGGCTGTTCTGAGGGTAACTCAATATTAGCAAGGTGTTCTTAATGTTTTGTACAATCAGTGTATGTAGCTAGCTCTCTGATTTATAAAAATAATCAGTTATTTGAATTTCATGTTTGTAGAACTATTTTCTGGAAATGTTGCTTAAATGCAACAATGATTTTCAATGGTATGACAATTTTGTGGTTAGAACTGAAATTCTATAAAAAAGCTTTGATCTGATAGAACATAGTGTAATGGTATATACATCTGAAATTAAGTCATATTTTGACAGAAATGGCTACATTTAACAACTTGACCAATCCATATTTGGTTGTCCTTTCTGTCTGAACTTGGAGAGAGAACCTCTTATCTTACTTTTCCATAAGATTAATGGCAGTATTCTGACATCATAAACCACTTTTTTTGGGTAAAGTCTTATTTTGATGTGTAGGGGGGGACATCAAAGTTACTCCTTTAAGTATTTGGTTGTCCATATGTGCAGAATTTGGAAGGGAAACAAATCTCTAACTTGTCTATCAATGTGGACCCATGTCTCAGTTTGGCACCCCTTTAAGCCCAATGTTGCCCTTTTGCAACACTTCCAAAACTACCTCAATACTATAATCTCTGAGAACTAACAATCATCAAAATAAAAGCTAGACAGTCTGGGAGAATTTGAAAATTCCCAAAACAATTAATTTAGCAGTATTGATTTTATAATTGTTAGTTTGAGCATAGGAACACAGCATTAGCCATGGCAAAATACATTGAATTGCAGGAAATTGGCTTTAAAACTGCAAACATTTCTCTCAGCTCCATGGAGAAAATTTTGACTTGCAGGAAATTGGCTTAAAGATACAAACATTTCTCTACACCTCCAAAATGGGGGCCTCGCCTACAGAGCCCATTGCCATGCCCATGCCTACCGTTATCTAGAAAAACCCTGAATAAATACTTGTGTAGGGTACCAGTGTGGTCTCAGACAAGTTTCTAATGTTTCAGAGGCTACTAATACCACAATGTAGCCTAGCGGTTAAGAGGTTGGGCCAGTAACCGAAAGCTGACTAGGTGAAAAATCTGTTAATGTGCCTGTGAGCAAGGCACTTAACCCTAATTGCTGCTGTAAGTCGCTCTGGATAAGAGAGTCTGGTAAATTACTAAAATATAACAATTTAAATTCTGTTTTGTTTAGGACCTGTACAGGATGCAATTTAAGAGACATTGCATTTTTGCAACGGTGGGTCTCACAGGTTTAAAGGGAAATATCTAAATGTTTTCACTTCATATTCATAATCTCCAGCACCACCCCAACATCAACATATGTGAAAATGGGGCGTTTCTGTTTTGTAGTAAAAAAGATACGTGTTTCCAATGACAAACCAATTAGTAGGCAATGCCTACTCATAATTGGTTAAAATCACACGATGCACACCGACGTTATTGGAAACACTTATCTTCTGTCTTTATTACAAATCCTAGAAACGTGCCATTTTCACATGTTGATGTTGGGGTGGTGCTGGAGATGATGAATATGAAGTTGAACATTTTTAGAATTTCCCTTTTAAGGATGCGGCAAATGACTACCTGTTTAGCAGGACTTGTCCAACGTTGGAAGGTATGCCCATAATCAGTAGAAGGTTCTGATTAGGAGGTCCTTGTTTGCAATAAATAATTGAATCCAGTTGTTAGGCACTACCACCCCCAGTGTTTCCCCTCTATCCCGCCGCTGCTAAATTGTTGACGCCGCTCCAAAATTATGTTGAAAAGATAATGGAGCTATACAGTGGGGAAAAAAAGTATTTAGTCAGCCACCAATTGTGCAAGTTCTCCCACTTAAAAAGATGAGAGAGGCCTGTAATTTTCATCATAGGTACACGTCAACTATGACAGACAAAATGAGAAAAGAAATTCCAGAAAATCACATTGTAGGATTTTTTTATGATTTTATTTGCAAATTATGGTGGAAAATAAGTATTTGGTCACCTACAAACAAGCAAGATTTCTGGCTCTCACAGACCTGTAACTTCTTCTTTAAGAGGCTCCTCTGTCCTCCACTCATTACCTGTATTAATGGCACCTGTTTGAACTTGTTATCAGTATAAAAGACACCTGTCCACAACCTCAAACAGTCACTCTCCAAACTCCACTATGGCCAAGACCAAAGAGCTGTCAAAGGACACCAGAAACAAAATTGTAGACCTGCACCAGGCTGGGAAGACTGAATCTGCAATAAGTAAGCAGCTTGGTTTGAAGAAATCAACTGTGGGAGCAATTATTAGGAAATGGAAGACATACAAGACCACTGATAATCTCCCTCGATCTGGGGCTCCACGCAAGATCTCACCCCGTGGGGTCAAAATGATCACAAGAACGGTGAGCAAAAATCCCAGAACCACACGGGGGGACCTAGTGAATGACCTGCAGAGAGCTGGGACCAAAGTAACAAAGCCTACCATCAGTAACACACTACGCCGCCAGGGACTCAAATCCTGCAGTGCCAGACGTGTCCCCCTGCTTAAGCCAGTACATGTCCAGGCCCGTCTGAAGTTTGCTAGAGTGCATTTGGATGATCCAGAAGAGGATTGGGAGAATGTCATATGGTCAGATGAAACCAAAATATAACTTTTTGGTAAAAACTCAACTTGTCGTGTTTGGAGGACAAAGAATGCTGAGTTGCATCCAAAGAACACCATACCTACTGTGAAGCATGGGGGTGGAAACATCATGCTTTGGGGCTGTTTTTCTGCAAAGGGACCAGGACGACTGATCCGTGTAAAGGAAAGAATGAATGGGGCCATGTATCGTGAGATTTTGAGTGAAAACCTCCTTCCATCAGCAAGGGCATTGAAGATGAAACGTGGCTGGGTCTTTCAGCATGACAATGATCCCAAACACACCACCCGGGCAACGAAGGAGTGGCTTCGTAAGAAGCATTTCAAGGTCCTGGAGTGGCCTAGCCAGTCTCCAGATCTCAACCCCATAGAAAATCTTTGGAGGGAGTTGAAAGTCCGTGTTGCCCAGCGACAGCCCCAAAACATCACTGCTCTAGAAGAGATCTGCATGGAGGAATGGGCCAAAATACCAGCAACAGTGTGTGAAAACCTTGTGAAGACTTACAGAAAACGTTTGACCTGTGTCCTTGCCAACAAAGGGTATATAACAAAGTATTGAGAAACTTTTGTTATTGACCAAATACTTCTTTTCCACCATAATTTGCAAATAAATTCATAAAAAATCCTACAATGTGATTTTCAGGATTTTTTTTTTCTAATTTTGTCTGTCATAGTTGACGTGTACCTATGATGAAAATTACAGGCCTCTCATCTTTTTAAGTGGGAGAACTTGCACAATTGGTGGCTGACTAAATACTTTTTTCCCCCACTGTATATGTTTTAATAAGATAATGAGAACTAGCAATTACTAAAATAAAAACTAGACAGTCGAGGCTAATCTCCCCCATTTTGATTTTATGTTTGAGTCACTCAGGTAGAAAAAGAACACAGCATAAGCCATGGCAAAATTTGTAGAATTGCAGGATATTAGCTTTAAAGCAGCAAAATGTCTCTGCGGCCAAGAGGACAGGCTTACATTTTGGCTGGAGACTGCTGCATTGGCCCCCCCGACGCGAATTTAGCCACCGCTTATGTAAAAAAAAAAAAATCTGGGAAATGCTTCGCAAGGTATAATACCTGAATTCCACTTGGGTCTAAAATGGGCTACACACAGGCCTAGTTCAGACTCCAATAAAACATTTATTTTCATCAATTTTATTCCAAGTTGTTTGGCATTTGACACCTCACTCTCTCCTCAAGCTCTGACTTTCCTAACTTTTGATTGTTTAGACAGGATTGTGCCACCACCCTTGTCACACTGCCATGGCTGACAGCAGCATAGTTACTTTGGGGATGGCTCGGAGCCTGCTGGTGGACTCCTCTGTGTATGACTCCAGGATGGCTGAGACTACTAAGGATGTATTCCTGGGTTTGGGTTCTGAAGACATGGAAGGCAAGAGTTTCACCCTTCTCTCAATCAGTGTGATATTAACTGCCTTTTACCTGAGGCTGTCACTCAAAACAGGAAAGACTTCTTTTTATGATTGCTTTCACATTACCTTTGAGATTCACTGAGCCCTTGGTCCTCTGTATTCTCTTGTAGAGATGTTACCTCGGGTCGAAACCAGAGTCGTTCTTGTAGGAGAAGCTGGCAAAAATGGAGCACTTGTCAAAGCACTGCAGGTACCGTGCCCAAATGGTTTGAGCCCAGTTGTCATTGTGGAAACATCATTGCATTATGGTTTGTTTGTGATTATTATGTTTTTATTTTAAGGATAATGAGTAAAGTGAGTCAATACACCTGCTCTTTCCTTGACATAGACTATCCAGGTGAAAGCTATGATTCCTTATTGATGCCACCTGTTAAATCCACTTCAATCTGTGTAGATGAAGGGGAGGAGACAGGTTAAAGAATGATTTTTTTTTAGCCTTGAGACATGGATTGTGTATGTGTACCATTCAGAGGGTGAATGGACAAGACATAATATTTGAGTACTTTTGAACGGGGTATGGTAGTAAGTGGCAGGCGCACCAGTTTGTGTCAAGAACTGCAACGCTGCTGCGTTTTTCCACACTCGACAGTTTCCTGTGTGTATCAAGAGTTGTCCACCACCTAAAGGACATCCAGCCAACTTGACACAACTGTTGGAAGCATTGGAGTCAACATGGGCCAGCATCCCTGTGGAATGCTTTCGACACCTTGTAGATTCATGTACCGACAAATTGAGGCTGTTCTGAGGGCAAATGGGGGTGCAACTCAATATTAGGAAGGTGTTCCTAATGTTTTGTACGCTCAGTGTATGTCATTACAAATAAATGTAGGACTAATATAGGCTAGATACTTAGACATTTAGCTTTTTAAAGAAAGATTGTGCTTCTGGGGTCTTTACATCTGCACTTGGAGATACGAATTGTTAATACAGGGTGTTGGAGTGATATTAGGCAGACTACTGTTTCCTAGAGATGGTACAACGGCTTATAAATACGGGGATTTAGATTTGTTTACAGCTTATGGCCATTGGTTGGGTTCATGCAACATATCTTGTCCTCTTGGCAATCATATAATTTAGGTTAACTATCTACTCTCATAAGGATTTAGTGAAGTTTTTGGAGTTTTGAGGGTGGATTTTAAATGTGTTTTGATAGAAAAGGGGGAAATTACCTAGGCCCACGTTCCATTCATTTAATTGATGTCTGAAAGTTGTCAGACTGTATCCAGAGAGAGAGGGTGAGCTTGGGCCAAGATTAGAAGAATCTTGCCAATGTTCTCCAGTTAAACTTCAGACCGTGTCCTGTCTATGGCCTTTAGAAAACGATTACTGTCATGATGAAAGCAGGACGGGAGACATGTCTGTATGTGTGTGGGGGAGGGGAGTGGGACAGATGTGCTTTGTCTGTGAACGTGAAGCAGCGGCACAGACCTAAACTGTAGGAATAAAACGGGTTCACCCTTGAACGCCGAGAAGCTTTTAGATCTCAAGGCTTCTTTAAATGATCTATTTTGTGTGCCAATATGTAGTATTGGCACATCCACCGACAGCTTAATCAGAGGGGGAAGTCTGCTGAGTGAATCGACAAAAAAAGTCGACCTGCTGCTTTGAACTTTATTAATTTAGCAGAACTTTCCCCCCGGATAGTGTTTGACATTTGTTTGAAGTCCTTGCCTTCTGGGTTGCAATGACACAGGCCCGTTGTTCAGAGAATTTGTCATTTTGGTGTCACCAGCTTGAGGTCAATGATTCATTTTACAGGCTGTCAAAATAATGGAAGTCCCGGTGGTTAAGATTAGAGGAGGAGAACCGGGTGCTGAGTCCGGAGAGAAATTGATAAAATCTATAATCAATATGGTATGTCTTTTTTCGGACTGGGATTGTGTTGCATGCTTTAATCCACCAAGGGGGGTCTCTTTGCATGGGAAATCTCAGGGTGATTGGCGTGCAACTGCAGCAGTATCCTCACAATTATTGGTAAATGTCACAGATTTATACTGTTAACACCTGGGGTCCAAGCTTAGATGCCTCTAACAAAATGATCTAACACGTTCACACTGTTGATTCCTCTGATGTATGGTGGCAATAATTCTGAGGGGATTATGCATTTTATGAATACGGTTTACAGGTATCATACATAATTTCTCTCTTCAGCTTAATGATCTCTGATTTATTTAGGCTGTGTTCTTGATTCAAATTCTGCCCGACTGAGTTTAGTGAGTTAAATCGATTTAATCGAATCAAAATAACACTATCTGAGTGAGCACTGGAAATTGTTTCATGCGGCATTGAGCAATGTCATGGTGTGCGTCAGTCTGTGTGTCTGCAAATTAATGAACGGCTTTCAAGTACCTGAACTTCAATGTTTACTGTTTGCTCTAAACTCCACTAAATGTGCTTTAAATGTATCACTCATATTGCAATATAATATCATGATTATCAAATTACTCCTTTTTATATGAAAGAGCTGCTTGTGTGTCCCTACTCTCATTAACAGTGACCTTTTTAATCCAAAGGATATCAACGTGCCTTGCATAAAGACAGACGATGTCAAAGAGTTTGGAGACGGAGAAAACACAGAGTTTGAGACGGTATTCGTGCTCACAGACTTTGCCTCTCCTGACTACATCTATCTTTACAAACATGACAACCGGATCGTGGGCCCCCCGGTTGTTCTGCACTGTGCGAGACGAGAGGAGGTAAGGACAGGAGAAAATCACTCCTGAAATATACTCACTCACTCGGGGATGGCACTTGCAGTGCTCGGCTATGGATCACTCCTCGCCCGTTCAAGATCTGAGGTTTTGACTGTTATGGTGCAATTTAGCATCTGCCTGCAACGGGAGATGAAGTTAAACATGGTGGAAAAGTTGTGCTTTCAAGTTAAATAGATTTATATGATGGTTTTGATTGTTCCCGTGAACCCTGAGAAATGCATCACTGTTGTCTGGGTCTAAACAGAGCACCTGTTCAACTCAGCCAGATTACTGGGGAAGATGAACACACCACTGGCCACAGATCATTGCAAACCTTACCAGTCACCTCTCTAAGATTAACGTAGATCTATGGAGGAATGCATCACAGCTCTAAAAACTGAAAAGGCTTAAAATATGGCTGTATTCAGAATGAGAAATTGTCTCTGCATCTATCCCCTTATCTACCGACCCTGGTAACTTGGAGATCAGCAGAACACAAACGTACAGTGCCTTCGGAAAGTATTTAGACCCCTTGACTTTTTCAAAATGTTGTTACGTTAGACTTATTCTAAAATGGATTAAATCAATGTTTTTCCTCAGCAATCTACACAATACCCCATAATGACAAAGCGAAACGGTTTTTAGAAATGCTTGCAAAATTATTAAAAATAAAAAAAACAGAAATACCTTATTTACATAAGTATTCAGACCCTTTTCTATGAGACTCGAAATTGAGCTCAGGTGCATCCTGTTTCCATTGATCATCCTTGAGATGTTTCTACAACTTGATTGGAGTCCACCTGTGGTAAATTCAATTGATTGGACATGATTTGGAAAGGCTCACACCTGTCTATATAAGGTCCCACAGTTAACAGTGCATGTCAGAGCACCAAATACAGGTGTGCCATGCTTGTAGCGTCATACCCAAGAAGACTCGAGGCTGTAATCGCTGCCAAAGGTGCTTCAACAAAGTACTGAGGAAAGGTTCTGAATACTTATGTAAATGTGATATTTGTTTTTTATTTTTAATACATTTGCAAACATTTCTAAAAACATGTTTTTGCTTTGTCATTATGGGGTATTGTGTGTAGATTGAGGATAAAAAAAATGATTTAATTAATTTTAGAATAAGGCTGTAACGTAACAAAATATGGAAAAGGTCAAGGGGTCTGAATACTTTCCGAATGCACATACTTGCACAGGCCTTTCATACAGCTTTGCTACTGACCAGTAAAGAACCCCCCCCCCCCCAAAAAAAAAATGCAGTGAAGGAAATAGCAGAGATTTCTAAGCACCATATTGTTTGTTTTTGTTTCCCACAGCCCCTGCCATTTTCCTCTCGTCCTCTTTACTCTACCACCATGCTCAACTTGTCACTGTGTTTCACAGGCTTCCGCAACAAAGAGGAAGTTGTAAGTGGAATGTGTTCAAGCTGATTGTGTCATTATTTGTAACACTACAAAGTAACAACATGTCGGTTTTGTTTGCTATTTTAATGCTAAGAGATATGTGTTGGTGCCAAATGTCACTCACTGCCTTTATCCCCTGCAGAAAAACCTGGTGAATCTGGTGCATCACATGGGAGGCACCATTCGGAAGGACTTCAGCACTAAAGTCACCCATCTCATTGCATACTCTACTCATGGCGAGAAATACAAGGTTTGTAAAACAGCCCTTTCCTCCCATCTGGAAGAGCTCATGTATAGACCTAATCCATGTGATTTAGTTCTCCTCAGGGAGTTGCTGTTGTTGGATTCTTTTCTTCCCCACATGACATTTTACTTGCTGTCTGAAGTTTTCGTTTTTTTGATTCTCAGTGGTTCTGTTGGCTTTTCTCCACATCGCTTCATTTTCTCAACTGAAAGCTCAACTTGTTCAGTGTTTTGCTCCAGCACTTTAAACAGGAAAAGTAGCCTAGCTCTCTTAACAGACACACTGAGCCATTTTACATTGGAAAGTGTCTTACTGTTTAACAGAGTACAAGAATGAGAGCAGTTTCAATACACATGCCTTTTTTCATCCCTGGTTTTGAAGGAGCTTTTTAACTCTTGCAGTACCCGGCACATAGCCTACATCTGTTGTAAAAGAGGGCCAAACACCTCAATCCTCTTTTGTAAAGAGTAGATAGTTATCCTAATTAGGGTTGGGCGGTATCTAGATTTTCATACCTTCATACCGTTTCTGTACCATACCGGGCACAGGAGGCTGCTGAGGGGAGGAGGGCTCATAATAATGGCCGGAATAGAGCAAATGGAATGGCATCAAACACCTGGAAACCATGTGTTTGATACCATTCCGCTCCAGCCATTACCACAAGCCCGTCCTCCCCAATTAAGGTGCCAGCAACCTCCTGTGATACCGGGGTATACAGTATTACCGGCAGTGCACACAAGGGCTTTCTTTCCAATCGTAAAAAAAACACAACGCACAAAACAAATTTAGGCAGCAGGGATCTTGATCCAGGAGGGGTTTGTCTCTGCTGTAACCAAGAAGCTTGTCTTGCAAGTTAGCAAACCAAATGCATAGCTGGAACCCTGAGCTGGAGATAATTTATTTGGCACATCTTAGATAGTTAACTTATAGTTATAAGCAGTGGCCTAGCACGCATTCCACCCACCCAAGCTTTAGGGTGCTCCCCCCAAAAAGGGGCAGTATTGAAAATCGTACAGTCTGTATTTCAAAATACCCCGGTATGTGGTATGTACGGTATACCGCCCAAGCCTAATCCTAATATGACATACCTCTGTGTCTCCTCTAGCTTGCTGTGTGTATGGGGACACCCATCCTCACCCCAACATGGATCCATAAGGCCTGGGAACATAGAGATGATGTGTAAGTACCTCCTCACGCGCCAGACAATGGCCAAAGCCAACTGCATGCCCAGTCCTCATTGTGGTCTTCACATTCATGTTTGTACATCAACGTATACTATTATGTACATGTATGAGGGCTAACAACCACCTGTTCTTACAGTAGTTTCCATGCTGGAGATGAAGAGTTCCGCACTGAGTTCAAAGTTCCCCCCTTTCAAGACTGTGTGCTGAGCTTCCTGGGCTTCTCAGACGAAGACAAGACCAACATGGAGGAAAGGACGATCAAACATGGTATTGGCCTGAGGTCTTACTTTTTCAGTATTTTATTTTTTGTCCCTTCATATGTTATATCTAGGCTTTACAAAAGCTACTCTGCATGCACATTATCTTCCCTTCTATTATGGAGTACTTTTTGAGTTTTTAAAACTTTGTGTTTCTCCAAGGTGGCAGCCACCTGGAGGTTGGAGATCAGAAGTGCACTCACATGGTGGTGGAGGAAAACTCTGTCAAGGAGCTTCCATTTGTACCATCAAAGAGACTTTATGTTGTCAAGCAGGAGGTGAGCACTTCAATGAAGTAGATGTCAGCATACATCACCGAACCCGCGGGAGGCAGACATAAACATAAAACATTTCCCCAGATCAACAGTGTGTCTGACTGAAGCATAATACCTCAAATTCATGCATTTTATGCGCCTCAAATTCATGAATTTTCCTAATACATTGGCATTGTCAAGTCTTGGAAAATGAGCCTTGTTATTTTCTTCTAAAGAGTATGTCAAATTAGCATTTCTATTTAATGCTTTTGGTTGTATTGATTGTATTGATAAACTCTTGCCTCACTTGAATGATCAATATTTTATTTTCCTTTTAACTAGAAAAGTCATTTGAGCAGAGATAGTGAGCACTGGTGTTCCCCACCTTGTATCAATACTCTGTTTCTTTGCCTGTTTAAGTGGTTCTGGGGAACCATACAGATGGATGCCCGAGCAGGAGAGTCCATGTACTTCTATGAGAAGGTAAGTTCTGTCTGTGAGTCAATCTGATTCATCCTCCCAATGCCCTTACACAAACCTCTATACAGTGGAATGGACACTGCTAAGAATCTATAAGCTGTGTCGCACACATCCTCACGAGTCTCCCTCTTTGGATTGAAGTGAGTTCAGAAAATAAAATACAAATATTTTTCACATACAAACTTTACTTGTCTGAACTACGAATCAAAAAAGCTCCCCAAAAATAGTATGGTCCCTGTGATAGAATGTTTATTTTGATTGGCAATATTCTGCATTTTTCAAATTCCATGTCTGGATTGTAAGAGAAAGTGTTCTTGCAAAGCATGTTAACGTTTAATCAAACTATTATATAAGTCTGAGTATTCACAATTGTAGTATTGTGTGCTTGCAAACGTAGTCAGTAGACTTCCATGTTTACACTTATAAGTGTAATTGCTTTACATGTGCAAACGGATGATTAAAACTAGGTGAAATTATGGCTTCGCAAGTCTCGTTATCACAATTTTGAACATCTCCCCTCCAGAACTTAATAGAGCATCTGACCAAAATACGTGTGATTCTTTTTTTTTTTTTTCTGGTTTTCCTTTTTACACACATTTTTCTCCATATACCCTCATCTGACATGCCCATGATTCTGCTACTCTCAGATGGACAGTCCTGTGATGAAGAAGGCTGTGTCCCTGCTGTCCCTCAACACACCTAACAGTAACCGGAAGAGGAGGCGTCTGCGGGACACCCTGGCCCAGCTCACCAAGGAGACCGAGATCTCCCCCTTCCCTCCACCCCGCAAGAGGCCTTCTGCCGAACACTCCATGTCCATGGGCTCTCTGCTGGACATCTCAAACACCCCCGAGACCTGCAAGGCCCTGGCAGGTGAGAGAGGAGCCACAGTCACTCATCAGCCACACATGTCATGTCACAAGGCTGGTAACACTGGGTGTTAGCCCATCAACGGTGGTTAATAAACTCCTCTAGCCTCGTTAAAAGTTAATGCAGGCAAAAACAGACAGGGATTATAGCATCATTAGTGTCTCGTGTCAGCTGAAATCAGGGCCCTGTCATAGACTGAGGAGACGGTCACTGCTTGTTGCAGGGGGAGGCAGGAAGAACCAGCACGCTCTGCTATTCTGTTTGAACCACCCCCCCTGTCTTTCAGAGCACAGTGTAGAGAGCAGCAGGTGTAGGAGGCGCTGTGCTAAGGCCAACAGGCAGAGCAGGATGATGAGGAGGAGTGCCAGGGAGATGAGGAGTAGGGGGACAAAGAGTAGCCCTTCCACTGCACTAGCACCCCCACCCTTCAGCAGGAAGCAGGGACCCCAGAGGCCCCCAAGGGTCCTCAGGACAGGGAGGGTGTCCCCATCCATCCCAGTCCCCGGCCACAGCGATTGAGGAAACTTCGTGGGTGGACTCGTCACAGGAGTCAGTCTGTCTCAGCGAATGCCAGGAGAAGACAGGTCACTCAGTTGAACTGTCACTGTGGGGAAATCCGATTTGGCATGATATTAGAAATTAAATAAGAATGTTTTTAGAGCTGTCTGGATGATCAAAGTGGTGCAACAGCAAGAATAGTAGGTTGAGCGTTAAAGCCTGGAGAGTTGAGGATGAAATTATATGAAGGGATGGGATTATATGAAATGCATTTAGTTGCATTCTGGAGCTATTCTCACTAGCTAAGATAAAAGCCCCAAGTCTTCTGCAGAGTAGCCTTCACTTTGCATGTCAGATAAAATACTTTTCAGAATCTCAATTTTCTAAACTATGAGACACGCAGGAAGTCAAAATAAGTACAGAAGTTGTGGATAGTCAAAGAAAACATGTTTTTCCCCACTGTCTCAATCAATATTCACCTCTTGACCATCTCTGGCTCTCTTCCAGAACATTCCCGGCCCCTGAAGAGCTCTACACCTGCTGTCCTGAAGCAGTCGGCTAGATGGCAGGTCTCCAAGGAGTTGTACCAGACAGAGAGCAACTATGTGGATATTCTCACCACAGTCTTGCAGGTTTGTTGCTGCTACTGTGGATGTTGGTCTCACTTAGCACCTCCGGGGCTGCTAGGGTCCTAATCAGGCTGTCCCACTGGTGCCTGAGTCCAGTGACCAGTGGGAGAGAAATTTTTATAGGATTGTGCGCGTCAGGACTGTCAGCTAGCCAGGCTCCCACTCACCCTGCAGGGCTCTCTGCTGCTCATCGTCCCAAGCCTCAGGCCTGTCCTCATCTCATCTCCCTACTCTGCTAGCTATAGCATTACTATTATACCAGTAGAATGACCTTGTTCAGCAAACCTCACTACCATATTTCGTAAACGGTGTAGTGTACCCTCTACTTTCTCCCCTACATCACCTTGTGTTCTCTTTCACCGAGACCCACGCCCACTAACCCCCACTCGTATGCAGTCACCAGTAGTGTCCTCTCTCTGTCCCATGCCCACTACACCATGCCAGCCTAGGAGACAGATGGCCGGCTTCACATTGGATGGTCTTTAACACTGACTGCTGACCCCATGTCCACTGACCTCTGAAGTCAGCCCATGAACTGGCCTGCCAAGAAGTGGGCTTGAATACCAATTATCCCATTATGATTCACACATGTTGGGCGCTTGTTAAAATGTATTTTTATTAGAACAAAAGGTAATTCCAGGCCATCTTGAGCCTTTTTATTATATTTGTTACAGAGAAAGCTGAATAGCGCTTTTTAATGGGAATAATGTATTGTAGTTTATCAGGGGACCTACTTTCACTACTGTTTGTGAGTTTTCTATGTCTTTGATAAGATGATGGGGAGGCAGGGTGGCCTTTTATAATGAATACATACCTGCACTCTAAAAGGATTATTATCCTCCCCAGTGTTGAAAATAGATTTTACTTTCTACTTTTTATATCATTCTCATAGTACTATTCAGTCTGAAATAGTGAGTACCATCTGTATTGGGGTGTGTGTATTGGTTAAGGGAATAGTGGGCTAACATTGAGTCTCACCTGAAACGTCTGTTCCTTTAGCTGTTCAAAGTCCCCCTGGAAAAGGAAGGCCAAGTTGGTGGACCCATTTTGGCTCCGGAAGAAATCAAGACCATCTTTGGCAGCATCCCAGAGATCTATGATGTACACACCAGGATAAAGGTGGCCACTTCTCTCCTTGAAATGTCCCAAGATGACCTGAACAAGAGTTTAATCTGCAGTGAAGTCACCTAAACGCCCTTTGTGTCTCTCTGCTTATTGGGTTAATGTGACAGGCCGATTTGGAGGAGCTGGTGATGGACTGGTCTGAGGACAAGAGTGTCGGGAACATCATTCTCAAATACGTGAGTGCAACAGGCCTTTGTTCTGAATGTTCTATTGAGCCATTTTGGACATTCTGATTCAGTTCCTTCCTCTCTGTCTGTCTGTCAGTCTAAAGACCTGGTGAAGGCTTACCCGCCATTCGTCAACTTCTTTGAGATGAGCAAGGAGACCATAGTGAGGTGTGAGAAGCAGAAGCCAAGGTTCCATGCTTTCCTCAAGGTACGTGACCTCTGAGACAATGTACATTTGTGTATACATCCATGTGAGTGTAGGTGTAGAAGTTACCATATGCCTCATGCTAAAGGTCATTCATTGCTTGTCTCTTTATGTACAGTAAGCTTGGAGGAAACTGCTCGGTCTGTGTTGTGGGTGTGAGTGATTGCCTGTGTGTGTGAGTAAGCTGCAACATGTCTGTCAGGTCTCCTCCTGCTTTAAGAGCAGTGTTTTCTTGCCTCAAGATCAATCAGGCGAAGCCCGAGTGTGGGCGGCAGACGCTGGTGGAGCTGCTGATTCGCCCTGTGCAGAGACTGCCTAGCGTGGCCCTACTCCTCAACGGTAGACTACACCACGCACACACGACAGCCAAATCTTGACCAACATGCTACATATGTGGCATGATAGAAGTACTAATTATAATGCATTCTCCTCACCTGCATAAGAAGAGAGTGATTGATTTCCAACTGAAATGTCACATAGGAAATAAAGATAGATGCTCCTTGCCTTTATCCACAGTTTTGTTATAAATCTGTCGGTCATATCAGTTGTTTGCCCTTGACTTTTTTCACTATTCTATCAATTATATATGTTAATGTCCATTGACCCATCTATCTTGCAGATATTAAGAAACACACTGCCTGTAACAACCCTGACAAAATCACTTTGGAGAAGGCAATCGAATCACTCAAGGAAGTTATGACGTGAGTCAACTGTGCACCGCCGGCCATGCATGAAGCATTTAGTTGTAATTAAGTTAAAGCCTCATCCATTATCCATGCATTTGCATAAAGTTATTGTAGCATCAGTTGGTTAACTGAATTTATTTTACCCCTCAGTCACATAAACGAGGACAAGAGGAAAATAGAGGGACAGAAGCAGATCTTTGATGTCGTCTATGAAGTTGACGGCTGCCCTGTAAGTTGTTTGTGCATTTCTTCACTGGAATGTTGCACGCTTTGTTGAGGCTCTAATCTGTTTATGGCTGTTCTCCAGCACCATAACGGCCAGGCCTAAGCGTTCAGGCTGATATCCCTATTTATTTCACCTAATTTCCATGGGATGCATTTTTCACACTGTTCACTGCACATTTATATCTTGTAATGCATGGCTTATTGCGCTGGAGTCAACTTGATAACGTGTGTGTGTGGACAGAATTTATGTAGAGCTGTGTGTATGTGTGAACCAAACTATTTTTCTGTGTACTGAAGTCCTCTTTTGAGGTGATTATAGTGGAGATGAGTTGATACTAGAGGGAGTGAATTAGTACACCTTTGGCTCTGGGCTGTGAGTAGTATAGCTTTGTTTATCTGGATTTGGAAAGCAGAGCATCCAAATGAATAAACATAGTTGATAAGGTTTTAAAGGAATAATGGGACTGGAAATGAAAATTCCTACATCAGCCGTGCAGTGAAATTACCAATCTGTAGAGTTAGACCCATTAATACCAAATATGGTGCTTTAAAGGAGGCCTGTGATTGAATAATGAAGCTCTCTCTGGTGGCCATGTTTATTTATTCACAAATGGCTGCTGGATGTCTTTGGTTGTGTGATATTCATCCCATCTCCGCTCTCTCTCTCTCCCTCCCTCCCCCCAGGCCAACCTGCTCTCGTCCCACCGCAGCCTGGTCCACAGGGTGGAGACCATCGCCCTGGGAGATAAACCCTGTGACCGAGGCGAGCACGTCACACTCTTTCTCTTCAACGACTGTCTTGAGGTAACGCCCACATCAATGAAATAATACCAAAAGTGAAAACCCGCTCATCTGGCACTCCAGGCAGGCTCAATGAAAAATTATTTGAAATAAAATAGAAATAGAGTATTTGAACCCTGGTCTGGCCCACATGTCACTGTATTGACTAGTGATGTCCCAGACATGGCTTTAGATGTTATAAGTTTACAATACACCCAAAACGCTCTCCAAGTTAACGTTATTGTGCATTTCAGAATATCTTCCTGTCCTCTATCCCCCCCACCCCCATTATGAAGTCTTTGGGACTTGCTAAGAAAATGCAAATTTAGTAGCAAGGAGCCCCACTGACTGATTATATACGGGTGTGCAATCTATCGTTGCTGACGCAGCTTCTTATCTGGCTCCTAATTAGTGAAGTGTTGCATTAGAATGGGGGTTAGCAATCAAACCCAGAATGGGTGCGGGCGAGGCGGCCTGATTCAGGAGAGTCAGAGCAGCCTGGTAATGAGCATGGGGAGAGCAGGGGCTGCACTCTTCAATTATTAATTGATTAACTCCTCTGTATTCATATCTCCCCTACCCCTGATAGATATCACCCTGCCTTCATGGGACAGACCCAACCCCCGCCCCAGCCCCCACACCGGCCAGTGAAACACATGCTAATGACTGGGACCGTTTACCTTTTATTAAAGGCCCTATCGATTTGTCACAGCTTAACCACTACCACCCTCCCCTGACACACACACTGGGGAGAGAGTTTATAGGTAGGGGTGAAGGCTTGAGGCTTCCCTACTTCAACTGTGTCTATTTGCAGATTGCCCGGAAGAGACGTAAGGTGATCAGCACATTCAGGAGTCCTCTGGGCCAGACGCGACCTGCAGCCCAACTCAAACACATCACCCTCATGCCTCTGTCCCAGATCAGGAGGGTCCTGGACCTGCAGGATACAGAGGGTGAGTGAGCCCCAGCCCTTGGCATGTTCTCTACCTACCTATCAAAACCTATCAAATCAAATGTTATTAGTCACATACACAGTTTACAGCAGGTATAAAAGGATGGAGAGATATGCTATGTGCTAGCTCCCTCAATGCAGTACATCAGACAGTAATAATAATAAGTCAAGTAAAACATGATAAAGAGGTCGTATGCATAGTAATAATGGACTGTTACACTGTATCTAGAAATATAAAGTGGGTAGGGTCTTGGTCACTCTATGGAATACATAGTATATAATAGAACAGCAGCGTTGACTGTGTGTATATATGTGTGTGAGAGTTCTGAGTGCGCGTTTGTGTGTGTGTAAGGATTGGATGTGTGGGTAGTCAATGCAAATAATCTAAGGTGCCGATAATGAGTTGTAAATAGTCTCTACGGTGCAGGTCTGTGGAGGGAGACGGCTAGGGTTAACTGTTCAGCAGTCTGATGGCCTGCTTACCTACCTACCACATTGCTTAACATCCATTACTAAGCAACAGGACCACTCCTTGTTTGTGCTTCTTTTGGGTTGGTACACATTCCCTGAGCAGGTGTATTTCTCCATTCTGTCCTCTTAATTTCCCCTGGATCCTTTTCCCTCTTTTGGGAAATGTTATTAATAAGCGTACTGGAAAGCCTAATATTTAGAGTCAACAGCGACAGTCTGAAATGACAGCCCAGACATAATCAAGCAAACATCTCTCCTCTCTCCCAATAGCAGTGACTCAGCTTGTGTTTGGCCTTGTAATGGAGCTGCTAGGTTTAATTTCACTGTCAATATGTACTATAATTACAACCAGTGTATGTTGATACATACCGAGATGCCCCTCTATGCATCTTAAAGAGAAATGGGATGCAGGTTTGGCAACAATTAGTTTGGCCAGCTAGACTATTTACATTTTGGAGAGGTCCAAACCTGGCTCATTTCTCTCTCTCTATCCCTCTCTCCCCTGTTTCGCTCTCTCTCTCCCTATCCCTTTCTCAGATTGCCATAATGCCTTTGCCCTGGTTGTGCACCCGCCCACGGAACAGGAGAATCTTCTCTTCAGCTTCCAGCTGACCACTGAGGACACGGTGAAGTCAACCTGGCTGAAGATGCTCTGTCGCCACGTGGCCAACACCATCTGTAAGGCTGATGCGGTGAGAGAGGCAGAGTGAGACAGTGGTCCACGATGGGTTGGGTGGGAGGGCTCCTTCTGAGAACACAGGCTGCAACACGTTGCCTGTCTGTCTGCTCGTCCTCTAACTAACACAGCCAGACTGGCCGGCGCGACCAAGGCAACCCTCACCGGTCTGGTGTCCTCGTGCAGAACACGGTGTCTGGACTCTTTAGAGGTTGATGAGGACACAAATGCAATTATTTAAATATTTGGGCCCGTTTTAGTACACTTACAAATTATGTTGCGTGAGAGGCCTTTTTGGTCATTGCAATCCTATTCAATTGTCCTCTGTGGTTAAACTGGAAGACAGATTAATGGAATTAGAAGTGGAATTGTACTAGAACTAACACTAAAGACATAGATTAGTTGTTTTATCTCGCCTCCACAGGTCTTTTCACTGATGTAGTATTAGAGCTTGAATGAGGAAGCTAACTAGTAATTGGCTGCCGGAGACAGATGTATATTTCCCATCATAATTAAAAACGGGCATAAGCTTCGGAGGTGAGCCCAGGCAGTCCCAGCTGTCAGGAGTGAGGTGTCCACTAGGTGGCGATGTAAACCTCTACTAGGCTGGCCTTGCTATCTTAATTGATTCACTGGCTCTCTCTGCACCATGAATACCAACCAGCTGCATGTAAAAACGGACAACAGCTTCTCACCCTATGCAGTTTGACAGCAAAGAAGAATGGGCTGGATATTTATTTAAACTTGTTTCTATTTTAAACAGGAAGATCTAATTCAGTGCACTGAGCCTGACTCTGTCCAAGTGAGCACAAAGGATATGGACAGCACGCTGAGCAAAGCCTCTAGAGTCATCAAGAAGACTTCAAAAAAGGTAAAATGGGCTCCCAATTAGCCCGTCTCTCTCCTGTATTCCACACAAGCACATGTTGGATATTGGACCAGCTGACTGTTAAACAGGGCTATTTTGAGTCTCACGGTGGTTTTGAGTGTTTGTGTGACTGTTTAACCCCCAGGTAACGAGAGCGTTCTCCTTCACCAAAACACCCAAACGGGTGATCCAGAGAGCCTTCATGGCCAACAGCACCTCCGACAACAAGAGCCCTGGCCCCAGCTCAGAGAACATGAGCCATGTGGGCAGGAGTGCCACCCTGTCAGTAAGTTAATCCATCAATTTACCCCATCCACCCACCCACCCGTCTACTTCAAATGTCCAGGCCTTGAACAAGGTTTGTCTAATAAAGTCAAGAGGCCAAAGGGGAATAGTACAAGATAAAAGAGATGGGATGGGTACTCTAATTGCACCATGTACCTTGTTTTTCTCTGAAATATCATTTTGTAGAGCTCTCCTAAGCATAGTCCTAAAAGGGTTACATAATTAGGTGATTGTTGACGTCTATTGGTGAAATTGTTGTTCTGCCAGTCCAAGCCATTTTCTTTTTGACGGAATGGCTGCGGTTTTCAATTAATGATGACACATTCCTGTTTGAACTTTTCTCCTCTTATTCAGTTTAGCTATTTATTTCCTGTTGTTCTAACTGTGTCAGCAGTGATGTCAGGCTTTATTTTATCTCCGAGTCTTTTTCTGACCTTCTCTATACTTCCTTTTATTAGAATGGAAAAGATGAATCATACAATACTAAATATTTGAAGAAAGGTACTGCTCTCAAACTTTGCTATTAAAAATGGATTTTAAGTGCACCTTGATGCAGTGGTGGGATAAGCAGAGTCTGGCCTATGAGTTAACGGTGTCTCTCCCATGCTCTGTGACTCTCCCCCATGCTTTGCTCTGTGACTGTAGATGGCCCGCTCCACCTCCACATTCAACCTCAGCGGTTCCACCAAGAACTCTGCTGCTGCTGTGGTGCAACGCTCTAACTCCCTGGACCACCCACCCTGTCCCCGCCTCCGTGTTGCCGTCTGTATTCACACCCCAGATCCCATCCCTAGTCCACCCTGCCCTGAGGAAACCCCACCTAAGCCCCAACCCACCCCCACCAGGCCCCCTTACTCTACTGGCCCCCCTACCTGGAGGGTCCCGTCCAAAGGGATGCTTCCCCCTGGGGCCTGCAGGGACCTGCTGGTCCCATCTTCTGACCCCCACAAGGCAGGCTGTCTGAGGCCCCGCAAAGAGACCCTCCTATAGGCGGCTGACTGACGTGAGCATCACTATGCTAGGTTTAATACCCCTTTTAACTCAATGGGATAGGTAGTGGCTCTCTCACTGACTAACTCTTCATTCCTGGGCTGTGGTGGCACTCACTCTCCTGCTCTCTGTGAGCTCCCTCCTCCTGTCTTATCTGCTGCACACCTCACTCACTCAGCTCCACTAAGATCAGCCTGCAGCGCCGAGCAGATGCTCACTTTAGCTTTTACATAAGCCCTCTCAATCCATTTTGGTATAGGGAGGAATGTCTTACAGCAGTCACAGCAGCAGATGATTTGGTTATGATCTATGGCCTCCAAAGCAATAAATGTTGTGGTGACAGTGATTTTAATTATTCTCCCACTAATTTAATTAAATAAAGGCAACATTGTGCAGCAGTATGCATTAGTGTTTGGATGGAGACTCCAGGCCTTTTGACAATCTATCACTGGGCATTTGTGAAACACTGACACTGGCTTCATGTGTGTCCTGACTCCTGTTCGGTCTATCTTCGCTGTACCACTGCTATTGATCCCACGCCCTCAAATTAAACCGTAATGTCACCTCAAATCTCATTAACCTGACTGGGCCCTGTTGAAGTGAGAATGTGTTATGGTGGTTATAGCAACAAGCACACAGTGAGAAGGTGCTGGTGCATAAATTGGGTTGCTATTCAGGCTGGCCTTTCCTCTCACCCTGGCATTAGTCGGCCGCAGCTTTACTGAAGGAGGATACATGATACACGACGCGCACCTGTTTACGCTCCTACATTCGTTAACACTCGGGTCTCCATAGGGCAGACTCCTAATGAGGGTGAAATATGTATGCATTTTAACCAGCCAGACCTTGTACTTCCCCCGAAATCACCCTGCTTTTATGCAGCAGCACCTTTCATGTTGGCCTCCCCAAGTTGCCGCGGTAACATATAATCAAGGTTCCTTTTCAATAGATCCGATTCATCCGCAGTAATGAGCAGCACATGGACGGAGAGAGGAAGCCATGTCTTTACAACATGGCAAAATGTTGAATGGTTTTGAAAGTTGGGCGGAGAATAGTAATATTGTATTGGCGTTACTTGCTCGATTAGTTCAGTGCCAACATTTGGCTAGGAAGGCAGACTGGCACTGGGGAAAGCTGAATGTAAAAGTAATTAAATGAGACTTCCATATAAAACGACCTTGTATCCTTCACAAAGCACTTCCCACAAGATTGCTTTTGCGGCCCACGTGACAATCCATCTTCATGTCGTGGCTTTTAAACGGTCCACCAGGAGTCACAGCGTGTACATGTGGTCAGAAAGCCCTCATGTTGAATGACTTAAGTGCTCACTTGAGCGTTTGCTCATCTCTAATCCTTCAGTGTAACTCATTGTCCTTAAACTAACACTCGAAGGGTCGTTTCTGTGTTGGAACCCAATCAATTTCCTAATTTAATTAATGTCCCTGTCTCCTGTTCTGTTCCCTCCAGGCGATGCACTCTCCCTCCATGGTCAACCTGCCATCCATGTTTGAGAGGAAGTACCACACGTTCAGTCGCTCCACATCCCACCTGTTCTGATTGACTCTTAGAGGAGAGAAACCCATCAAGCTGTTCTGCACTACTCACTGTAATTCAATTAGCTCACCTCTCCACAATGTTACTACAGATTGGCACATCCTGTAAGCGTTTAATGAACACAAGTTCATACGGATAATGTCTGACTTGGAAAATGAAAGATATGGATACTCTTGTATTTAGTGTTTACTTACAATGTTGCAAGTTGACCTCTAGTGTCTTAGACATTTGGGCACATTTGATTAACATGTACAGAGGTACGATATTCACTGACATATTTTCTATATTTTTGTCGTAGAGGGATATAATTCACTGAATGATTAGCCAATAAAAGTGTTTTTGTTTTTTGGGAACAAGCCAGTTGGCTTCACTTACTAAAGTTTCCAGCTTTTATAAAGCTCTTGGAATGTTTTTACTTTTGATACAAATGAGCAGAATTAGGGGAACAAAAGCAAACATAAGCATATCTAAGTCTGTCTGTTTGCTGTTTTGTAAGTGATTGTTTTTTATGTTGTCAAGTGGGTATGTTTTTATGGGAGGGACTAAGGGGATGATGTTGCGTAACACTACATTTATTATCCAGAATCATTTTATAAATAGTCTACAAAAAATCATTTATTTTTCTCTTGCTATTTGTGTACATTTGCCTCTATCCCTTTTGTCTGTCATTATCCGTAATTGTTCTGATTACCTCTTGGCATAATTGTCTTCCACTATGTGTATTCCATACACTTCCACATGTACATGATCCAATGTTAAGCTTATTTCTGGTGGTTTATTCAGTTATAGGATGTTGTTCACGACTTCTCTTACCAACACACGATGAATGAAAAAATAAATAATTCCCTCCAATTAATCTGTATTGAATAGTGGCTATTATTATGCAAAGTCACTTTTATTCTGGTTTTAATAAAAATGCCCTATATTGAATGTTGGTGGGGGTTTTTAGGTAAAAAAATATATAACGTGCGTCTCACGTCCAGAGCAAAGTCCTGCTCTATAAACTGCAAGAGAAAAACTTCATCCAGTTACTTATTCAGTCAGTTACTTCTAATTTATTACAGTTGAAGTTGGAAGTTTACATACACCTTAGACAAATACATTTAAACTCAGTATTTCACAATTCCTGATATTTAATCCTAGTAAAAATTCCCTGTCTTAGGTCAGTTAGGATCACCACTTTATTTTAAGAATGTGAAATGTCAGAATAATAGTACAGAGAATGATTTATTTCAGCTTTTATTTCTTTCATCACATTCCCAGTGGGTCAGAAGTTTACATACACTCAATTAGTATTTGATAGCATTGCCTTTAAATTGTTTAACTTGGGTAAAACGTTTCGGGTAGCCTTCCACAAGCTTCCCACAATAAGTTGTGGGAATTCTGGCCCATTCCTCCTGACAGAGCTGGTGTAACTGAGTCAGGTTTGAAGGCCGCCTTGCTCGCACACTCTTTTTCAGTTCTGCCCACAAATGTTCTATAGGATTGTGGTCAGGGCTTTGTGATGGCCACTCCAATACCTTGACTTTGTTGTCCTTAAGCCATTTTGCCACAACTTTGGAAGTATGCTTGGGGTCATTGTCCATTTGGAAGACCCATTTGCGACCAAGCTTTAACTTCCTGACTGATGTCTTGAGATGTTGCTTCAATATATCCACATAATTTTCCTTCCTCATGATGCCATCTATTTTGTGAAGTGCACCAGTCCCTCCTGCAGCAAAGCACCCCCACAGCATGATGCTGCCACCCCAGTGCTTCACGGTTGGGATGGTGTTCTTCGGCTAGCAAGCAACCCCCTTTTTCCTCCAAACATAACAATGGTCATTATGGCCAAACAGTTCTATTTGTGTTTCATTAGACCAGAGGACATTTCTCCAAAAAGTACGATCTTTGTCCCCATGTGCAGTTGCAAACCTTAGTCTGGCTTTTTTATGGCGGTTTTGGAGACGTGGCTTCTTTCAGGTTATGTCGATATAGGACTTGTTTTACTGTGGATATAGATACTTTTGTACCTGTTTCCTCCAGCATCTTCACAAGGTCCTTTGCTGTTGTTCTGGGATTGATTTGCACTTTTCGCACCAAAGTACGTTAATCTCTAGTAGACAGAACACGTCTCCTTCCTGAGCGGTATGACGGCTGCGTGGTCCCATGGTGTTTATACTTGCGTACTATTGTTTTTACAGATGAACGTGGTACCTTCAGGCGTTTGGAAATTGCTCCCAAGGATGAACCAGACATGTGGAGGTCTACCATTATTTTTCTGAGGTCTTGGCTGATTTCTTTAGATTTTCCCATGATGTCAAGCAAAGAGGCACTGAGTTTGAAGGTAGGCATTGAAATACATCCACAGGTACACCTCCAGTTGACTCAAACAATGTCAATTAGCCTATCAGAAGCCATGACATCATTTTCTGTAATTTTCCAAGCTGTTTAAAGGCACAGTCAACTTAGTGTATGTAAACTTCTGACCCACTGGAATTGTGATACAGTGAATTATAAGTGAAATAATCTGTCCGTAAACAATTGTTGGAAAAATTACTTGTGTCATGCACAAAGTAGATGTCCTAACCGACTTGCTAAAACTATAGTTTGTTAACAAGAAATGTGTGGAGTGGTTGAAAAACGAGTTTTAATGACTCCAACCTAAGTGTATGTAAACTTCCGACTTCAACTGTATGTCCTTGGGGAAAAAGTGAAAATCTGAACCGTGTGGGGTTCTGCAGAGAAATGCACAGAATTCACTTAGCAAATTACCAGGAACCAATAAATTGCTGCCTGAAATTAATTTGGAAAATGTTGACTGGATGCCATTTGCTTGCCCTAAGCATCCTTCGACCCCTCTGTTGAAGTGTTGTTCTGAATTCCCCACACTAAAGCAAGACAAGGCAGCAATTTTCATTGTTCGTTGTCTCCATTTGAGCAAGACATTTACATTAGCACAAAGCAATCAGCCTGTGATCATGTGTAAAGCAATACGTGATAATCGTCCTTATTTGGCACTTTCTGCTGCAGCTACTGGCCTATTGACGTTCAGGTAACTCACTTGAAAGGTGTCTACATATTTGGTATTCATGTCATCGCAGCTCAGTATAGCACACGTGTCCCCTCCATCGAGTCTGTTCAAAGAGCCAGACTAAAAGCAGTCTACTGGATAGTGAGCCAATGCTGGAGCCCTGAGGCAAAGGGAGACCAGGGAATACCACAGTAGAAAGGCACCAGGTTTGAGGACACACTCTTCATATTTGACTTTCCTCCACTACAAAGCAGATATGTCAGGCTAGTTGAGGTTGAACTGTGAGGATGAGCCTTGGCAAGATTAGAATGTTGTAGGGGCTTAAACTCTTATGGCAGGGTTGTGGTGATGTTTTCAATTATTTGTTTTTTTGGTTTATCAGTAGTAGAGCACCACCATACAACAAACCAAGGAGGCAGTTCAGGACATCATCTGCCTCTGATATAGCTAGCAGATTATTGATATTCAAGGACTGAGGGCTAAGTGAAAGTGATTTCATTTGAACTCTTCCAGGGTCAAAGTCTCTGTCTGCGGTCCACACATGTGAACCATTACATGAATGGAATCGTATTTGACTATCAAAGAAATGTCAAACCTTGTTAACTGTCGGGTCTGTGTAATGCGACTGTTTGACTGATTTGTCTCAATTTATATTTTTTGATGGGTTAAACTAGTTTTATGGATGGAAGTTTCCCTCAGCCATTTGAGCCTGTATCATCTTGGAGACAAGACACTATACCGTACCTCTGAGTCATCCCATAGGTCTTCATTCTCACCAATGACCTGACATTGGCTCTTGGTATTGATCATCGCTAATGATGCTATTTGCACATACCCTGCAACTGTCAATTAGGCTGTCTGCTGTTTGCAAAGTGAATTCCGTGCAAACATCCATGCATGTGTAACAATGAAATCAATTAAGGGTTTCATCCTGTAACAGCTGTCAGGTTCCTCCTGTACTGTGGGGTATTGTCTGTCTACAACAAGCCCTTGATGGATACCATAGATGAAAACTTAATTAGGACCTCACTCTATCAACTCCTTTGGCTGGATTAATTCTGATCACAAATGACGTCCTGATATTTTAGGTAACTTAAAATGCCATTGGTCTATCTGCCTGCACAATGAGACACCCCCTGAGAGAGCGGTGATAGCACAACATGGATCAATGTCTCAAATGAAGAAAAATGCATCCATGGCACAAGGATTTACAGCATTTATGGCTTTAACAGGTGAAAAACAGTATTGACTTCCCACTTAGGGGAGTCTCATCACAAAACCCACTGATATTGCCAACTACTTTACTAATTGTTTCATTGGCAAGATTAGCAAACTTGGTCATAACATAACAACAAACTCTGAACCTACTCATCCATTCATAACTGACCGAATTATGAAAGACAAGCATTGTAATTTTGAATTCTGTAAAGTGAGTGTGGAAGAGGTGAAAAAATGGTTGTCTATCAACAATGACAAGCCACCTGGGTCTGACAACTTGGATGGAAAATTACTAAGGATGATAGCGGACTATACTGACACTCCTATTTGCCATCTCTTCAATCTAAGCCTACAGGAAAGTGTGTACCTTCAGGCCTCGAGGGAAGCAAAAGTCATTCCTCTACCCAAGAATAGCAAAGCACCCTTTTATTTGTATTTTAGTTTTTTAATTAGGGGGGTAGATCAGCTTCAATATAGATTGTGGCTTCCATCAGTGTAATTGTCCGCATCATTTCCAATCCCCCATATATGTATTTTTTGTAAATACATAATATATATATATATATTTTAAAATATATTTTCCTTTATTATTTTCCCCTAACCCTGCCACCCCTCCCCTAATCGGAGTAAACTAATGGACAACAACACTTAGGCTTCTACTTCCAGCTTATACTGTACATACTATATTTAAAAAATTTGACACAGTATATCTTACAATAGTTATATTTTGTTTGTTTTTAGTCCCATCCTTCAGCCACCAACAACCCCTCCCATCTATCTCCGAAGACCATCCAGTTTGTGTTTCTATTTGCCATATATTTTTCAACTGTGCTGTTTCACAAAAGTTCTGAACCTATATACATCCTACAGAGACATTTTACTTTACATTAGTTATCCTCTTACATTTTTGTCATTTAGCAGACGCTCTTATCCAGAGCGACTTACAGTTAGTGAGTGCATACATTATTTTTTAAATTTTTCATACTGGCCCCCCGTGGGAATCGAAACCACAACCCTGGCGTTGCAAACACCATGCTCTACATCCCTGCTGGCCATTCCCTCCCCTACCCTGGGCCAATTGTACACCGCCCCATGGGTCTCCCGGTCGCGGCCAGCTACGACAGAGCCTGGATACGAACCAGGATCTCTAGTGGCACAGCTAGCACTGTGATGCAGTGCCTTAGACCACTGCGCCACTGGGGAGAATATTCCTAGTCCCACCCTTCAGCTCCACTCAACCCCTCCCATCTATCTCTGAACGCCATCCAGTGTTATATCTGCCATATATTTTTCAACTGTGCTGTGATGTTTCACAAAAGTTCTGAACCTTTCTATTCTCATAGTTTCCACAAATTGTAAATTAAAGATACATTTTTTGCTAAGAGTGTTATTATATTATTGATCAATTGACAATGACTTTTTAAATCACCCAGCAGTGCTATTTGCAGAGTTAGCTCCATGTAAATGTTGCAATTATTCAGCCATTCTTGCGACCAAAAACTGCGACCAAAAACAAGCTACATATGGACAGCACCAAAACAAATGATCTAATGATTCGTGCTCTCTTCGCAGCAAAATCTGCAGAGCTGGGATGGTTGTATCCCCCATATATACAGTGCATTCGG